AAATTGCTCCGTATATCAGACCTAGTTTTTTACTATATTGTTCATGTCAAATTTCTGCAAAACAATAGCAAATCCTGGGAAGAAAGAGATCGAACAATTTAAGCACATAAGAGAGCAACGGTTGCAAGGTTAATGTAACAGGAGGTTTTACAAGGACATGCATGCCTTTCTGTAATCTAATCTTTATAGCCATACTGCTTTCCAATATGATAGAAGTTTGAAGGCCACTTCTCTGTGCGCACGTTGGCAAAGCACCACTGTTTCATACATGTCAATCAAGAGTGAGTAAATGCCTGTATAAACCATGCCTTCCAAAACCTTGTTGATTTCTGCTGTGCGTATCATAGTGGGATATCTTTATTGTTTTTGTAATAGAAGACACTGCAATAATTAAGTCCATAGTAATAAAGAAATGATGAAAATTAAGTGAAAGATAATAACATTAAAAATTGCACAAATGTGGAACCATACTGCTGATAAAGATATCTGTCTTTCATGCTAAAGTTATAGTATGTTTATGGATCCAGTCTAAAATGTGTTTATGTAGGCTTTATTTGCCATAACATTTTTAGTTAATGGGCAGATTCATAATAGACCATGGTGGCTTGGTTTTTCTGTGGACACAATGTTTCTAACAGATAATTGGACTCACTGTGAGTTGTTCACTTCCCCTCTCCTTTCCCTTGGTCCTCTAGGATGTAGCCTAGAGTACACCACAGCACAACCGAGTTGTTTCTCACTCACTGCCATGATGAGAGCTGTTTTCATCTCCCCATGGTTTTTTGTTTTTGGGTTTGTTTTGTGTTTTTTTTTTTTTTTTTGCATTTCAAACTTTTTCCAGATATTGTAAAAGCTGGTTTGATGACTGACTTTCACAATCCCCATTTTGACAGCTACTGACAGCCTTTTCAAAATGCCCAAGCAGCACATTGGAGAAGGCTGTTGCTGTTTGGCCCTTGTGGGATGGTTGAAACTGATGGTGACTGGTGGGAACTAGAGTTGCAAGGGGTTTTCTCTTACTCTTCCCAAGTGTGTTTCTTACTGCTGGACTTTAGCCATGTTGATAGTGATCTTCCAGTTTCAGATAATCCAACAGCCCATTTTTAACAATACGAACTCTGGGACAGCCCATAGGTTCTCAGAGTGGACTTTTTTTTGGCAGGGGAGAGGGAAACCACCATGGATAAACTGGGCTGGGTTTGAACAACACAATCAACCATGGCTTTCTCCCCATCATGTGTTGTCATGTTATGTGCACCAGGCTTATATGAAAATGTTAGCATTTTAGTGCTGTTTCAACTTTGGTTCCATTTTGTGTAGTTGTCTTTTTGTTGGTATTCCATTTTGTGTGTGCCTTTTTGTTGGTATTCCACTTACCCTACCAATTGTAATCACAGTTCACTGTTTGATCAAAGCACATTAAGTGGATCTTATTTGTCCATTGTATTAGCTGTTTTTCAAGGTAATACTGCTTCAAAGCAATAGCACTAACTACAGTCATTTTAAGAGAAATTGTCAAATGATTCCATTGGAACTGGTGAGGCAGGGAATAAGGCGGGTAGGTGGGTGGAACCAACAGAAATTTTTTTGCAGCTGTATCAGTGGATCGAACCCATGTCACTGTAAAGCAAAATGATGCTAAAGGTCAAGTAATTTGACCAGGAGGTTTCAACTCCTGAACACAAAACAACTCACCAGAAGTCAACATTTTTTCTTCTGTAAATTGACCATTTGTTCCAAATTTAACCCTTTTTATAATAAATAAATGAAAGGTTGGGGGGCTCCTAGGCCTCCATGATCACTCCTACACCCTTCGACCTAGGTACTACAGGCAGTGTTTCTTGATGGGACACTGCCTGAGAACTCTATGGCTGCATTTAAATAGCCAAATCTCAGTTTGCAAGCTTTGTATATCAACATGTAGCCAATTTGCTCCCATATTCTAGCTTCTTATTTGTGTAAGCAAGCAAGCAAGCTAGGAAGCCACAGTTAACCATAATTTTGATGTGTCTGAACTAGGAAACTGGTTAATGTTTTTCAAACATTAGTATGTAGAAGCCAACATTAAACCATGGCTTCAGATTTTGGCTTGTTTAGAAGCCATTAACCATGGTTTCCTATTAAGACATAAGCTATGATTAACTCTAGTTCTTCTTTGTGGTCTCTGTGCATCACACATATTTGGCAGGAGCTCCACCCCCTTCCCCAATGCTGTGTAAAGGTGGGACTCCCACCATTTTCTCCAGTACATTTTTGACTGTTTTCTGGCTAGTTTACTCACATGAAGAGAGGAGCAATGTAGCTGTAGGGGACTCATATATATTTCATAAATATTTGATAGTCCAAATGTAGGAAAGGTAACTAGATCATGACTCTATTGGTTATTCCTAAATTAGTTATTTAAAATATTTCTAAGACACCTTTCAGAACAGAAATATTGTCTCTGGTTTTGTATTTTAATCTGCTTGCTTTTACTGTTATTGTTAGGAAATGTTTCAGCTGTTTGTAATCTGCTTAGAGGGCCCTGAGGTCAATTTGGTGGAAAGTAAGACTATAAATAAGCACACAAACAAACAAACACACACCACATAACAAAAGTGAGGCTCTTAAACTTTAGTAATAACAAGGCAATATTTTAAACAGTATAAACTAACTTTGTAATAAATTTATGAAATTAATAACTTTAATATTAATCAGATTAAAAGATAAAATTATTTTAGTTAGAATGAAGTTAAAATGCAATATTATTTGTATTTGTCAGGTTATACCTTTTTGAAGTACCTGGGGTTTGTCTAACATATGACCCATTCATTTCTGCTCCAATCCCGGATATAACCCAGTGCCTGTGCAGATAATTTTGCATCTATCTTTCAAATAGTCTCTTCATGTCGTTCAGTTGTTTACTAAAAAGGGTTTAGTCACTTTGTTGTACTAATTGCAAGATGCACTCTAGTACTGACTGTACTACTGGAAAACAATCTTATCCATTGTAGATAAGACTGGATTCCATTCTATGGCAAAAATGCTGTTTGCATCCTACAATGTAGCAGTGCAAATAAATAAACGGAACAGAATCCATCATTTAGTGCACAGCATTCTACAAAGTATAAGAATAACCCCCTTTTCTGAGAATATTGTGGTTTAAAATGTGATGCAAGGGCAAGCATATTGAAAGGAAGGGGGCAGTGTTAAATGGGAAAACTAAATTAGACTTAGTTATACTTAGCTAAGGGGTTATGCCTACAGCTTCACTGGAGAAGATGGGTTCTGAAAGAACCAAGAGGTGACATTCATTTTACTTGATCCTTTCTTACATTTCCAGTAATGTCAATTTTCAAGAAATTTTGCACTCGAATTTTTCAGTTGACTTCCAGTATTATTATTGCATTATATTCATATCCCTCCTTTTTCCCCTTGTGAGGAGCCCAAGACAGCTTACATAGTCTTCTAGCCCGTTTTATCCTCACAACAACAAACCTGTCTGGTATGTTAGGCTGAGAGTAAGTGACTGGTCCAAAGTCACTGAAATTTTTAAATGTTTGATTTGTATCACTGATTTTCATTTTTCTTTTATGCAGGATACTCAGTAACTCTTGACTCAGTGGCTTGACAAACTTTAGCTAGATGTTATTAAGTTGAGCTTGACAAGCTGTTGGAAATGGGGCTTGAAACTCTCGTTTCCCTTTGGATAGTGTGGACAAAACTAGGCCTGTATTAAATAATGTGATTTTTCTGGAGAGGGAAATAATAATGTAATCTGAGGTTTGCCTAACCATATGAATATAAAAAGCTGATTTCTTTGCTGGATAGCATGAGAAGCCAGATTTTATTTTTTTCTAGATTTTCTTGAACAGGAATTCAAGTAAAGATGTCTGTGTAGTCTGATTACACAAACTATTCTAACTACATTGTTACTAGTGACATGGTAAGGGTGAGAAGATTGGAAGGTCTGATAGGTTTTTAGTTTTTAAGACTTAATATTGACAAATGTGCATATTTGTTCATATAATAAAATATACATCTGCCTTTCTGCATTGTGTATGTGTGTGCAGCTGTGCCTTTCACTTGAGCTTTCACTGGAGTTTTTGTATAAATTTAATAAATAATTTATTGCATACATCTCAGAAATCAGGTGCCGTTTTTATTCTTACACCCTGTTTGTGGCACTCTTAAGATCAGAATCATGAGTTAAACTTGTGCAGCTTCTTACCTTAAGAACAAGCTAGAGAACTTAACATCTGTATCTATCCCTTATGTGAACATATTTCAGGTGCTTAGTTTTAGTTTCTAGTAGCAGTAGCTAATGGAAAAGATAATAGCTGTTACTTTCCTTGACCATCTTATGTATGTAAGCACTATATTTGGTCCATTATGGAAAGAATAAGATGTAATTAGCTTTGAGTCAGGGAAACTTCTACTATCCTAAATTAAATTACACATGTGACAAAAAGCACTGAAGGTATAGTTAGAAGATAGGGGAGCATTCTATACTAAACTGTTCATATCAGAAAATTCAGAGTCTTAGTGGCTCTGTTTGTATATATGGTTGCAGCCAGTGGCAAATCATGCCTTAAGTAAGCCTTGAATTGTGGAGTTACATGTTGCATGCAAGCCACTTCCTCTTTCCATTGACAACCCTTATTATTAATTATAACTTGTTACTGCCACTTTCAAGAATAGTTTCTGTGACACCTGCATTAAAAAACCTGAAAATAACCCTAAAGCAAAACATGGATCAACTTGACGTTGTTGACCTCAAGAATGATCCAAGTGACCTGTTCAGACATCATAGGAACAACCCATGAATGCAGCATTCAGAAGTAATTAATTGAAACAGGAAGTGGCTTGCATGTAGCTCAGCTGCAGCATGCATCCCTGCAGTTGATGAAACAATTTACCCATAATTTGCTGCTGGCTACCAGTGTTATGTCCGAAGAGGAACCTTGGCATCTAGGAGGAATAGTTTATATGGAAACTTAAAAGTTTTTTTTTCTCCTTAGGGCCATGATGAAGAAGCTGTTGTGGATACAGGCAAAGTCAGCTCTACAATCAACACAAACTTTGAGAAAGAAGAGCTAGAAAGTATGTACTTTTTGTATTATAAGTGATGTTAATTTTGCAAATATAAAAAAGTGATCAAGTTCAAATCCTAATGACTTAGTTGTTTTGTTACCTGGTGTGGCATAGTTGCTCCTAGGATACTTGAAGAGTAATCTCTCAAGTTTCCACCTATGTTTTTAAGCACATTGCATGGGCAAGGCCAAACATTTTGACTGGTTTTAGTGACCATTCCCTAATTTGTGATCCCATGTACTTCAAAGATGCATGGTTTTGTGCTTGAAATCATATTGCATCTCAAAAGAAAGCATGTAGACAAGGATAATCCCTTTCTAGCTTTTTAGCTGCAGAGACAAACACCAAAATTTTGGTTTAGAGTTCTCAACACCTTCTGGGAGCCAGCACTCTTGACCAGTTCACTGCTGGAAAGGGACACAGGGATCTTCCTTGCAGCTGTGTTGTACTTTGAATATGTTAGAAACATTTGGTTTATTATTGCATTACATTTATATCTCACCTCACTCCATTTTTTCCTTATAACAATAATCCTGTGAGACAGGTTAGAATCCAGATCTCCTGAATCACCGTCCAGTATTCTAATTATAACACCTCACTGGCTCCTGTTTTCTTGTAATCCTTTTTATGTCTTCCACACTTTCAAAAAATTTAGAACATATTTGGGACAGATAGGATGCATGGCAGGGGTTAAAAGTTGGTGTGGTTGGGCAGTTGCAAAGACCTGCACCTGAGATACTTGGAAAATCAATTTCTGGAAGAAAGTAGTAAATGGATAAGCAGAGCACAAGAAAATCATGATTAGCTATTTGTTTCAGGCACCTTCAGAAAATAGAGCTTTTAGGGTCCCCCACATCATTACAAGAGCTTTGTTCTAGAAAGACGAGTATTATGGGGTTCCAGCGTCTCTATTGTGGCTGATTGGAGTGTAGAAGAGGCATGCTCCATTGCTACAGACTCATATCAGAAAATGAGATGCTGTAGGGAGCTTGCAGGTGGTAATCAATTTTCCAATGAGGATGACACTTGAAGGAGTGGACCAGTGTGACTCCATAGTCTTGGGATGGTCTTACAATGAATATGTGAAAGAGCTGTGAGGATAGAACATTGGAGGCACCCTGTAGCCAAGGCCCTAAAAAAATCCCCTACAGCTAGTCTTATGGAATGATAGCTGATTCCTAAAAATAGATTATTAATGAGCTTTTGCAGATAAAGCAGCTGTGCATTGTCCTTGCCCATTCCAAATTATTGTAGCTGGTTGTGGAAAAAGAAGCAATGTGGTTAGACTGATGACCACTTAAGAGAGTACACATCATGGGAAAGTTGTCTACACTCATGTATATACTTGCTTAAGTAACAAAACTTGGCTCCAAATACATACTTCAAAGAGAAGCCTATACCAGGGGTCAGCAACCCGCGGCTCCAGAGCTGCATGTGGCTCTTTCATCCCTCTGCTGTGGCTCCCTGTCACTCAAAATATGTGTCACAACCGCCAATGTGCAACACCTGCCGGCACACGATTTATTGAGCTTTTCAACCCCCAGTAGACCAAGCATTGATAAATCCAAGAAAAGAAAAGTTTCAGAAGAAAACAGAACATTTAATGGTACATGGGCAGATTCATTTGCTTTCAGTGCTGACGAGACTGGTTTACCAGTATGCTTAATATGTGGTGAGAAATTGGCAAACAGCAAAAAGTCAAATGTTACAAGACATTTCCAGAATAAACACACAGCCTTTGCTGAAAAATATCCAGATGGAGATATATAATATCCGGATGTATAAAAAAAACACTATAGTTTTTTTATATATGGCATAAAGGTAAAAAACGATATATACAGTGTTATGTTCATTTTAGATGTCAAAGGGGTTTTGTGGCTCCCGGTGTTTTCTTTTCTGTGGGAAACGGGTCCAAATGGCTCTTTAAGGTTGCCGACGCCTGGCCTATACCATTCATTTTATGGCATGCTTCCTTGGCACATTTAGCAGTAAAGAGGGAGAAACCTTTACTGTACACTTAAATTTTCCTTGGTTAACTAAAGTTGTGTTTGTTTTTTTTAATAGTTCTTTTATCTCTGGTATATGATACTTTAAACTGTCATCTTATGACTGTGGCACTCATTTCTGTCTGCATTTTTGTTCCTGACAGAAAAAACGTGTTTCCATTTTTCTCTATTTGTAATATGCTACCATAGCTTGTAATATATATTATGTACTGCATATGTTTGTTAAAACTGAAGAATAGTAATGATAGTACAATAATTGGATTAAACGAACAAATAGCTAAATTGCTTATTTAAGTGTTCCAGTGCTGTGCAAATAATTACTCAGTGCATTTTGTATGTTTTTGATAGTTACTATATGACAACATTGCTATGGTGTGTTATTTGAGGAATAGTAAAGTGAATAGATTAAGTACTGAGCATCTTTTAAAGAAATTTTAAAATGACACTACTAATGACCTTAACGACTAAATGCCATTTGTGGATTTTGTCAACTAAGCTTGGATATAGTCATGTCTGATTAAATCAAACAACTGTCTCTGGAGCTGTATGTACTAAAGTTAGTATCCTGCATTCTATTAATGCTGTAGAATATTGGTTTAAGATAATTCTCTAACAAGCTTTGCTTGGAATCAGTATGTTACAGGTGGTATGCAAGTGAATTTTTTGAAGGTCATTTAATAATTCAGTTTCATCCTTTGTACTAAGAGTTAATAATTTAGGATTTCATGCATATGAACAGTGGCCATAAAATTTCACAGAAAGACTTTATTACTTTTATGCATGCATACTGGTATCATATGTACTGTCTCATGTGTACAAACAGAATGTGTTTGGTTATGAGCAAGCCTTTAGCCTATTTCTCATATTGTCTGAATCACAAACTATGGTTATCAGCAGGGCTTTTTTTGTCATAGAACGCACCGGAATGGTGTTCCGGCACCTTTTTTTCCAATGGATTTTATGAAGTGATTTTGAATCACCGGTCTGGTATAGCAGATCAGCAGCAAACATCATTAACATAGTGCCTGCGGGCTGCTTTTGTGTCTGTGCTGATATTGAATGAGTGCTTACCGCCTGCGGCGACCATTATGTTTATGTATGTGTAGAGTGACTGGCTTTACACTAAACTTTTTTTAGTGTAAAAGTGTGACCCCAAGATGGGAGTTCTGGCACCTTTTTTTTTTTAAACAAAAAAAGCACTGGTTATCAGGTTTGGAAGTTGGTATAAGATACTGGTTTTTGCAAAGCTGGTTACAAAGTTTCTGTTTCAGATGCACTACATTAAGCTACGTTACAAAGGAACTGAAGGTGCTGACATTTGTTTAGTTCCATATGTTTAGTTCGTATCTCAGCTTATTAGGGCAAGATAGGATCATCCAAATGCAACCCGAATGCCATTCTAGCAGGCTTTCTCCCAAGTAGTTCTATTGTCTACACAAACATAGTGTTTGGGTAGTATGAGCCTAAGTATTTTGTTTTTTCACTTGTGGTTATCTTTTTCTTTCAACTGCAGGTGTGGTCATGTTTGCTTTTTGGTGTTAAAATATTTACTTAGATGGCAGGTTTGATATCCAGCTGCTGGCCAACTGCAGCTGGGATCAAGATTTTCCTTAGCCTCAGGAGATATTCTAGCTAAGGCATAATTTTTTTATCACTTGGATATGAGGCTTGCTGGAAGTCCTGCCAGGAATGTCAAGGGGATGCTGAATTGGGAATTTTGCTCTCAGGCAATATGAGTTTAATTATGTAGGATATTAGTTGTAGTCCATTCTTTGTCAGGTTAATTAAGGCCCAAACTAGACATTAAGTTAGGAACCTGTGGACCTTGTGATGTACTACAGTTCCTGTCATTGACCACTGGGCATGCTGGTTGGCCTGATGCCAGTAGGATTCCAACAACATCTGGACAGCCACAGGTCCCCATTCGCATTGAATGGAATTCTGTGGTACCTTTATCTGCATTTTGCTGAAAGTCACATTAGGTGTTTCAGGCTGCCAGTCAGAATAAGAGGAGAGGCTATTTAGCACTTCTTATTTTATTGCAGCTCAAAAACTCCCATGACAGCTTGCTTTTTCCCCCCAGTAAAGAAAAATAGCTTGTAGAATGCAGTTTTGAGCAAAGAGAATGGCATGACACCCATGCTCTATTTCTTTGTATCACCTGTTCAACAGTGTTAGAGGTGAAAGGCCTGCTACTCCATGCCATATTAAGTTTTATCCATACAGTGTAATTATTCAGTGTTTCAGTTGCATTCAGAAATACAATGCTTACCTTTTTTTTCTCAACAGAATTGAAAACATGGCAGTATTGGTGGAAAGGAGATCACACATTAGTCAGCTGTTTCTAATGTTTGAAAATGGAATTTCTCAGGTGTTGGAAACATTGCCTCTTTAGTTGTAAACCTTTATGGACAGCTAGGAAACAGAATGAGATACTGGTCTCCTTGTTATAACTTCCCATTTTGGTTTCTCAGTAGGTTATCAGTTAAATTGGAATTTATTTGTAGCACAGACTGTTTGGCTATGACTGAAACTTTATCTCTTGGAAATTAGTAAATGCATTTGCTCAGTGGTAGTTCCTTTAGAAGATGAATGCCAAATTCTTGAAAAATGTCTAGATTTTCTATTTTTCAAGTCATGTAGATTTATGGTCTGTGCCAGATTATGCCATTTGTGTCAAATCAGCACTTCACTGGAAATTCTTGTGACCAGAGCATTGCTTCAACATTCTTCGCATAGTATATATTAGGGGTGATTTTACCTCTTAATACTTATTTTCCTTTGGACGGTTAAGTATTGTATAGTGTGGCAAGCATTCTTACACAGATTGCAAATCAGTAATAACACTCTGTCTGGATTTTTGTTTATTAAGAGGATTACTTTTCTATGCCTAATGTGTTGCATAACTTTTTGTTTTGTTTTGTTTTGCTTTTGGTTAAGGTCACAGAGCTGTCTATATTGGTGTGCATGTCCCCTTTGGAAAGCAGGGCCGACGACGTCATAAACACCGTGGTCATAAACATCACAGACGAAGAAAAGAAAAGGAAACGGATAGAGAAGATGGGCGAGAATCTCCATCCTACGGTAAGAATTTTTCCTAATACACTTACATAATATTACATTAAGTGAACTTAGTTCAAAAATTCAGTTTTTGTTTCTTCTTGTACTCTTATTTAGCACATGTAAATAAACTATATATAAAGTATATAACTATGCTTATTTTCTTTTTAAAATAAGTATAGTTTACAAATGTGGTAGAGTTCTATGGGCATATTTCAGTGAAGTGACAGGTTTTGAGGCCCATGAATATCAGTTGGTTGTATGTCTACAATGTATAGTAATTTCTTCTCTATTATATAACTGTAATAGCAAACTATGGTTTGTGTTAAAAAAGAAACCATTAATTGAATTGGAATATGCAAGGGAAGTGGGAAAGTGTGAGCAAATCATGGTCTGGTATTGCTATAAACCAGTTCACAGTATTCCAATGACTTGTTTACATACTTATTTACATATTACATAAGTTAGACATGTGTAAGAGTGAACTTTTGTCTCATGTGTCTTTGCTACTGTGCACATAACCATTGTGAAGTAAATACTAGGCCAATGTCTACTTGGACGAATAGGCTCTGCTTATAGGATCTGTCCTATAAGCAGATGGAGAACAAATCCTGTGAGTGGGGTGAACTCACCTTACGCATTTGAATCCCATGGTCTAGTTCCCTTTATGCACACACATATAATGTTGCCAAACAGCCACTGGGCTATGCTAAGCTAGTATTCTAAATAATAAGACTACAGATTTTTAGAGGAAGCTGGAGTTGTTATGCTAATAATCATTTTGGATCTTCCTTCTCATCCACTGCCTCATTATTTGCAATGTTATGGTTAGCAGAATGGCTAAAAGTTTGAAGTGTTTAACAAATGACTTTCTTAAATCTTATTTTCATGAAGACACACCATCTCAGAGGGTGCAGTTTATTCTGGGTACCGAGGATGATGATGAAGAACACATTCCCCATGATCTGTTCACTGAAATGGATGAACTTTGCTTTAGAGAAGGAGAAGAATATGAATGGAAAGAAACTGCCAGGTAACTCATGGATAGTTCCATTTCCCTATCATCCAGCAGGAAGAGACTTGCCTTAATGTAACTTGGATGGCCAATCAGTTTTCTGTAGAAATATACTGAAGTATTCCTATAGCTTACTTCCCTTAAGCATGCTTCTTTTAGCTCTATGGCTACTAATAATGCTCTTTAAAATAAGTAGCAATTCTCACGTATGTATCAGTGTCAGTTGGTGGGCTAGTTGACAAAATTGAGAATGCAGTCCTATTACCCCTATTCAACCCAGTGGGTCTTATTTCTGAGTAAACAAATAGAGGATTGCTGATAAGTCTTTTTAAAAATCAAATCCTTAAAACGGTACAAGGTATTGGAAAAAGAAGAAAAGGTGGGTTAGCAATGAGAGAACATGAAGCACTTCCTGACAGTTAGGACCCTGAGGGTATGGAATGGGCTTCCATGTGAGGTCATTGAGGCCCCATCGGTGAGGGTGTTCAAAGATAGGCACATGGAGGGCATGTCGTGAGTGGAGTCGGCTGGAGCCGGGGGTCAGACTAGATGGCCTGGGAGTCCCCTTCTGACTCTCCCTGTTTCTGTGTTTCTATGTAATAAGAAGTGACTCAAGACAATCATGCTAGGAAGAGTCAAAAGCAGCACAAGAAGAGGAAGACCAAAAATAAAATGGATTGACTTTACAAAGGAAGCCATGGCCTTGAATTTAGAGAGCTGAGCAGGGCTGTCCAGGAGAGGACTTTCTGGAGGGCATTCATTCATAGTTTGTCCTAAGTTGGAGATAGCTTGATGGCACATAACTAGATTGCAAGCTGACATATTTTCAAGGCTTTTCTCGATGTGTGTGTTGATGTACACATTTGTTTCAGATGGCTGAAATTTGAAGAAGATGTTGAAGATGGTGGTGAGCGATGGAGCAAACCTTATGTGGCTACGCTGTCTCTGCACAGTCTTTTTGAACTGAGGAGCTGTATTTTAAATGGGACAGTCATGTTGGATATGAGAGCAAATACACTGGATGAAATAGCAGGTTAGAACAGTTGCATTTAAGGATTTTTAAAAATGCTGACAAATACTTTGCTTAAAATCACACAAATAATGCATTGTTTCATTGTTCTTTCTGCAAAATGCACATGGTGAAGGGAGAAAAGTAGCAATGTTTCTGTTTGTACTGAAGTTGTGTTCCCTATCAGTTAAGCTTTCATTCTGCAGACTTGGTGCAAAGTTCTGCTGACTTGTGAGTTCCATTGCTAGAAGCTGGATATGCCAAAAAGTGTACTTGCTATACATTCTGGCTGCACTATCTCTCTGTCTCCTGCAATCTATAATATTAAAATTTGGATCTTATTCAGCATAATATCATTTAATCAAATCTTAAAACAAAATCTGGGTGGGTACTGATTGTTAATGCTTTCACTGGTATAGATGAAAAGATTGGTGCAGCACTGAGGTTAGGGTTGATCCTTAGCACAGTTGATCCTTCTGTGTCTGCACCAGTTTATCTCTCTGTCTCCTGCAATCTATAATATTAAAATTTGGATCTTATTCAGCATAATATCATTTAATCAAATCTTAAAACAAAATCTGGGTGGGTACTGATTGTTAATGCTTTCACTGGTATAGATGAAAAGATTGGTGCAGCACTGAGGTTAGGGTTGATCCTTAGCACAGTTGATCCTTCTGTGTCTGCACCAGTTTAAAAGTGCTGTCAGGTCTTTAATGCCAAAACAACTACATAAGTTTTATACTCATAGTCTTCTACGGACACTCAGGCACTATACTGCCAAAAGTGTTATTCAGTTAAGATAATAATTTTAGAACTATGCCAGAGTTTATGGTGAATGGCAGGCATGGGGACTCATGTTCCTTGCATGTCCCCATTGAAAATGTCAATCAGGAGCCACTGCTAGTGATGTGAGAGTCAGATCCTACCAGGATGGGTAGAGTTTGAAGAATGCAGATTGCTCTTTGTCACAGTATTCCTTTCCTCTCTCTTGCACTCTTTTTATCATGTATTCACACATGAAACAGAAGAGGAAGGATTCTGAGAGATGTCATTTGTAAAGCAACAGCTCGCAGTGTCCAGGGGGTCAGCTGACTGAGGGTTGCATGAGACTAGGCTGAGGGTCACAGCTTTATTTATACATACATACATACATACATACATACATGTATTTATACGCCACCTATAACTGCCAAGGCCTTCCTAGCTTTCTTACCCCAGATCTAAGAAAGTCAATTTTTATGTCATACATTTATTGTTTAGCCAAAACTAGTTTTCTAGTGTCACAATTTAGTAAAGGTGAGTCTTGAAGATGGCTTCAGGATAGAATTTATCTTAAAACTAACTTTTGAAGTTGTTAGTAAATGCTCTATATAAATTAGAGGTCACTATACTGTTTAACTTTCCTTTTTTCCCTTATAGATATGGTATTGGATAACATGATAGCTTCTGGACACCTGGATGAATCTATGAGAGAGCAAGTTAGAGAAGCTCTTCTGAAGAGACACCATCACCAGAATGAGAAAAAATTCAGTAATCGGATTCCTCTTGTCCGATCCTTTGCAGATATAGGCAAGAAACATTCTGACCCTCTCTTGCTTGAAAGAAATGGTGAGATAAGTTGTAGCATCCAATTAATTTTAATTTTAACAACATAATGCAGAGATGTGAGAAAAGTCAGCAAACATAAAGAAAACAAGTTCAAAATTCCTTCCTGATAATATAGAGAATTGTGCTGTTTATGCCTTTTGAAATGCAAGTGTTAATAGCTGTACTTACACAGTTAAGTGTGATCTGAATTACTTCATAATGTTGTCATCCTATTGCCTTTATGCAAAGATGCATATGAAAGCAGAACTATGGATATGCTGTTGTACTTGATTACGTGTCTTCTCTATTTCCTGGATCTTCCTTTTGTCATCAGATTTAGTAACAAAAACATATCCATTATTTTTGCTTTAGAAGAAATGAATAAGTGATAATGTGATGAGGAAAACCACACTGCCTTCTATTAAAAGAGCTGGATGGTTTCAGTAGTTTTGGTATGCTATGTATATACATGTGCACATGCATGCTTTGACATAGTGGAGGTATAGCATCATTGTGGAATATCTGAATAGTATATTCTTTATTTACTGAATTTTCTTACACAGATGGTGGCAGGAGGGAGTGAGTTTCCTGAATACTGGAAACTACAGAAACTGTTAGGGTCCCCCAATATGCTGTCTGTGGGCATCCAAATTTGTCTATTATTTCCACTTTTTAAAATATGGGTACATGGATTTGTATGAAATACATACATCAGTTGCAACAAAAGCAGACGAAATGTATAAACACATAACCATTTGAAGGGGGTATCTATACACCTACCATTTCATATACTCAAAGCATTATATGATCCTCAGTCCATTGCATTGTAAGAGGTAAGTGGTTATCCTTCCAAAGAAGTTATATCAGCCTTTAAGCTGTTGAAAGGGTGTGGAGGATCTAGTCCCCTTTCTATTTGTTAATTTATGTGAAGCAGGTAAATAATTTAAGAGTGTGTACATCAGTGACTTTAAAGACTGTTCTAAGTATCAGTATAATAAACTGCACCTCAAAAGAAGCGACTACTGGACAGGACCCTTCCCCCAATAAATAGGTAGATAGATAGATAGATAGAATAATAAAATAAATAAATAAATAAATAAATAAATAAATAAATAAATAAATAAATAACCATTAACTGTATCATCCTGCCAGCAATAGACAATCCATTATTAAAGAGATGTTGTGTCAAATAAACACAAGACAAATGTTTTTACTGAATAAATCCAGAGATGCAATAGGTAGACATCGAAGCAGCAATACACTGATTGGGTATTTTGTAGTGGTGCTCACAACTTTTTCTCAGATTCTTGCATGTGCCCACTGGTTAGGGGCTCCTAGTCTATAGTATCAGAAGTAGTTCCTGATACTCAGACTAGCATCACTGTTTAAATAATTTCAGGTAATTAAATGTCTGTCTCACTTTTATATTTCTTTATTCTGTGCTTTTAATCCCATTTGTCCCACCTTTGTTGGCTGTTCAGGTATGTATACCTTAAGTTTCTGAGTTTTGATTGCAGCTTAATTAAGGATCCAGGATGCTTACTCATAGCTGGGTAGCTCTCCGGTTCCATATTATTAGGAGCCAATAATAGAACAGTGCCTTTCAAGGCCCTGATCAGAGCATCTCCCTCTGTAACATTCTATGGGAACTTCTGTTTAGAACTCTGACACCTGTTTTGGGAAAATAAGTGTTCCAGTACCATTGACATTCTAGATCAAAATTGTGATTGACCAGCTGTCAATCTGTCTCCCATGTAATTTTGTATGTTGTATGTCAGGTACTACACTTACAGATTTTTTCTGAATCATGCTCTAAGAAAGATGCTTGAAATTTTTACTGTCTATTTAAAATGTATAAATTTCAATTTCACAAACATAGTTTCTGATGTTTTGTTCTGTCTTTTCTGAATCTTAACTAGTTATCAGAAGTATAATTTTTGTTCTCCATTATCTGGTAGAGTTATCTAAACAAATGCTGACTTTTTTAACATCTAAAGTTCTGCTTAACCCTTATGTTTTGCTTATCTCACCTATGAATGAGGTTTGATCTGCCTTTTAAGACTTTTGTAGTATAAAATATGTAACTTTTATTTCAGCTGAATATTTTCATCACTTTATTTGTTTTATCTCAGGGGAAGGCCTTTCAGCCTCCCGCCACTCTTTACGAGCAGGTCTCTCTGCCTCAAATATTTCCCTAAGAGGAGAGAATCGCTTGTCCCTTCTTCTCAATTACCTTCTTCCTGGATCTCCAGCAGTCTCAAGGAGCGCAACCCCTTTACCTACCCCACAAAGCACTCCACCCTCCACTCCTGGGTGCAGTCACAAGGCAACCTCAAATGTACAGCCAACTGAGCTTCAGGCTGCTGAACTTCTAGTGTCTCCTTCTAGTGATGAGATCCCTAAAGTAGTAATTCATCCACCTGAGGAGGATTTAGAAGCTCAGGAAAGCGAGGAGAAGACAACAGAGGATAATAATGACGTAACATCAGGCAACTATTTGAACTCAAATTATCCATGTGTGATGCTTTTTGCAACTGAATCACTTCCACTGCGAAGTTCTTATTGCACAGCTTGAGCACTCATGAGCTGTATATCAATGTGTTACTTGTTTGCATGCTTCATTTCTCTTGTGTGATATTTTCTTGGAGAACTTCATCTAGTATTTTGAATTGGATGCAAGAATTTACACAAGTATTAACACAAATTAACACATTGAAAGCAATGAAATATTTGAGTACTTTTTCATACTCTCTTTTGTTTCAAAACCAAAATAAATTTATTCAGCAAGAGCTTCTGCCTTGAAAAAAAGAAATATTGGGGTGGGAAATTAAGTTATAAATTATAAACTTGAAACTAAGATACCAAATGGTGGCCTTTTCCTTCTGTTTAAACCTTCTAATTTCTACTAGCTGAGGCAAACTTTTAGCACCAGAGGATGTCAGGCACTTTAAAGAGCATGGTCTGAAAATTTCAGTTCAATTTTGCTTTGAATTTGAACTTCACTTCTTTACAGTCATAACCAGTTCTTCATTTAGTTGATATAAATGCTAGTTTCAATGTTGCAATAGCCTGTTCTTCAATTATTAGAAAGAGAGGCTTTTGCAACAGCCAATTGGGCATTTGTGTGTATTAAATGGGAAATAAATATTTGCTGCTATTTTAAACGGTGCTGTTTAAAGTAAGGGTTGCTGAGGCAACTTCTGCTATGGGGACAGATTTGTTTCGTGGATGGAGTACCTGATAGTTCTGGCATATTACATTTTTACCTGTTAACCTTTTTGCATGGTTGTTCTATGCTAGGTAGTCTACGGTTTATTGCACAGGAGTTGTGACAGTTGCCAGTGCCAGAGTAGGGATAGGAACTTGGCCTGGTTCACATATCATGCTAGCCAAGAGTATGCCCAAGAAGACAACCCATAGCTTGTTGTATTGCTGCTTCTTGTGAACTTTTGGGTCATATGTGGGTATCCCATAATTAAGCAATACTACAGGTCTCACACATAACAACCCAAAATTCAACAACAACCCATACTCTGCGTTGTCGTTGTGTGTGAAGCCAGTCTGTGTCAGGGAGCTTACAATTTGATCATATTGGTTGTGGCACACATATAATTGAGTTAGGTTATTGATTTTAATTTTATAAGCTGTTTTACCATGTGTTACTTCCTCCTTCCCATAGTAACAAAGGAGTACATTGTGGAACCACGGAAAACAATAATTTAATTAAAAATGTAGAGGCCAGGGAAGCCATGAAGCAAAAATTAATTTTTAGTTTATTTCTGCTTCATGTCCATAGATGCTGGGGTATGAATGGCTTCTCTTCTCACAAGCAGTATTTTGTTATAGTGTTGCATTAAGTGTGATGCAGTGAAGATGTTCTAGAAGCCATATACAGTAAGGTTTCACTTAGTGGACTGTGGTCCAAAAGAATTTAATAGAAAATTCCAGAAACACAATAACATTCATAATTTAAATTGTGCACCATTTTGAGTAATGTGATGAAATCTTGTACAGGATGTTAATCATCCCTTTATCTAGTGTATCAATGCTGTATATGCTACTCAGCCATTAGTCACTTAGTAGCCATCTCAGTTGATGGTGAGTACAGTACAATAAATATTCGTGTGTGTGTGAGAGAGAGAGAAAGAGGGAGGGAGCACATTCATATAACCTTTATTATTATAGTTCTATTTTACTATTAGTTATTGTTATTAATGTCTCAATGTGCATAATGTAATTAAACTATCATATTTATTTATTTGTTTTCTAGGTATGTATATAGGTATATAGTGTTTGCTACTACCTGCGGTTTCAGGCATCTGCTGTGGGGTTTGAAACCTACCCCCTGTGGCTACAAGGGTCCTACTGTATTAGACTACTGCATCCCTGCCTTAAAATTATGTGGGAATGTTTGATTCTACTTCATTTTTTCTTTCGTTGCTCTGTTTTCTTGATCTGCATTGAGTACTACAATTTAAGGAACTTGACACTAGCCTTTCCCAGCAAGACGCACTTTAGATATTTTGTTCTATCATTCCCATAATCTCCAGGCAGCATGAACAATGACCATGGTTGCTGGGAATAGTGGGAATTGTCATCCAACACATCTGGAGTGTGACAAGCCAGGGGGGAAGCTGCTTTCATTTAAACTGAGCTTTCAATCATTTGTAGAAGAAAGGTACAGCCATTACCGATGTGAACCTTTACTGGAAGTGTGTCTTTCAGCAAATAGGAAAACATTTCTATATAGGTGTTTGGTGCTGTGATTTGAGAAGCCATGAGAATTGCTATCCTTGCAAACAATAATGCTTGCATAGAAAATAGACTAATTTAATATAACTTAAGGTACAATCCTATGAAAGTTTATGAAAAATGGCCTACAAATCCCAGCATGTTCCAGCCAGTAGAGCTAGCACAGGATTGCATTCTTAAACTCTGAACTGCATAAGTGTAGGTGCCTGATACTACTCCAAATATATAATGCCAAGTACTTAGAGTGTAATATCTCTGTCACTCAATGGGCAGGTTCAAATGTAACATTAAGTGGCCCGTGCAAATAAACTGTGTGCTATGAGTTGTTTGATGAACCTACAAAAATAATAATAGAAAGACCTCAACTCCATATTTTAAGGTCCCTCGCCCCCCCCCCCCCCCAAAGCATACCTGGGAGACAAAACAGAGTAGCGATAGAGTATGGAGAGGGACATGAAAGGAGACAAGTGGAATTCTGCTGCAGAGTCTGTTGAGAGTCAGCTGAAGGACTTGATACGAGAAGTCTTCACAAGCCTGACTGGATGTAGTGTGATGTTTCAGTGTGCATTTGTGTGGTGTAGTGTTTTTGTACGAGTGGCTTAGCATGATGTACAAATCCACCTATTATAAATTTCTAATTTTTATTTTTGTTTCTTTTTCAAACATGGGTAATACCTATGTTACACTCCTTGCAACTTTTCAGGAATGAAATGTTATATACCTTTTCTAGTCATTTCTATGGTTTGTTTAACTCCAAAAGGAATTCGGCAAAGCTTATGGTGTTAAAAAGTGGCACTTCTTGAATAAAGTTACCTTCTTACAGAGCAATCAAAAATAGGTATTCTTACTTGAGATTTGTTACAGTAAAAGTTCTGTCCTTGTCTCTGACACATAGACCTGCATATATTCTCTGCTTTCAACTGCCTAAAACTGCTTTCGAATGTGGGGAGAATATAGGCTAAATTTTATTTTAGGCCAAAATAAAAAGTCAAACTGCTAACAGAAACATCCATTTCTTTATGTTGCCCATTTCTTCTTCAGGTAATGAGTCAGTTTAATTGAAAACAAACACATACTCAGTTCCTGCATATGGTTTGATTGCTTTAAATGCTATCCCAGGAGCTACTCATGGGAAGGATCTGTCCTTTAAAGCAAAAAAAAAAAAAAAAAAAAAAGGTTCACCGCATGCTGACATTTAAAAAAATCAATATCATATTCTGTAGCTTTGTAAAGTTAGACTGCATACATTCTGTCTTCTCCAGAATGCAGTTGGATATGAGAGGAAGTAGAGGACTCTTAGAAATCGATGATTGCTTAGTGGTATCTACTGGTAACAAAGCTAAAATTAGATCAAAATAATGTAAGCGAACATGACTTGGCATAAAGTAACTAAGAGAATGCTAAAGTAAAATGATCCAAAATGAAATCTCTTTTTAGTAGTGTGATTGTGTGTGGACTGTTGTTGTTGTTGTTGTTGTTGTTGTTGTTGTTGTTATTATTATTATTATTATTATTATTATTATTATTACATTTTTATACTGCCCATAGCCAAAGCTCTGTTAGGCATTGTTTGTCCTTGTTACATTTGCTTTATGAATTATTACTCTAGTTGAATTGCAGTCTAAATATTTAGCTTGCTTGTAAGCAAAAGAAGTAGATGCTATTGGGAATTTCTCCCTATCTAGAGCATGTCTGTTTGGGCATACTGGGTTTACCAGCACCAATACAAAATGCTTCAGTTCCAAAGAGGAAGTTACCAATCCTGGAATTTGATGCCTCTTGATAAAAAACAAACAAACTACATATGGAATATAATTGCAAATTAAAAGAATATAAATTAAGCTAAAAATGAATTTCCTTTGTTTATAAATAAGATTTTCAATACTTTTTCAGTACGTAACAAAACAAATTTAAAATGTTCCAGACCAAGTTAGTCGTGATCAATTCCACATGGTTTCAATGGAACTTAATAGCTAACATTTTACATTGGTTTCAATGAGACCCAAGTGCAAATACTATAACTGGGATCCAGCCAAATAAAAACTGATAAAATGATCAAAATTTTCAGTCAACTATATCATGGACACATTAAAATAAGATAATTTTGTGGTGTAACAAAATGGCAATGGGAGAGGTCCAAAGCAATCTCCTAGGGAAGCAGATTGTAATATCCAGAGGGCACTGTGGAGAAAGTGTATATCCATTAGTTGAATACAGGTCAGTAGTGGAATGTAGAAAAGACCCTCCTTCAAGTCTTTGTTAGAAGGTTCATGTGGTTACTGGGCCTTTATATTTCCTAATCCTAAACCAATTAAGGCTGTAGAGTCAATAACCAGCACTTTGAAACAGGCTGTGAAACAGTGAAAGTGATGTAAGAATGGAATGAGGTGATTCAGATTACTGACTCTGATCAAAATTCTTAGCTGCACATTTTGCACTAATTGACTTTTCTGTGCAGCATGATAGTAGTTCATTTGTGATGTAACTAAGGTACGCATGACTTTGGTTAACTTCTTGCTTTCTAAGTCTAATAATGTGATGCTAACAGGTGGCTTCCAGACCAATCTAATAAATAATAGTGCTGAAAGTCACTAAAAGAGTCATTAGGGCACATACATCCTGTTCAATTTCTGGTGTAGCTCATTCACAAAGGGGGAGCATCTCAAAATCACATATGCAATCAGATGGGAATTGATAGTTGAAAATGTTCTGTACTATATTTAATTTTATGTTCCCTTGAAAAACAGATTGAATACTGTTTGTTTCTATACAAACAGCTTTGTCAAGTTTTATGGGATATGTGTTTATATTCCATATCAGCTGCAACTCCTTGTCATGTTTGGACCACGGGGATCATTCTAAAGGATGGAGCTTAGAAAGAATGCAAGTTTAATATGGTGTTGCATGACAGAATACTGGGTCTGCTGTGCAAGATGGCAATCTTATAAACAATGAAATAACCTTGCTCCTGAAGTTCAACCAACAGTAAACTTTTATTCACTATTTTCCTATCCTAAGGAATATTTAAACATTTAACAGATGGCAAAGGAATCACTCGTATCTTGTGTGAACAAGTCTACCTTCCATTAGGTTTTGCTAACTTGTATGGTACATTGGATAAAGTGTTGGTTGTGAGAAGCTTCATTTCAACAACTTATTCCACCATGAGTCTGAAGGTCATTTCACCATGTTTCTTCTGCACAGAGAAAATGTCACTTCACCGTGTTTCTTCTACACAGACAAACTACTATTGCCAATTATGTCTTAAAATAATTAATTGTAACTGCAATTCAAAGATCTATTGCATTTATGTGCAAGTACCGAATTGCTTTCACAGGCAGAATTTTCCTTGAAGTTTATAACAGTTGTTATTACTGAAGTGGAAATAAGCTTTTTAAAACAGAATAGTGCTTTGGCAGTGTGTGGAAGAGTAAAACTGCAAGAACAACTCCAGAGAAAACTGGTTTACGCATGGTTCGCTTTATCATGCATAAATGAATTTCTTGGATCATGCCTAATACCCTACTTTTTAGAAAACACTTTTTTTTTGCTTTAAAACTGTGTCAAATGGGTGATCAATGGAATCCTGAGGTATCAAGCTAGATATTTTACTAGCTATTCTAAAGTATGTTTTTGTTTTATTCTGTGGTTTTTCAGACTTAAAGAAATTATGAAATCCCTCTGATGCACGATCCACTCAAAGCATTGGTGGTTAGATTTACATTCTTTGTTCTCTTTTAAAAAGTAACACTTTTTCCTGGTGCATTTTGCAAAAGGCCATCATTTAGGCAAAATCTAATTTTAACTTTTAACCAGCATTCATTGTTTTTCTGAAGAAAATAACTTGTTTGTGTGGCATTTTTGGTACTAATGCACCTTTTGTTTATTAACTTTCACATTCGCTTTTAGAAAGCTGCCACTGTCATTATGTAACTAAGTTTGTCTTCTGACTTAATTTTGAATGTGCATGTATGTTCTCTTTCTAGGACTTTTAGCATCACCACAATCTGCACCTGGTAATTTGGATACTGGGAAAAGTGGAGAACTTAAAAGTAGTGGAACAGGAGGAAGTAGAGAAAACAGCACTGTTGATTTTAGCAAGGTAAATAAAAGATACTTGGAGAGAACTGCGTTTTGAATGTTAAGGATAATTTTTGTTCTGAGGTATAAGATAATTATTTGTATGTTAAAGGCAAAATTTTTTATCTGCTAAGTGATCTAGCTTTTTACTCATTTGTAGTTGCTCCATATTCTAATTGAACAGTAATGTCTCCTGAAAGAAATGAAAAGCATGAAAATCATATTTCAGAAATATTTTAAACCATACAATTAACAGCTGGTGTTTGTGCAGTACTTCCTGCAGAAATTATGAAACAAGTCTCATATGCTCAAAAGCATTCAGAGGAGGAGCAGAAAGGAGGAGGTGGGCAATTCTAGTTTAATTGTTTGGGACGCAAGTAAATACAGTATATTTCTGAAGAAAACCGTAGTGTCCTGGATCTGAAAACATGCAAGCAAGAGTTCCCCTCCCAGAACAGGGCTTTCCCACCTCTTCATTTTTGCTGCAGCTCCACATGACACTGAACTTTGTGTGTGTGGTACAGGCCTGTCACTGAAGGAGGAAATTAGTGGAAATTGGAAGCCACCTGTGCACGAGTATATATGTTTTCTGCTCATGCTTAGGCACCATTGATTGAAGCCATTGACTTGGATCCAAAAGTAGTGCACCGGTGATCCATATTTGTAGCAAGGCTTTTTACTTCCTTTCAGCGTGTCCTGTCACATTCCGTATTCAAATACAGTAGGCAGAACTGAACACAAATGTGGTGTTTTTGTTTTCATTTTTTGGACAGTAGGAGAAATATACTCCTGTTGCCTAATGTGTTGTTCTGGTACGTGATAGAATTGTTTCATAATGTGTGTGATGCTATGGTATTATCAAAGAGTCTGGATCTCATGATGACAGGGGCAATTGCTGCCTCATATGCAGCCCTCCTATATAGAGCATGATGGGCTTTATTTCACGTATGTAAGTTCTGATGGTGCTGTTGTCATTGAGACTCAGTTTCAGTACTGGCACAGCCATTTTACCATTTCTGCAGGATCCCGAATATGGCCTCTAACTTACATAGCCTGGCTTTTCATTATAGAACAGTTAAGGTGCTTTTAAAATAGTATGATTGAAAAAAGCTGTAGGGATTTTTCCTACTGTACAAACCTGGTACGTTTTCCAAGTTTGCAGAATCTAATTTTTAGTGTAATGAATGTTTTCTTGCAAATGAGGTTTGTAATAGGAATATGGTTTTCTACAAATGCTATTGAAATGTACAGTATTTATTGCTGGTTGAACCATTACATGCATTATTCCACCATCCTGTGGTTTGCATTTAAACCTGCAGAGTGTAAGATTGCATCCTATTGCTTTGTAATTTAGTTGAACAATGTAACTCTTACTTTAAAAGATATTAGTGAACTTGCATCTAATATGTAAACAAAATTATGTAAACAAATGTTTTTCGTGATAGTTAATCATGGCAGATGCCACTGTTCCTGCTCCTCTATCACAGTTTTAATGTTTTTACTTGGCCTATTCTTCTCTGCACCTGCCTTGCTTCCTGTTGGGCAGGACTCTGCCTCCTGGCACTGTAGTTGTGGCACACTTGGTGTGGGACTCAAGAGGCCAGCTGTAAGTGTTCTTTTCTAGATAGCTGTGTAACTGGTGTCTTAGTTGCAGTGATCTGTGTTTCTGTCTGTGATCCAGTAGTTCATGTGCTGTACGATATGGTGGTGTTCCTCTGTAATTATATACACAGCTTACATAGTTAATTTATGGAGTATAGATCACTAGGTACTCCAGAGCTAGCTTTTCCTCAGGTTGACTTTATTAAATGAGCTCTGTATATAACTACATTGACTTGTTAGTTATATTTGTAGGCATTTATAATTATATCAATTACCAGGAAATAACTTTTAAAAGTAGCTATGCTTGTGCACTTTAGTTTAAAATATGTAAAGTATATAGATATGTGAGAGAAATAAAATGTTAATAAGCATTGGCACACTTTCCCATGTAGTAGCACAATCTTTTGCTTGCAGCACAGTCACTCACTGTTAAATGTCAGTTTCAGAAAAGCTTTGAACAAACTGAAAACTAAGATGGCATTTTTAATCATTCCTTTGCAAATAGGTAGATATGAACTTTATGAGGAAGATACCCATAGGTGCAGAGGCATCAAATGTGTTGGTGGGAGAAGTGGATTTTTTGGAGAGACCAATTATTGCGTTTGTGAGGCTCTCTCCTGCAGTGCTTCTCACAGGTCTCACAGAGGTTCCTGTTCCTACACGGTAAGGCAGCACGTGTATGTAATGCTGGAATTTCATTTATATACAATACACTCTTGAATCTATGACATCTGGGGCAGGAATTCTTAACTATGAGAAATACTGTTTTTGCTGCTGCTTCCTTGATATATATGCTTCCACCAGTGGAACAGTCACTGCCAGCAGGTTGAATTTCTCTTCTTCCTGCATTCCTCCCCTGATGCACCCTCCCCCAAATCTGCTGCAAAATGATTGAGTGACCCTTCAGAGGTTTTGGTGCTCGCGTAACATTGGTTTTAACTCACTGTGGGTGCATTTTATTCCATTAAACTAAATTAAAGGAAAATATAATTTCTTGCTATTAAGTGAGGTTGCAATTCTCCAGTTTCTATACTTATACTTCTCATAGCTGGTGACATGCCTTCAGTGGTCTATGCCAAAAACCTAACTGGAAAGCTGGTTTCAAGTGAAAATTGATTAAGGTATGAGTATGATAGTATGTAGTGATTAAGTAACATTATTTGAGTCGGTATGCCTGAGTACTTAACTTAAAAAGACTTTTCAAATATTTCATTAAACAGTTGCCTTTGGGAGTTGAGAGGTATGTTATTACTGAAGATGGTTCCCTGCTTAGCCTGTATCTTATCTAAATGTCTCTTTGTTTTCATTGATTCATCAATTTTATTTTTGGTATTTATTGGTCTTAAGTTGAGTATACATCAGTGTAATCTCATCTCATTTGATTCTTATTAACCTGTTCCATTCTTCCATAGATTCCTTTTTGTGTTGCTGGGTCCAGCAGGCAAAGCACCTCAATATCATGAAATTGGACGATCAATAGCAACACTTATGACTGATGATGTGAGTACTAGGAATCTAGTATCTGTCCAAAGTATTGGAACTATTCACTTAAAAATCTGAATGGAAATTAAATTCAAGTTGAACTTCTCATGGCCAATTAATTGATGTAAATTAACCATGTAGAGTGTTTTGGCTGTGGGGAGTTATAGAACTGCAGTAATTATTAAAATGCCTACTAAATGTGCATACATACCATACTATGTATTTCTGATGGAACACTGCAATACCTGCTAAAAGAAAGCATCCAGTTGTGAAACTTGACAGTTGTGTACTACTCATGGTGGTACTACAGCTGAAGACAGAATGTTACTAAATCTTACTAAATCCAGCTGCAATACCTGTAAGCCTCTGAACCTGGAGGATTATGGGCATTCAGTATAGAGCAGCAGCAGCTATCTTCATCTCTCTGCTCTCCCTTTTTGGTGGACTGTGGGTTTTTATCATCTAACTGAGGTACTTTCAAGGGGGGAGGAAAGGAGGTTGAAACAGCATAAGGATACATCATATCCTGGCCATTCCAGTCTCTTCCCCTCTGTAGCTCCTTTACCCCCTATTTGGAGTCACTTTCACAACTTCAGAGAGCAATTGGTGCAACTCTTTCTGTGCCATCTGCAAGGGGGTGGGAGAGGTGCCATGAATCCCACCTTTGAAGTCAGAGCTCCCTCCTCAGCCTCGGAACTAAGTATCTGAATGCTCTGAAGGTTGTCTACACAATGCCTTGGCACCATAGATTTGCTCCCTCTGTGGCATATTGAGCCTTGACATCATTATTGGTCAAACTGAAATTCTGGCCCAATAAGTCAGTTAATATTTTTATGTTTTGTGGTATGTTATGAGTTCTCCAAATCCTTCTAGGATCTGGCTTTAAACCATCTCTTCTGTAGAACTGCAAGGCAACCATTTTTAGATGAATTGTATGTAGAAGGTAGGCAGTTGGGAACTACTTCATTTCATACCTTTAATCTAATAGTGAAGTTGTGGGGAGTACTTGAGTTGACATTCATTGTGAAGTATTTACAATGAAGTATGAGCAAATACCACCTCTTATTATTAGTACAATCTCAAGTGACTATCTTCTGACACAGTATGTCAGAACTAGTATGAGGCAATAAGAGTTTGTCAGTCATGTAATGTGGCAGCACAGTTTTGCTGGCACAAGTGTGATGATATATTTAATCAGGACCTGTTGTTGCACAGAATTTAAGAAAACATCATTGCTCTCTGAATGACCAAAATAGTACAGACCATGACTTCAAGAAACCTGTTCCTGAAGCCTTTTCCTGAGGGCATCTTTAAATCCATGGGTTGATTAATGAGGAACATGTTCCATTCAAACGTAGGCTCTCTTATTTTAAAAGTAATAGTACCTTCTCCAGGGACTTTGTGGTATTCTAGTGTCACTACTTTCTTGTACATCCAGTTCTGTAAATGTTTAACTATTAAAGCATATTTTCCTTTCATCTTCCCACTGAAAAAATGTTGATGAGTTTCTATTAATTTTTAAAGCAGTATCATAGACTTGATGTGTAAATGCCCAGTGGGAGAGGTACATGTATGAATAATAAGTACATGTGCACACACACGACTACATATATATTATTTGCATGCAGAATTTATGTAAAATTTATGTAAATTAATTCTTCATTTGGACTTTAAAATACACTAGTAATATTTTTGTAAGTTTTTAGGCAAGTCTCCTGTTTTGCCCAGACACCAAATACAAATATATGTGTGCATATGTTTTCTAAAGGTTTTCCATGATGTTGCTTATAAAGCCAAAGATCGAAATGATCTGCTGTCTGGAATTGATGAATTTTTAGATCAGGTGACTGTTCTGCCTCCAGGAGAGTGGGATCCTTCTATACGAATTGAGCCACCAAAAAGTGTTCCATCTCAGGTAATACCTCTTGCCATGAAAAACCATGATTGAAACTGTTTAATGGTGTGGTATGCCAGAGTTATGAATAATGTGCAGAAAAAATCCTAAATTATTCACTAAGCTAATAGAAAGTAAAGAACTGCAGCTTTAAATTGAGATCTAATTCACATTATTGCATTCTGTCACATGTGAAATGATTCTCAAAAAAATTAAATTCCATTGTATGTTGAATAGTTTTAAGTACACTAGCCAAAGTGTACTTAAAGAATAGGGCCAAATCCCTATTCATCATCTCCCCCTTTTCTTCTCATGGATTTACAGAGGAAAAAATGTCTCTTGCATGTATTGTGGTGTTGGAAGCTGGGGAGTGAGTCAAACTCTTGCTTGCTTACTCCTCCCTCCCTCCCTCCCCAGTCTAACCCGAATCTGAACCCAAACCCTTAGGTGGTCACTTCCTATACTAATAGCTGTTCTGGCTCAAATGAACCGTCAAGGCACCTTGTCACAACCCAAACTCTTAATAAGGAAAAGGATGAAAAAATCAACATGACAGTAGTGCTTTACATATTATATTGCATTATATTAATAAATGCATATAACATAACCTAGCAGCTCCTGTGCCATATACTTCAAATACCTACCTTTGGAAAAGGGTGATTTATGTTGGAGGACTAGGATCACATTCAGCCTTTGAAGAAATACACCTGAAGTGAGCAAATAAACTTCTTTTATCTAGATGCTGTCAGGTTTCTCAAATGTACTCTGAGTCCATGGTCTAAGATTGGGTATGTAAAAAATTTACAAGTGTCTAGCTGTCTTTGATTAAATGAATTCTGTAAACAATATAGACACTTATTCCAAGTTTTTCTGATGCAGAAGAATGCTCACTGAAAACACATTAAACATTTGTATTTTCCCTGTAAACTATCCTCTTTGTAAAATATGTGACCAGTAAATCCTTAAAAATGAGATTTCTGTTATTGATATCTAAAGCTTTTGAATATCAAATATTTTTTTTTCTTTTAGCCCTGTGTTAATTGCTGAATTAATGTAAGGTTGTTATCTATTATTTCCTTTCTAATTTTCAGGTAAACTGCATCATGTGTTCGGACTGAATGATTCTTTCTAGCTGAGAGGAGGAGCTTAAAATAATACTTGTTCCTGTAGTCTGAGAATTGCAAAATCAGTCTGAAGTCTCAAATGCATTTTCTTGATGCAGGAGAAAAGGAAGATACCTAAATTTCCAAATGGAGCTGCTTCTTCTGGAGAGCCTCTTAAAGAAGAAGGCCATCATGCTGGACCTGAATTACAGAGGACTGGAAGGTGTGTGACATTTGTTTAATTAAATTCTAGCAATCTTAAAGTAAAAGTCTAAATCGTTGTTACTTTAGGAATTTGCAGAATTATATGTATAAAAACTTCTACCTATCCTGCTGGCCTGTTACAGGCTCCTAATACTACAACAGTATCCTTCAGTGCACTTCTGGGGAAAATGAAGTGTGTGATAATGCCTTAACTGAAAACCTTTTCAAACTGAAATAGTGTTAAAAATATTTACATCCTGTATTGACCACAAGAATAGCTTAAAACTAAAAGTTGTCTATAGTGGGCTAGATATTCGAAACATTCCATAATGGAAAACCAGAGAGACTTCATCAGTGTGGATGTTCTGTGAGCACCCAATCTTAACACTGCCCTAGAAGTTGAAAGAAAGTCCTCTTTGGGCCTGTTTAAATGTTTTTCAACTGTTATTCCTGGTGATTGTATAGCTTACCAGAAATTAACAGAGCCTTATGCTATTATTAAAATGGATTCCTGTGGCAAGTGAAGGAATTTAAAAAGTTTAGATGGCTTCTCATAAAATTGTTAATTTTCCTCAATATTTTTTCCTTGAGGATTAATTTTATATAGCCTGTTTGTTCTGACTATCTTTTAAGCACAGAAATATACATAGGTCTGATATCCATGCATTTAATTTTTGGAGGTTAAATTGGGTTCCTTCCTTAGAATATTTTAATAAGGTTAATTATTGCAATTATCTTTTAAATATGGTATGCCAACATTAACAAATGCTTACAGCTTATTTCCAGTTTCCTTAAACATTTGAGATTTCTCTTGACAGTTGGTCCTGCTATATAGAAGTCTCTTTTTAAATTAGGCAAGACTATATGTATTCCATGATTCAGTGCAACCAATATACAAGTGGAGAAGTTGGTAGTGGGTACAGAATATGGCATCTTGAGATTATTATTATTATTGTTGTCATATATAAAGTTTCTGACCCTCTGACAAAGGCTGCTTGGAACTGTGCGGGCAATGTCTGATGCAGTGTCAGAATCCATAGCTGGGACTGAATACATTTCCCTGGGGTTGGCAAGGGAGGGGCTTCAGTGCTTCATAACTGCCAGAAGGAAAACAACAGAAAAGGTTTATTTGCAGAAGTTTGAGTTTGTTAGTACGAAGAATACATAACTTTGACACTACAGTATTCTGGATATTGTTGTATTTTTTAAAATCATTGTTGTGATGCCTATTACTTCCTTTTGACTTTGGAGACTCTCCAGTGTTAAAGGAGTAAAATAATGCCAGTTTCTCCTCAGGTAAGGCTATTGCCACCACTTACAGTTTTACTACATACCCCTGTCTGAGCTTGGAACACTTTTAAATTTTATAAATCAGAACAGGATAAGAATGGGCAGAGATAAGGTGTTGTGAAGAAGGATCATAGGGAAGTCTCCAGTAAGGAGGCATAATTGCAGTTTCAGTAAATTTTCAAATGGGGTTTGCTTTTTCATACATCAAAATGGATTTACACATAGAAAAGAAGTGTTAATAACCAGAAAATACACCAGAGCCCAAAAGAAACAAACTTGTAAAAATCCATATCTGTAGGGGTTTTTTAAAATGTAAAACAACTATATATGTGACAAGGTTAGGCTTAAATCATAGCTTCTTTCTCTCAGGCTAGCCACTTTGTCAGTTAGAGAGAGGTCTCAAATACCAGTGAGGTATTTGTTCTCCACCACCTCTTGGATTCTTTTAAGAAGGAAGGGGCTCTCTTGAGCTTTTTAGACCCAACTGCTGTCGAGCTGGCCAGACTACTTTGTAACAGCGGTAAGCTGCATCTAGTAGTGTCATAGCAAAAGATGGGATATAAATCTTTTAATTTTAATTTAATTTAAACATTTCTATGCTGTCCTTTTCAACAAACCTCAGGACAGCTTACAAAAGATAAAAATAGTAATATAAAATGCAATTAAAACATTCAATAATAACACAACATGAACAATAGTTCATAACTAAAGAAAAAAGAAAGGAGAAAAAGAACATGCGACTGTGTAAGATTACTACTACTATTATTAAAATTATTGATATTAATTATTAAAATGGTGGCCAAATAAAAAAGGTCTTTACCTGGCGCCGGAAAGAGTAGAGAGTTGACGCCAGGTGGGCCTCTCTGGGGACCGCATTCCATAGTCTGGGTGCCACTTCAGAGAAGGCCCTTCTCCGGATAGATACCCTCCTTACCGCCTTCAAAGAGGGTTCCCAGAGCAATACCTCCCCTGTTGATCTAAAGGGCATGAGGGTATATAGGGGAGGAGATGTTCCTTCAGGTATCCTGGTCCCAAGTCATTTAGGGCATTATAAGTTAGTACCAGCACCTTGAATTGGGCCCAGACTTTAATTGGGAGCCAGTGAAGCTGGTAGAGGACCAGCATTATATGATAATAATGGCCGGCCCCCATCAGCAAGCTGGCAGCTCTATTTTGTACCAATTGATGTGTCTGGACTGTTTTCAGGGGCAGCCCCACATAGAGTGTGTTACAATAATCTGTTTAGATAAACAGATGTGAAGCACCTTGAACTGAAATTGATACTCAACATTTTCCTGTGATCCATCTGCTCCAGGCTACGAATAAGAGCTTTGGCATTAAACAGCTCTCTGAGACTGTCCTAGTCTCTTTTCTGGGAGGAATATAGAGTCTTCTATGACATAGGGTGAGGGTGGGAAAGTACTTCTGAGTTTGTGGTGGGGGGAAGCACATGAGAGCTCTACCAGCTATCCATCAGCCAGGTGCCATCAAGGTGTGGCATGGGGCAGTGGGATGATCTTCCTCCTTTCACCCTTGTCTGGGCAGTTTTGCCTGCCATACACCTTCCACCCAGGGTTGGTGAACTGCTAATCTGGTTACTCTCCCAATTATCCATGATAATAAAGGAATTCACTTTCCCGTCTCCTTCTCATGATGCCTTTGGTGGTCTCCTGGTCTTAAAGAAGACAGTTCTTGGAGGGCCCTCTGGAGGAGCCAGGTCCTCCATGGACCACATATGATCTGTAGGTCAGAGGTCACCCTTTTCCTGGCATAGGAAATGGGCCTGGCTCTATGTATGCCCATACAAGAGTATATAAGCAATCACATTCACATAGAATGGGAAGCTTAATATGAACCAACTGTATGCTCATGCATGCAGCTAAGTAAAACAGAAATGAACATACCAGAAATCCTGGTTTGTTACTTCTAGATAAGCCAGGACTGTACACCAAAATGCAGTTCCGACAACATGCTAAACAATTTCTGAACTGTTTAGCTGCTTACGTTAGTCACTGAATCACACATCAGGAGTCAGTGTTCCACATGTGCTCCCATGCAATTCATTCAAAGTAAACCAGGATTCCCCAAGAACCTGTTTAACATTCATTGTAACTGTGGCCAATGAGTTAAGAAATCCATACACTTTTCTGAAAATTCAACTGTTAGGTAATGTGTTTATGTTCAGAGAGACATGATATTAGTAGAGGTATAAAAATGTAAAATGTGCAGGAAATTGCAAGAGAGTTTAGATGTAAAATATTTTGCTGTCCCTTTGCATATTAATTAAAATTGCGAGGAGGTATAGATGATTTTTGTAGAATATTTTCTGGGCTTTTTTCAGAATCTAGCCCATTATGTACAATATCTGCTACCATTAAGGTATATAAACTAGCTTATCAACTGAGTTTCCTCTAGGTACTGAAAATGAGTGGATGATATTGGTATATTTGTAGCATGTATTGTCAGTAGGCTTTGAGTATATAAAATAAGGCTAATTTGTGCTAAAAATCTGCACTGTCAGTCTTGTGTATCCCATAGTTTTAAACATTCTGGAGTCCTTTAGTGTACAGTTTGACGAGTTTCATCTCACCTATTTAGGCTTTTTGGTGGTTTGATACTTGACATCAAAAGGAAAACACCTTTTTTCTTGAGTGACTTCAAGGATGCATTAAGTCTGCAGTGCCTGGCCTCGATTCTTTTCCTATACTGTGCCTGTATGTCTCCTGTAATCACTTTTGGAGGGCTCCTTGGAGAAGCTACAGAAGGCAGAATAGTGAGTACAAAGAATGGTAGTAGCCAGGCGTTTAGATTTTCAGAGGCAAGTGACTGTGTTCATTTGTCTCCTTTATTTCTACCTTTATTTTAAGACTTTTAGCCACAACATTTTATTAGACGTGCCCCAGAAATATTATATTAACTGTTGTGGGAAATGTGGAAAACATGTATATATGAACAGGAGAAGATGCACAGTTCAGGTAAAAATTATCCTGTCTTGATGAATACATTGATGAATTGAGAAATGGTTTGCATTGTCTTTATTTGCAAAGGGATTAAACTGGCTGTTGGGAAAAATATATGGTCTACCATCAGAGTAGCCTACATTGACTACAAGAGTAATGATTCAAAGATTGCTTTGTTAGGATAATAGACCCATATGCTTTTCTTTCCAAAGAAGCTTTGGAAAGAAAACTACAGAAAGGAGGACTCAGGGCTGAATTATATTAAATGTCATACACATATGCATGTAATATGTGCTAGAGAAAAACTGTTTCAAGAAAAGATAATTTGGAGCAGAGAAGTGATGAGGAGTACTCCATCTTTTCCTGGCTTGTCCCTTGTCAATAACTTCCCCTAAGCTATTTTTGCTTTATTCTCTTTGGAGGTGGGGATGCAGCAGGGGAGTGTTGAGCTGAGAAAAAATGAAGCACACTTTCAAAACCTCCAAAGATACAACTCTTTGCTTCTAACTCACTGATGGAAATCTTCCCATCAATAAGTTAAATGCTAGAAGTTCAAAACTTCCAATTGATTTTTGAAGAAATCATTGACCTTGACAAAGAAAAGAATTATGAAATGTATTAGGAGCTGTAAATATTATTGCAACTGTTTTATGTATGTGTCTGGGGTTCTTTACAGCTCTTTTTATCTTCTTTATTTTGAAGCACCTCTTTGCTACCGTTTCTCCATTGTAGATTACACTTCTGGAGCTGCTTTTCTCTAGAAATAATTGTTGAGATGTAAATATATGTTTGTATGTAACACATATTTTGGTTCCCAAATATCTGAAACATTGGCAAACAGTTTAACTGTTATGTGCTATAAGAAACATCTAACTTCTTAAAGAGAAACATGTACATGAACCTTGTCTCCTTTAGTAATCATGTTTTGATTATTATTTAGAATGTGTAGGCTTTTGGAACAGTTGACCTAAAAGGGTTTTAAATTAAGGGAAATCATCGTATATGGAAATTACTGTTTGGGGTTAACCTATCATTATATAATAGGCATCTGTGAAACTACTTAAAAAGACCTGAGTGTTTACATGTAAATATGTAAAGTGCAAATGTCTAAAATTCTCAAACTGAAAATATCAGCATTGTTTATTCCTCCACACAGCGACAATATATCTCAGTTTTCCCCACCTTGTTTAGTTTTTTTAATACTTGAATACTTTTATACATGGCATTTACAGCAAAACAAACCACTGCTCTGCCTGCTTGTGGAGATTTGGCTTTCAGTAATATAGGACATCCTTGTAATGTGGTTTAATATTCTGAAAAGGCCTATATTGTTTCTGCTAAAATACTTTTTAAAGCATATTGTCAAGCAGCTGGTTTACAAATATGTACCTCCTCTGTGTAAATTGAAAAATGCCTTCTTTCTTCTAGCTGTCTAGGATTCTTTGCTGCCTTCACTTGCTTGGTGGGCATCAGTGAATTTATTAAATTAGTTACTGTACACATGTGTTCAAGCACAGTAACTGGCCTGTAAGGTACACACTTGTGTTTACACTACTTTCTCACAAGTACTCCTGCCCTTGCCATCCTGCCTTGAGAACCCAAGGTTAATGCATTGATAATTGAAAACCAGTCTAGCTTATGGTTAACATCTGAAAAATTAGCTTGGTCTTATATGCTCCATGATGTGCAAACCATGATAATTACATTGATTATGGCTCTATTTTGACTTAGCTCTCCTATTGGTACTTAGTTTTCCTGAGTATTGATAGATTTAGTGCACATTGTATCAGCCTATATTGTATTTGTCCACTAATTACCTTATGTCTTGAAAACCTTGCATTGAATTGAGGAAATTAAATCTTGGATTGTCTGTCCATGCATTTTTAAACTAATATTGATACTTTGAAACTAGCAGCATAATTTTAAGTCGTTCTATTTCCTGTGGATGGGCTATATCACAGAGTAAAATGGTATTAAGAAAATAGTTGGACAAGTACAAAACATTGTAACTAAAAATGCATTACCAGGTGGGATGATGATTTCTGTTCCATTTATTGTGTTCATTTATTTTAATTTCCTTTATATGTCAAATCATCATTGTTTCATTGTGTCTAGTTAGTTTCTGTTTTGTCACATTTTGCTTTTTTAACAGTTTTAATACAGCACATCATACTCAGTCTGGGTACAGGTTTGTTGCAACGTTCTTTATACAGAAGGAGGCTCTTTTCTCTCTTATTAGTTTGTGCCCTACAATTGTTTACAACTGTTTTTTCTTTAGCTTTCCAACTAAGTAATTTGTTTCCATGGTTTTTGGAGAACTTTACTACTTTTAAGTGAAGTATTCTGACTTATGATTATGATATTGCTAAGTTTCAGTTTTAGACTGTATTACAGCTAGTAATGATAGTATTCTAATTCCTGCCACTGTTTACAGGTTAATGAATGTAAGATACAATGACAAATGTCATTTTAGAATTCAGTGAATCACAGGATCTTTTCCTCCCTTCAGAGTGCAATAGAGTCTTTATTTGGAGCATCATTAACTGGGATTGCCTATTCACTGTTTGCTGGGCAACCTCTGACAATATTGGGGAGCACAGGACCTGTCCTAGTTTTTGAAAAGATATTATTTAAATTCTGCAAGTAAGTACATCTTTATTCCTTTGTTCTGAACTATTTCTCATTATGTTGGCACCAATGGATTCAATGTAGACATAGTAATGCATGCAAAAATTGATATTGTACAACTCAAATCCGTGAATATTACCAAAAACCATGATTTTATGTTCTGCATAGTATCGAAATAGCTAACCTCTAGGTTTTCAGATGTGAAGATTTTAAATGATTAACATTTTTATGTCATATCACTAAGGCCACAAAGTGGCTGACAAAAGAAAATTAACTAAGAAAGTATAACAAAGCAATTAAAACAATACTTGCTATGGAAATAGTGAATAAAATACTAAAATACCAGCAAGGAGCAGATGGAAAACTTTGGAGAAAAGGATGATTTAGACCTACTGCTAAAAATAAACAAACAGGTCCAGGGTTGAAAGGGAGTTCCACAACATAGGTATATCTCAGAAAGCAGAGGTAGCCAGCTCTGAAGCAGCTCTGCTCCTAAGTTGAAAGCCATATAATTTGAAAAGTCCTTCTAGCCTTATCCAATCTGAAGTAATTATACTAAACTTCCTGCTGATAGCTACTTTCAGTATAGTTTACACAGACAAATATATCCCACCAAAGGTCCTTTGAAGAAAAGTCACTATATAAGGCTGATAGAGACATTCAGCTACTCTGGAGCAGTAGTTTACATAAAAGAGACTTTACACTATTGCAGAATAATGTTTTCCTACTGTTAAGAAAATACATAGGTCTCTCAGATGCATATGTTAGCTGAAAATCCAGTAATCATCTGTATAGTAAAGGAGAACCTGGCAATAGCTGTCAATTTCCAGGTTAGTCTACTGCAATGTGTTGTGTATGGGGCTGCTTTTTTGAAGTATTCAAAAACTGCACAATCAGTCCAGAATACAAAATTGCTGTTTTTGAGCAAAACTTAAAATGCTGGAGGCTAAATATGTGAGGGATCACATTAGCTACCAATACACTGAGGTTGACTTTAGAAGCTCTTCTCAAAGTGCCTCTGATTTGTGGTATGAGCTAAGTGATGACAGGTAAGAATAGCTTCCTGTTTCCAGTACCCTGCCTCTGGAATGCCCTCCATACTGAATGTCAGGCATGGTTCCCTGCAATGTACTTTGTACCATGCAAATACCTTTTTGTATTCTCAGATACTTTGAAGTGTGTTGGGTTTCATTTTATGCTAAAGTTAAATTTGCTGATGCTGTTGTTATTGTTGTACTTATATTTGCTATTCTGTTTTTTATAATGGATGTTTTGAGTTTCTTTGAACTTAGCTACTCTGGTAATAGCAATATAGAAGGAGTCTAGCAGTTCAAACTTTTACAACAGGAGTGGACAACTTTCCCCTCTTTTGGCATTTTTCCTTCAATGGACTATTTTGGAATCCATAAGGGCAGAACCACCTGACATTCTCTTTCTCTAGATCATCAGCATATCACACTGTTTCTTTCACAACCAAGTAAAAGAGAGGTCATCACCACTTACCCTTCCATCCCTTTCCCACAATAGAGAGAGAGAGAGAGAGAGAGAGAGAGAGAGAGAGAGAGAGAGAGAGAGAGGAGGCGGAGGGCTTTGGAAGGTATGGCTCCGGATGGATCTGTGCATTCCAAAACTCTATATCTTCCTCTAGCTTGGGCAGGGAAGGGCTATCTTTTTGCTGCCTAGACAGGGAAAGGTTCCCATAGAGCCTGCCAAAGGCACTGCAGCCAACATAAAACGTGTCCCTAGGTTGCACACTCCTATTTTATATCCAGAAAAACCATCAAAATATGTTATAAATGAAGGAAAAATGAGCAACAGCACAGCAGTCAGAACAAAGTTGATATACTGTCTACCTTATGTTTCATTTAAACAGTTTTACTAAATACACATTTCTCTTTCAAACAGGGACTATGGGCTTTCTTATCTCTCCCTGAGAACCAGCATTGGTCTGTGGACAGCATTTTTGTGTATATTGTTAGTAGCAACTGATGCAAGCAGTCTTGTGTGTTACATCACTCGATTTACTGAGGAGGCGTTTGCTGCTCTAATTTGCATAATATTTATATATGAAGCACTGGAAAAGCTTTTTCAGTTGGGAGAAATTTATGCTTTCAATATGCACAACAACCTTGATGAGCTGACAAAGTATTCGTAAGTGTGGCTTTCTTAGTGAAATATGAGAGGGCCATAACCTCTCTTTTGTGTCTGTGAGCTTCCAGTGTAACCATTCACAAATACTTTCTCAAACTTTGCAAGAATATTGTGCTGTACTACAGTAAACTGGTAGTGGGCAGCCTTTTTTCTGATGATAGACACATTCCTTGTGGTAAATCTGCCAAGGATGCATGTTGGTGGTGGGCAGGACCACAGCAAAAGGTGGCTGCATCATCTTTTTCTCTTTCTGTCACCCCTTTCTCCTTTGCTCTCTCTCCTCTCTTTCTATCTCCTTTTCTCTTCCTTTCCACAGTAACTAGGGAAGGGACAGATCACTCTGCCAGAGGACTGAACTGATTATAAACAGAAGACTTGAGGTTAGGCCAGGGGCTGCAATTGACCCAAGAGCCACTGGTTGCCTACCACTGATCTATGCCATATCTGTCCCAGCCATCTGCCATTTGCTAATTTTCAGCCTTTAATTGTATGCAGTAGAATATGATAACAAGGAAGTGTTCATTGTCCATTTATTTATTGTTGTTTTCCATCAGTAAGGATGCACATGCTTTACTTTTTAAAGCAATAGTTGGTCTTCTTGTTGCTTTTTGCTTGTCTTTTACAGCTTACTATGTTGAATAATGAAAAGAAACAAAATATACAATCTTTAGAATGAATCTTGAATGAATTATTGAGTTATATTGCATTTCATACTTAAAGCTTTCACATTATTTCCTGAAGTTTTCACATTATTTCCTTTCCTGTTTTTGCAATTTTTATACTTTAAAAATGTCAGAATGAATGTTGTAATATTATCAAGATGAAACAGTGACTGATGTGCTAAAATCTTAAACTTGTCAGATGTGTATGTGCAGAGCCTCAAAATCCCAGCAATGAAACACTGAATCTGTGGATGACAAACAACAAATCTGTGGATACTATACCATGGGCTAATCTCACAGTTAAGGTAAGTGTCTTGAAAGATAATGTAGAACTTCCATGTTCCCAAATAACAGTGAAATAAGGCAATCTGATTTTGAGTATATTAAATACATGAAAAGAAGGAATGTGCTAAAGTTCCAGGAGCTTGATACTTGCTTGCAATCTCACCTTGCCTGGAAGTTCTTGGGGAAAAGGTTTGATATTTCTCAAACAGGCTTTAGAAATCAGACTTTAGAATTTGTGTTATATCATATTTTTCTTAACTAATACTTTAAAAGCGATGATTTTAAAAAAATTCAGTAGTTTTCTACTTACATGCTCTGTTTATCATTCTGAAGGAGTGAGTGAAAACAAATACAGGAGGGGTTAAAAAGGGAAATGAAATCACTTAAATGTTTGAGAGAAGCATATTCCTTAATTGCTTGTACAGATTTTCATCATGTGTGGTATTCTCTTGAATCCAAAGAAGCAGCCCCTTTTTTTTACACAGGTGCATAATTTGATCTGTAACTCAAGAATATGTAGAGTATATATGCTGGAAATGTTGATCTGTGGTGACTTTTTTCATTTTTTTGCTTCAAATTGAGATTTGTTTAAAACTTTGATGAATATAGACTAATTTAGACTTGGTAGGTATAGGTAGCATTCACTAGTATCATGCATTTAAAAAACATGACATAGAAGGGAAGCCCTCATACCCTTTTTGCACTAATATTGGTAACTTAAAAAGTGTTAAAAAGTCTTAATATGTGCCAAGTCAATTGTTTGTATTCACACCATGTCTGTATGTTGTTATCCTACATCTAATAATTATTTTGCACACTTAAGACACACGTTTGATTGTAGATTTGGACATTTCTTAATGAAACATCTAATTTGTGTTTGTGAATGGCTTGTTTTACAGCAATGTAAAGATTATCATGGTGTGTTTGTTGGAACAGCCTGTGGCCACCATGGTCCATATTTCCCAGATGTTCTTTTTTGGTCTGTCATATTATTCTTTACCACTTTTTTCCTTTCGTCCTTCCTCAAGCAGTTCAAAACCAAGCGTTATTTTCCCACTAAGGTAATTGTGACCACATTAATCTATTCCTGGGCTTTATATATTCAATATTTGGCAGAAGGAAGACTGATATTACTTTAAATTTAGATACTAGAGCGAAAAATATAATACTGACAAGATCAACACTTATAGTTTTATATTTGTGGTTAGTCAGTTATTCTGAAAGGAATAGGATTGCTTGAGATATATTGTGGCATTTAATTATGTACAGTGGTACCTTGACCCATGAACTTAATCCATTCCACAACTCTGGTCGCGACCCACATTGATTGTGAGCCAAGTCAAATTTCCCCATCAGGTTCAATGTAAATAAGATTAATCCATTCTGCAACCATTTTTTTGAATCACAAAATTTGAAGCAAAGTGACAAAGAACAACAAAGATCGCAGCCATCTTCCCGCCCCCCACCAAGCACAATTGCAGCCATCCCCATCCCCCCAAGCACAACTGTGATCGCACCCGTGCAGGGAAGACACAGTCGTCACCTGATGCAGAGTTCGTGACCTGAGGCATTTTTTTTCTAAAATTTTTGTTTATGACCCAATTGGTCGTGAACTGAGGTGTTCATCAGCTGAGGTACCACTGTATTACTACTTGCAGTACTGGGGAGCAAGTTTCACATCATTTAATATTACTTCTTGACAGTGAATTGGTATTTGAATTGAGTCAAAGTTTTTGTAAGGTTTGTCTTGGTTGTTAGACTGTCCAAAACAAATTTAAGTTTGAAGATGCATGATTTGTACTTCCAACTACTTGTGAAATTAAGTCATTAGTTAATAAAATAAATGATCTGAGCTAGTATACATTTCACTAAACCCTTGGAACTACTTCAATATAAGTAACTATTGGACATAAACTCTCATTGTTGCAAATATCTTTCATTTGTAGAAGGAAAGTGTTTTACAGTGCTTTCCTCTTTTTAGGTGCGCTCTACAATAAGTGACTTTGCGGTATTTTTGACAATAGTCATCATGGTTCTCATTGATTACCTTGTTGGAGTCCCTTCTCCTAAACTCCTTGTGCCTGAAAATTTTAAAGTAAGCAAATGTTGCACCTGTGAAAAGATAACCTTTTACTACTGACTTGGGATATTATTTAATTTGAAGATACAGCATGATTATACTAGCATTTTAGAAGTGTGTGATCCATACTGTGAGGGGTACTGTCATTGTAATTGACAGATTTGACTGTATGTTTCCATCTCAAACAAGGATCATGAGTGATTTATGATTTCCTTCCACTGTGCTTTTGTGTATTGATAATGTTAATTGCTACAGCAATCTGTTCTGCATTTTTGTATTCTTGTCTTTAGATTCTTACCAAAGTAACTTGAGTAGAAAGTCGCACTGAACACAGGATGAACTCACTTCCGAGTATATGTGTTTACTTTGTACTGTACTGAGTATTGTTCTGTACTGTAGGGCACGGCAGTGTTCTCTAGCCTATTCCACCCCATCTGTGTGCTTTCATGCAGCAAAATCCTTCTCCCATTCCTTGCTTATAATGCAATCGTACATATACCTGGGGAATATGTCCTGTTGTTGTAAGTGGGATTTTCTTCCAAAAAAAACATGCACACGATTGGACTATTAGTAAACCTCATTTTCTTATGCTATCTACTTTATAAGGGCTTGAGATGTCTTACATTGAAAGGCAGTTGGGAGAGGCAAGCTGGTACCCTCCAGATATTTTGGACTACAATTCCTATTGGTCATGCTGGCTGATGCTTATGGGAGCTGTAATTCAAAAATTCTTGTACGCATCATCTTGCTATTTCCCACAATACTACTTTTTATCTTAAATTATACTGTAACAATGGTACAGCTTGTTCATTAATTACATGTCATGTGAACCATCATATTGTCCCAAGCTAATCTAACTAATTTTAAAATTTGCAATTTTTGAGAAGTGTAAACTCTTTGTGTTGAATGTGGCTTCTCATTGAACCTTAGTTTGTTATTGAAATTTACTTATAGTTCAATTTATAATCCACCTAACCAATCGTCCAGCAGGACTCTAATATGAGTTATTGTTGTCTGAAATAACCATTATTGGTTAACCATGCATAGCCCATGAAGAGAACCCATGGTTTGTTGCTAGATTGTTAACTATGGGTTGCTTTTGGTTAACAATGATATGCTGTCATGCCTGGATTTAGACAATTTGATAATCCACTTTTCAGCAACAAACCTTGGTTCAATGACCAACTTCAACCAAATCTTGAATGGGAGTTATTGTGTTGTCTGGACTAATAGTATGCATCCAAAATCAGCAATTTTGTTTATCTAACAAAAAAGGAAAGGATACTTGATTTTTTGATGTCTGTTCATCTTTGTATGTTTTGTTTTAGCCCACACGAAGTGACCGGGGATGGCTTATAGATCCTCTAGGACCTAATCCTTGGTGGACACTTATGATAGCTGCAATTCCAGCATTACTATGTACTATTCTTATTTTTATGGACCAGCAAATTACAGCAGTTATCATAAACAGGAAAGAGCATAAGCTCAAGGTAAACATTTGCTTGCAGTTTCTCAATGGGAATGCAAAATCAACCTAGGGCATCACCCTGTTGTGATTATCATAAAACTCAGAACTTGGAGAGTTATGTTCATCCTATGCAGGGTGAGGGAAGCAGCAAAAGTGATTTTAGCCTAACCATCCTGATCTCCTGTTAGATTTATTTTGGCCCATCTAGCAAAAATATTCAGGACTGGGGAGGAAGGAGGCTGAAGAGGTCACAGAGTAGCTTACCAGTCTCCTCCCTTGCCCACCCACCAAACACCCTCTATCCTTTCCCTATCCATGTTCATGTTCCCAACCTTGGCCTGGTTCTCTCTGAGGAAGGAAGAGGTGAGACCAATGTTGGATTCCTTCCACTGAGATATGGTAAAAACCCTTATCCTCTAGAGTGTGTTCTTGATTTTGCAGGATAGTTCTCATATCAGACTTAGAAACAAGTTCTCACTGCCCCGTTTCTTTTTTGTAGATAACTCTATCAAATGCTGAATTGCGAAACAAAATCTTAGATCATTATAAACATGTGGTAGGGACAGGTGTTCCAGTTGTCTCTGCAGATATTTCAAAAGTTTGTTACCTGAGTGTGTGTGTGCAAGAGAGAGAGAGAGGATGATACAAGTTTAGTATGAAATGTGTTTATGTTTGACTCCACAGAAAGGTTGTGGCTACCATCTTGATCTGCTCATGGTTGGCATCATGTTAGGTATATGCTCTATCATGGGATTGCCTTGGTTTGTGGCTGCAACTGTTCTTTCTATAAGTCATGTCAACAGTTTAAAAGTAGAATCTGAGTGTTCTGCTCCTGGAGAACAGCCGAAGTTTCTGGGAATTCGTGAGCAGAGAGTGACAGGATTAATGATCTTTGTTCTAATGGGGTTGTCAGTGTTTATGACCTCTGTATTAAAGGTAAGAACAAGATTAGCATTACAATTCATTAATTACGTTTCAATTAATATTATATAAGCATACCAAGTTAATAAATAATTGTTGAGGGAGGGGTGGAGCTTAGATGAATTGATCTCAGCTTTAGCCAAAAGTAGTGAAAGTACTTGGCCAAAATTGTGACTTAATTTACTAAACTGTGACTTAATATGTTTCTGCATTTTTGAGCCTGGAAAGAGAGATGATTGCTATGGCCAGATATTTCAGCAACTGCATTTTTCTTCTCTCTAAGCTCTGTTTCAAAATGAAATGTGTTCACTATTGCTAGTTAACAGTGAGTATCCTTCTAAGATAAGGAGAAACACTCCAAACATAATAGACTAGGAGACTATTTATCATTCTACTTATCTTTTCCTGTTAGCCTTATTTTAGCCCTTCAATACTCAAAAGTTATTGCTAACCTATCCTTATAATTACAGGAAGAACATGGAAAGCTTGAAGTACCTGAGTTTTAGGTCATTGTGCCCGGGATTGCATTTTTTTTTTAACTGGGGGAAGGTTTTTCATTCTTCCCCAAGAGTGGTATTTCACCAGAACTCATTTCACATGAATCAAGCTGCCATACTTGAACTTCATGGCAGAAAGGAATCCAATCAAGCCCATTAATACTAGCTGAGTTGCCGTGCTCTTGTAATAATGAGAGTGCTATAAAATCATGCCTAACAAGAAGTAGGATACATTAAAAACTACATCTACCAACATGAACCTTCAAGGGTATGAGTAATATATTTCCAGTGCAGCTTTGGACTCCTTTGAGACATGTATAGTTCATTCATGGAAACTTGCAGTATTTGAAAGTCCTTGTTGCCTTCTCAATATATTCCTTGTGCTTCCGAGTCTGTCATACAGCCAACTAATCTCATTTCCTGGACTCCTGGGTTGCAGCCTTCTTTATGTGCCATGGAAACCATGGTTAGACCTTGAGGGAAAATTTTCAGACCCTGAATTCAGCATGAATTAGAATTTGTTGAAATTGGGTAAAGATACCTGTCAAGAGAATGACAACTTTACCTTCTAATCACATGGAATGTTATATTAGGGCTCTCCCATCAGCTTGTTGGAGAAAGGGGTGGTGACTCATACATTATGTTTTGCTCTACTCTGTTTTCTGCTCTTCACTAGTTTATTTAATGGATTTTTATACTGCCCAGTCTGTCCTGATTAGGCGCATATGAAGAGCTTTGGAGTGAGAGCAGAGTTGTTTATTTCTTGTGTAGCTTCCTACACAAGAAACAAACCAATTCTTATTCTAGCTTCTAAATCTTTTTCCTAAGTCATTCCTTCCCCATTACAGAACTATTATAACCTACTCCTTCCTGTGCATCAGGGATAGGTAACATGATTTGCATGTACCCTGGCATTTTTTGTGGCCCTCACTGAATTTGACACCACATTCAGTGGCAGCAAAAAGCCTGCTTTGTTACAGGTCATTACTTGAAACATGAGTGACTAAAAAGAAGTGATTCTAATGTGCCTGGATATTGTCAGGTCTGCCTTGGTTATATTATCCTGAGTGGGCTAGAAAATGAGGCTTATTTAAAATCTAAATCAAGACAACTGTTCCCTAATTATTTTGAGGTCCTGCTGAAATCAGTATGATTTAATGTCAAACTGATAGCAGCAAGGCTATGTACTTAAAGTCTGCTCAGCTCCAATTACTAAAAAAATAATAGACAGGAAGGCTTTCATCTTATAGCAAAAGAGTGAGGGAGACAAATGCACTTGAAGAATGCTTCCATACTTACTACATCAAAGTTCTTGCTTGAAACAGTTTGCTTAGCTAGTTGTCATGTTACACAGCATGTTGTGGGGAGGGGGTAAGATATAGTTTTATTATTTGTACTAATACATAATTTGATTAGCATTTTTCCTTTGAGTTCAGAAACTTCTGTGATACAGACCTTTTTCTAGAGAAGTCATTGACAGAGATGTAGTTAATAAGGAAACTGTAATTGGACAATTGACCTAATTAAATTATACATATATCTCAAACTCCTGCTGTTTTCCTTGGTAAGAAAGCTGTATGGGAGAGAAAAAATGGAGCTGATTGGGTTAGGCTGGGGTGTGGGAAGGGCTTAGCCACTTCAAATCATTCCCTACCAAATTGGCTTTCATGTAAATTAAGCTACTAATGTTTCTATATGTGTGTAGGACAGTTAGCTAGGCAAAAAGTATAAGGATAGTGAAAGAACCTGTCCTAGTTACCTTCATTATTTTAATATTAAGATAGCTGTAATTAACTCAGTTATATTTAATTTACATGCATTGCATGCAAAAATGTTAAGTTTAACATTAGTTGAAATTTATGCTTCACTTTTAAGATCTGATGGGGTAAAGTTTTCTGTTGAAGATACATTTTCATGGCTAACGCTAAAATCCATGACTGTTGTTGAATTCTGCATTTTTATTTATTTATTTAAAACATTTGTATGCTGTCCTTTATGATAATGTCTCAGGATGGCTTACATCATCCATATTTTTTTGGATGATGAACTCCAACTTGTGAAAATTCCACTTGACCTACATCTTTGATCTGTTAATTTCTGAATTTAAACTTGGTGATTTTTTTTCTGCAGTTTATTCCAATGCCAGTTTTGTATGGTGTCTTTCTTTACATGGGAGCGTCCTCACTAAAAGGCATCCAGGCAAGTTCTGGTTTAAGTATATACTATTTGGTGAATAATTGAAAAAATAGATATGGTTTGCCTTTCTTGCCTCCTCACAAAGCTGCCTCTAAGGGAGAAATTGACAGAAATCAGATGGGGCACCTTGTAGAAGACAAACTCTGAAGACTGATAGAATACTGTGAAGGAAAGAAATATATGTCTGATGCTTCCTTTTCACACCCTGTCCCTCAAACATCAGGAGCTGAGCTCAGCAGGAGAAAAGAATCCTGCATTGCTGGAATGCAGCGTAGGGATGTGTATGGAGGAAGCTCTCCTTTCTCTGGGTTAGAGCAATGGTTCACTCAGGAGAAAGAATTCACTGTATACACATATTCATATACTGTAACACATATACACGTACATATTTGCTTGAGAGATATAATAATGTGTTGCAGTTAATAAGTTCTCATTTTTGTAGCTAATGTAATTCATTCTCACAAGTCTAATTAATGATTAAATGTCTGACTAATATTTGGTCCACACAAGTATTTTTTGGCAAAGTAACCTAGCTTTGTAATAACTTCAGTTGAAATGTTTCTTTTGAAAAGTGTTTAGTGATCCTATTTCTTATCAATTTAGTTTTTTGATCGTATCAAATTGTTTGGAATGCCTGCCAAGCATCAGCCTGATTTGATCTATCTGCGTTATGTGCCACTCTGGAAAGTTCATATATTTACAGTGGTTCAACTTACTTGTCTTGTACTTCTGTGGGTAATTAAAGCATCTCCCGCTGCTGTTGTTTTTCCTATGATGGTAAGTTCAAGTGTCTCTGAACATTATAAGTTATTTAAAAACATGCTGCACTGCCAAATGGTTTATTTACCTAAAAGAGTCATACAGTTCTGCTTTGTATAATTCAATCTATTAGTTTTATATTTCTGTTGGCAGTCTGATCTGTATGTGATTTGTGCACTTTTAAAATTGTTTTGAAGGTTTTAGCTCTAGTGTTCATTCGCAAACTCATGGATTTATGTTTCACCAAACGGGAGCTCAGTTGGCTTGATGACCTTATGCCAGAAAGTAAGAAGAAAAAGGAAGATGACAAAAAGAAAAAAGCAAAGGAAGTAAGTTGAATATTATTAACATAAAGAACAACTAGAAACAGTGATTTAGGGAGAAAACAGTGAAAACAGGGTTGGATACATGAACAAAAGGGAAACACTTCTGGAAAGTGCTTTAATCTGTTTCTCATAAGAATGTAAGGAAAATTATGCTGGATCAGACCAATGGTCCATCTAGTCCAGTATGCCATTCACATGGTTGCAAATCAGCTTTCCACAGGCTCCCACAAACAGGATGAGTTCTGCCTGCCCAAGCTGCTCAGCAAGTGGTGTATGCAGGCATTCCACCTCTGATAATGAATGTAGCACACAACAAACATGACTAATAACTGTTGATAACCTTCTCCATGAATTTGTTTGGTCCCCTGTTAAAGCCATCCAAGTAGGTGGCAATCACTACTTCCCGTGGTAGTGAATATCATAGTTCAGATATGCGCTGTGTGAAGAAGTACTTCCTTGTATACAGTAGTCCTCTGAAATTCGCAGGGGTTACGTTCCTAAAGCACCCGTGAATTGTGAAAAACTGCAAATTTGGTGCCGGGGATGGGTGCCAGCCACCAAGGCGGTGCAGGCGGGAGGCCTGGGCCGGGCTGGGGGGTGGGTGCGCATGTGCGGTGAGACAGGGGCAGGGGTGCGCACAGAGATCATTTTCTCCAAGCAAGTCCTAACTCAGAGGAAACGATCTCCTTGCGAGTAAGCAGCTGCACGTCGAGGCGCTGGCTTACTCGCAAGGAGATCAGCTTGGACTTGCTCGGAGAAAAATCCCGCGAAAGACTGAAGCCGCGCACGCTGAACCACAACTTCACGGGTTTATGCTGTGTGTCCTAAACCTCCCACCAGTCAGCTTCATGGTATAACCACATGTCCTAGTATTAATGGCCCTGGGTTCTAGTAGTATTTCTCCATATCAGTTTCAAGGATCCCTCCCTCACCACAGTGCACCCTAGTCAACAGAGTCTCCTCATTCTCTCTCTAGCAATTTCTGGTGACTGCAGGGTTTGCCTTTGTAGAATAGGGAAGTCTACTTCCACCAGCCCAGATAGATACATTTAAATCTAAATTTAATGCATTCTGTAGTTCTCATGAATACGTTACTTCCAGGCTCAGTAAAGTTTTAGATTCTGTGTTAATACATGCAGAATGAGATATGATTGGGTATAACTAAGTAGAAGAGACATACAGAAAACATTACGAATGCTAAAATGCTGATAGCTATAAAATTATCCTCATTAAGAGTCTTTAGGTGCTGCTTTGAAATGCTTCAAGTCTTAGGAAAGTGGAGGCAACCACTGACAATAAAAGCACTTGTACATGAATGGAATACCATACTTAATCCATGGTATTCTGGATTAATGAATGCATCCAGGATCAATTGCACACTAAAGGAGCCATGTTAGTCAATTTTCATACAGGCATCTTGGGCTAAAACCTATGACTTAGAATGTACTTTGGAAGATTTCTCTAGGACTGACCCAGGATTATTGATAGCTATGGAGAAAATAGGGTTATGGTCACTTTGCTGTGCATTGAAAATAAGGTTTTGACAAGGCGTCATTTACATGCCTTGTTTTTGTTGTTGAACATGTCCTAAATGTATTGGAAAATGTGTAACTTTCAGGAAGCTGAACGAATGTTTCAGACAGTGGACAGTGAAACTGTACACCTTCCATATGAAAGAGGCGATGTGTTACAGATTCCTGTGAAAGCTCTAAAATACAGGTGTGATATATCCCAATGTTCATAGTTTGATTTTGTTGTGTTTAACATGTTTTAACAATTTTGAATGGACACTGACCTCCAAATCCAGGATTTACGTGAAAAAGCAGAAACAAAGAAGAAACTGAGATTGCCTTATGTTTATAATATAACCGTGTGTTTCTGTATTAAATTACACTTTACTCATTCATGTGAACCTTTTGAACAGATCAGATGACTCTGTTTCAACCTGCTCCTCTCAGTGTGAAGAAGCCTCTTTGGTCAGTTCTGCCTAGTCTGTTACTCTGCATGGCTGATGATGTGAAAAGTATTGAAGATAATAAGTTAACTGAGTCATGTATATACAAGCTGCTTAGAGCTATCAGATGCTTAGCGTTTTTCAGAGCTACAAAGCAATTAATTTTTAACTCAAATGTTTGTATACATAAAACTTGAACCTTTTTGTGTTGAGAATATTTGATAACAAAACTGGAAACATTATTTAAAGTATTCCCAAAATAATACCTGAGTATCAAATGCCAGACTTATTCATGTGATTCAGTTCCTATTTGAAGAATCAATGGAGATCTGAGGGTTTTCAGATTCAGCTAAATTGCCAAAAAAATCAAGGTGGGATGCTTCTGCAGAAACTGTACTATAAAAGGGTAACTACTGTTAAGCCTGAAAGACATAGCCTTTTCCCCTTACCATTTTTTCTTTATCATAGGACAAATATATAGCTAGACTGCTGCCAGTTTTCCATCTTTTACTTCAGGAGTTGCAACTTAAGGCCTCCAGATCTTTTGACATGGAATCCTCATCAGCCAGTAGTTAGCATAGACAACAGTGAGGGCTGATGGGAGTTGTAGGCCAAAATATCTGGAAGACCATACCTGTAGGTGCTACTAAACTTGACTTATATACATTTTTAAATGCTTTTAACTCAGTTTCATCTGGAATACCAAGGCTGCAATCCTTAACTATTTCATTGAAGAGTAATCCCTCTGTCAGTCATAGAACCTGCTGGGAGTAAGTTACATGTCTTAAACATTGCACCATAAGAAACTTCTACTTTAAGCAAGTTATTGTTAGCCATATACTCAGATTTGCTTAACAAAAGGCATTTCATTATTTTATTAAGACACCTCATACTTGTACAAAAGGTGTTCCCAATTTTTCCTAGTCTGGTATTGTGGAGTCTCCCTCTGTGGTTTTAAATTAAATTCAATACCTTCTTCAATGACTTTTTAAATGGCACTGCATAAAAAAAGGGATAAGAATTGGAGCACAGGATGGGGTGTTTCATCAAGAACATTGAGATACTGGCTTGGAGGGCTGAGGGAAAAGCATGGAAAAAGCAAGCTATGGTGAGCGTGATCATCTCTTGGACAAGTCATGAATTGTCCCATGAATAACTTGCATTGGGCCGGTTACCATGCCATGGTGGTTTCTTGCACAGGATGCTGTGTTATGTCATCCAAACCCTGCCTTGATATTTCTTCATAATATGTTTGGTTTTCAGAAACCATGATAAAGAACCATGTTCTTTGGTTTCTATACTTCACCATGGTTTCTTTGATTATCCAATTCTGGCATCGTGGTTTCCACAGCCCTTTATCCAGCTACCACAGAGTCCACTGGAAAGAGTGGCAGCTGTAGAGGTTGTTGCAGGCATCTAGCATGGAATTGAATTTCAGGTGCAGTGGCTGATGGGATACAGCAGGATGACTGAGTAGCACAGTAGTGTTGAAAACCACAGTAGTGTTGAAAGTACTTGATCATCTGTCAGACACATCCAAGCAAGGAACCATGCACGATAAGCAGGATTACTTGTGATATGTGAACTTGGCCATTGTGTGGCTTATTTCACAAGGTGGTTTAGTGTGTCATGTGTATGTGCCCATTGTGTAAATTAGTCTGGTATATGTCAGACAATATTTATGATAGAGAAAAGCATCTAAGAGTCTCACACAATTATATTGGTCTTATGCATTCTGAAGAGAAATAGTTGAAACCATAAATGTGGAAATCATATGTTCTCAAAACAAACTATCAGAACTAACACTGGATTGACTTTGAAATTCAAAGCCTGCTTGTCCTATATTAAAATACCCTTTGCTCCTGAAATCCTCACATTACATGTATTGATACAGAGTGCTATAATTCATGTAACATACCACTAGTGGCTGTGTAAATAGATAATCCAAGGCTCAAATGATGCGAAGAGCATGTGACATAATTTAATGCTATTGCAAAGCATGGAATACTAATCGAGGTGTGTTTGTTGTCTAGTGTTGATCCCTCTGTTGTAAACATATCAGACGAAATGGCCAAAACTGCACAGTGGAAGGCTCTTTCCATGAGCACAGAGAATGCCAAAGTAGCAAGATCTAACTTGAGGTAGCCTCTAATTCCTCACATTTTCTGCTTCTGCTTTGTGTCTGTGGAGCTGTGAACATAATTTGCTCTGATAATAATTTATGCCTTGAATACACAATGAAGAGTTTATTTTAACAGTGGAAAAGTGAAACTGTTAATAAGAGAGGCAGATAGGATTATAGGCAGATTTATAAATCTGAAGCCATATTCCAAGAACATAGTAGTGCTATGAGTCGCTGTGGTAGGGCAATGGAGATGCTTTAAAGTTTTCTCAAGGAAGCTGTGCCATGTTACCTGGAAAACTTGAGGGTATCCAAATGGTTTGTTATATGGCATGAAGGCTAGTTGTTCAAGGAAAACAAAATCTGACAGTGTAATCACATTTACTATTTGGATTCCAACCAAACTACCATCTGTTTAGTAAATTATTGTCCTCTAAAGATATATGATAGTTCTTAGGAGATTTTTCTAAGCAATGGCATAGTGGGGAAAGAACATAATGCTTAGCATATTCGTTCCTTTCCCATTATGGAACTCTCTATTCCAAATTACAGAAAACTGCAATGTTTATATTCCCATTCTTGCATCTTGCTTATTTCTAGAAGTTTGAAATATGTTTACCTCTTTGATCTAAATAGTTGTATTTTGTGAGGCTACACTATTGCTGGGTTTAGACATAATATGAAGCCATGGTTTGTGTTAACTGCAGTTAAAAACCCATATCATAGTTAAGAGCATCCAAAAAAATGACAAGCAAACCATGTTTTGAGTTGCTTGTCTGCTTGTTTCCCATCTGTTCATGACCCGGCTTCATAAATTCATGCTTATTTTCATGGTGCTGTAGTCTCTTAAAATAAAGCGGTGGCTCTAGGTATGACCTGTCAGTGCTATGTGAAATACATCAGTTTATAGGTTGTCCTGGCTTCATATATTGGAGCAAATCATGGTTTTGTGTTGTATCTCAGTCCAGTACAAATTTATGCTGCTTGGTCTGTTTAGAAATTGCTACACTCCTATAACATATCCACTCAGAAGTAATTGAATTCAGTTGGTATTAACGCTCATTTAAGTGGTGAAAGGATTGCAGCCACAAACTGAAATAGTATGCTTTTTTTTGGTGCTGCAGAAATGACTAAATGTTTGATTTGGATGCTGCTTAATGAAAAACTATCTTGCATCCATGTTACTGCTTACAGGTTCAATAATACTAATGTGCTCAATCCTCATAAAATATGTGTTTAAAAAGGATTATGTGCATGTGTGTGTACTATATTAAATAACAAGGAATATATTACAGACAAAATAAAAATTGACAGTGTCCTGTATATTATTTGGCTTTTCTAATTTCTTGAATTGTTCTTAACAGCTCTGAAAAAGAAGAGAATGTGAAAATAGACATTGAAAATACATCTGAAACAAAGTATGTAGATGCTGAAACCTCATTATAGAAGTGAACAAGGATATATATCATTTTATAGGATATACTGTAAAAGGGTGACTTCCAAACTTCTTTATGGTACTTTATGAAATTTGAGCTCTGGATACGGTATGTACAGCAACAAGACTTTAAGACAGGAAAGAAGTGGTAAATCACTCTGGAAATATTTATTTTAGTGGAATGTGCATTTCATTTTTAATAGGAAAATTGTATTTTAGTTATCAGTACATGTCAAAATACCTTTAATTGTAAATTATTGTTCTGCAATATGTAGAACTTTCTGGTATATCACTTTTTAAAACTAATTTATTGTGGTGTGTATGTGCACCCTGTTTTCAGGTAATTGTTGTTTGGGTTTTTGCAAAATGTTATGTATGTCAGTCTTCTCAGAACAAATCTCAAACATGCCATTTCACAGATGACTGTATTTCAGCCCTTATCCACTTCATGTTGCTGTTTTGGGGGGGAATTTAAATCACATTTCTGGGGGGTTTTTAAGTCATAAATTAGTATAGAATTATTAAACACTGTAACTTTAAAAGAATACTTCAGTCTCATGTCTACATCATGCTAGACAAGGAGTTTTAATTCCTAATTCAATGTTTTAGAAGTTATGGAAACCCATAACCAAAGATAGGGCTTCCTTCTCATTACTTATTTTGTGAGCAGATTATATTGTCTTCACTGAAATTAATGAAATCTCTAATAACACAAGGGTATGGATTGGGACACACATCTGGGCTCTGAACTAGTGTCCCTGTTTTAAAATGTAATTACAGTTCTATTTTTAATAAGTCCTTCACAAAGCTTTTACTGTATGAGATCCCTTTCCTGCACATACATAATTATCAGTGAAAATAAATTGACAGGTAGGCAGTCTTTAGAACCAATGCCTCATTCTTTGGTGTGTCATTTTTAAAGTAAAATGAAGGTATGGCATTAAAATCAGTGCCCATTGGTTTGGGTATAGGATCATAAGCTTTGTGCAGGTGATGCCTTCATATAAGATAGCTTTCATATCAGATGCTGCACGTGCAAGTAGTTTAGGGCAGCCCTCCACAACCAGATACCCTCCAAATGTATGGACTTAGACTCACAGTATTTTCTGGTCAGTTGTGCTGAATCTGGGTTGTCTGGAATTGTAGTTCAACATAACTGGAGGGTACCAGATTGGTGAAGTCTGTTAAACTCATAACTCAGTGAAAATCTGACCTGTTTTAACTGTGGTTTTTAAATACGTTTGTGTTTGAAGGTTACTTAAAATGTCCTGCAAAGGCAACAGAGTGTAGATATCTATTTTAAGTAAACATAATTCAAGGCAGTGGTACTTTACAAGGAAATAAATCATGATCTAATGCTCCGTAGCACTAATGTGAACCCTGAAATAAAGATTTTTCTGATGTTGAAGAAATTATCCCCATTATAGAAGTGACTGGGGAATTCTTGCTTGTGCAGGAGCACCATACATCTGCTGTTTATACCAAGAAAGCACTGAATCAGAGCTACTGGGTTGAATCCAGATGTTGTCATTCTCAGTGTAGACTTATTTCAATCAATAGGACTTAAGGTAGTTGACACTAAGTCCTATTGACTTCAATGAATGTACTCTGTGCATGATTAAATCTGGACCTGCCACATATTTAGCATTGGGGTGTTAGGATTGTGCAATACATTGTCTTATATGAATTTGTAGGAATGTTAACCATTTTACGTTACCAACAATTTTAAACTTCCAAAATAGTTTTATTGGATTTTGTGAAGGAAAATATGTTCCTGCTGAGAAGCACCCATTAAAAATCCAAATATTGTTATATCAGCTGTATTTCTACAATATAAAGACTTATTTCAGACTGCTCATTTACTTTTGTCCACACCATTCCACATTCTGGGCTGAGTGACTCTCAAAACCATGGAAAATAGTAGTGGGTTTGTAGAAGCGTATTGGATATAATCACTGCTCCATACTCTTTGCCAAGCTGTGGGATCTCAAATCCCAATCTGTGGGATCCTAATTCAATTTATGAACAAAAGGAGCCCTTCTATTTGTGGAAGGGCAAGTCTGAATTCAGTTTATTGTGATCAGATTGGCAGAATGTCAATGAATATTTTCTGCATGAGAATATAAAGTGGGTTCCCATTGGTGTAACTAAGTTATAAATTACTATGTTTGTGATCATTTGTAATCACAAAGAGAATGTACAATAGTTTTAAAAGCTTTCACATTTGAATGACAAAGTAAAAGTGGGAATTCCATTATTTCATAAGCCAGTTGCCATATTACCTTACTTTACTGAAATCAGTTGTATACATTGCTGGATGTACCAAAGCATGATCCAGTCAATGTTAAACCCTGTAATTTCACTCACAATCCCCACTGATTTCAGTGACAGAATTAAACATCTCTTATATCTTCTCCATTAAAGTGAACAAGAATTCAAGATTAAAGTGTGGTTGGGCAGCATCTCTTTCCTGGCATGGACTTTGAGTTACTTTGCCTACTTTGCATAGTAGCTCATTTGACTTTAGAGAGGCAGCTGGTGGAATAGTTTGCTAAGAGGAATTACCTACCACCATCATGAGGTGATGCAGTATGCAGAAATATGCCCTTAATTATGACCATTATGTAATGGTGATGGATGCAGTAGTTACTCAGTCAATCAACACCATAGAAGCAGGTAGTTACTAACTGGCTAAAAATCACCAGTATGCACGAGCCTATGTTATTAACAGGAATTCCTAGTGAACTGCTGAGTACACAGTTATTTCCCTAACAGTATCCCTTAAGAATGTGTTTTCTCCCCTGCCACATCCCACTTCAATTAACTGGCAGCAGATAAAAATTCCTAGTAGGACACTGCCTCACCAGTTGCTGCTGAAGAAGAAGGTTGTTGATTTGAACATCCAAGGCCATCTTCCAAAGACTTTGTACATAAGTGTAGTTTCTGACACTATTTGAAAAAAGTGAGGAAAACCGTGTAACTTAATTTTATGTTTAATAAATACTTGACTCTCCTTGCTTGATTTTAGAAGAGGAATTTATATATCTCACTCACACACAATTTCACTGGGAATATGAAAAATGTGACTAACGTGTCTCTGCTGTTTGTCAGATCCTGACCTGACTTAGTGTGATATTTTAATATTCGGAACAGCAAATCCCTGTATACAGCATAAGCCTTTTAAAATTGTATGTACTTCAAATCTAGTTTATTGGGTGGCGCTGAACAAGACTAAAACAAAAAAAAGTCACATAGCATAAAAGCACATTTTTGGGTATATCCAAAATAGCTGTGCATTTGACCCAAAATGACTGAGGGCAAGCAATGCAGATAACAAACTTTGTAACAGACAAAGATTTATTCCGTAGTGACCTTCAGTGTTAAAAATGCTGCTAAGTGTAATCTGAACTCAAGAAAGGTTTAAACTCAACATGCAGGGGGATTGGCAATGCCATGAAGATGAAGCGCTTATGCCTAAGCACTATCAAATTAGCTTTTCAGTATTGTTTAGCTTTTGCAATAAAATAATGGGAACAGGGTAGCTATAATTTCATTCCTAGACATTTTCATAGCTTCAAGAAATATGCATGCTTGCTTTCTTGGAAAATCATGATTATCTATCACTATTGTACATATGTTTAATGATTTTAACATTGTTTCAAAGTTTCTCTTTGGTAAAGACAAAAAAGAATCATGTCTGTGTTTGTAGCATTCATAGAGTTGTCCATGCTTGTCTTCCTTTATTGCACATTTCCATCTCCAGAGCCATGGATAGTAATTTGCAAAAACCCAAACAGATTTTCTTGAAATTTAGCCCTTTGTTTTCAAAGCCTGGAATTCCACAATACTGAACAGTTCATATCAACTATTCAGTGCCAAGGGGTTAATAATTTTGGTAACTTAAATGAAGATCTAAAAGCTATTAAGAATCACAATATTTATTTTTTTAATTATGTATAAATAACTTTCCAGTGCCAGGAATACCATGACTCACAATGTAGTTTACATGATTGTTCCACTGTTGGTTTCTAATGTATTCTTATAAATTTTAACCTTTTTGATGATAATGGATAAGACCTGATGACATGCTGAAAACTGTAGTTGTTAACTTCTGTATAAGTAATATACTTACTTTGTTATAAACATTATTTCCTTTTCTGTAATGAAAAAAGGATAGTGTTAAAGTAAAACAGTGAAGGACATAACTTTTACTGTACATAGATATAAATATTGCCTTAAGAGGTGTAAATGACTAAACTTACTGTGCACTGACTCACCTTGGGGTGAAACCTAATTTAAAGCCAGTATATTTCCAACAAACTAATAGAATAAATAACGGAGCACTTTTTTTAGATGCCTTGGTTGCCTCCTGGGGAGTAAACTAGCTGGCTGCATAAGTAGCTGCTAAGCCACCCCAGGAAATTTACTTTTTCTGAACTTTTAAATATATATTAAAATTGTTTTACAGGAAGGATGTCTAAACTTTAATATTATGAAGACATCTTCTGTCAATTTTTAGTATTACCTTTAGTGTACAAACAATTCAACAGAGTTCTTCTGATTTATGTAGGAACTCATAGAACTCTGTTTTCATTATCTTTTGTTTGCAGTTTTCCAGACTGCAAACTGCTTTTTATGGCGAGGTGTTCCCGATTATCAAAATAATCAACAAAGATGTGCAAGCTAGTATGCAAAGTGTGTCAGTTCGCTTAGCATCCAATAGAGTGCTAGAATTTTCTTTTTCCTCTTTTATTTCAAATACATTTATCTCTATGTACAGTAGTCTTATAATATGTGCCCTTTGTAAAGTTAAGTTTGAAGTATAAAGTAATATGGATAGGTGTAACACATTACAAAAATGCACTGGTCTGCATTGTTAAAAATATGTATTATTCATATGTTTTGTAAATTTATTGCGTCTGAAGTCACCAGTTCAGAGTTTGTTGATCATTAGCACAACATACTGTCTGTTTGCTTTTGATAATTTTGGTCAGTAATTGAATGCTTTTAGAATGATTGATGTTAGGTGCCATCTACCTAATACAGTACAGATGTTGTGAATAGCCATTTAATTTAGTGAATGTACAGAGGCACATAGTTGTGTGTCAATATACACGTGTATTCTTTATACAAAATATTGTCTTGTGATTTTACTCTTTTGTCTTTTTTTAACTTTGTAACTTTGTAACTTTTAGTAAATTTGTCAATGATAGGAAAATGGTTACAATTGGTGTGAAAATAAAAGTGTTCATATTTAGTACATATTGTCTCTATTTGCCAGTCTTGGATTAACTTATTTAATAGCCAGGTTAAATAGCCAAGTTTTTATAATGCAGTTTATTAGGAAATGCATCCTTCAATATCTTCCCTTTTGTTATCGATGTTTTCTTTTGTAAGTGTGTCTTCCATTGTTCAGAGCATCTAACTGAACAAAAATATGTACTTTGATTTGAGGTGTAATTCCACACTTTATTCCAATTTTTATGACAGTTTTCTAATAGAACATTTCCTTTTATAATAAAATCCAAAGCAGGTTAACACTGTTCCAAATGTAGAATCAATATTTTATTATTTTATATAATACCTACAAAATTTTCTCCAATATGTAATGTGAAAAATCCAGCCTTTATAATTTAATAATTGATGTGAAAAATCCAGCCTTTATAATTTGTTTAATGATTGTTGCAAAAACTATTTTTTGTAATGTTTCAGAAAGTTGACAAAAAGCAATAAAATGTCACTGACTTTAACAATTTGGTTTGATCTCTAATTCCATGCTATTTCATTATGTTCTACAGAATTAATATTATTGGTGGCAAATGTAGTCCAACACGTTCTAGAAAATCCCCAGTTGGAGAAGACTAATGAAATAGTATTTCATGATGGGTGTTTTCTTACTTCTGCCCACATTAGACTGCTGCAATGAGCAGTTAACTGTTTTTGTTTTCTGTGTTGTCCATTGGATTGGAATAAGGCTTAAGTATGGGAGAGAAAAGGTTCATTCCTATATGGTTTCACAGAGTTTACAGGATTTTAAAGAACTGGGTGGATCAGGGTGGTGCTTCTTTTTTGTATTATTTCATGAGGACAACAATATTGTCCTTGCATTTCCCTTCTATATAAAATCTTCTAATATATACTAACACCAGTAAATTTGTTGGCCTATAAATAGATAAGCTGGTGAAGTACCCATTCCTTGTTTTGATGTATATATGTAGAGCTGAAAAAATAATTTTGGCTTAATGGCTATAAGAAAGTTTATGGTTCAGACATAATTGAAATACTATGTACAGTTCTGGATAGGGCAAAGGTACAAGAAAGAGCAACTAACATGATCAGAGTAACTTTGCCATGAGAAAAAGTTACATTAGGACCTTTAAAAGTTAGAAATATATGTTTTTCTTTACACAGCGCAGAGTATATTTAGTTCATTTAAAATACTTGCATAATGCCATTCAAAGCAAATGCTCAAATTACACTGTGAAATTCATTACCATAGGACTGAATGATAGCTGCCAACTTGGGAAGACTTACAACAGAATTTGAGATATTCATGGAGGATAACAGTGGGAAGTAATCATGATGCCCAAATCTTAGTGCACTTTCCCTCTAGCCACTTTGGGGAACACAAGGTGACAGTAATTACACTTTTGGCCTGCTGGTTGGCTGTCTAGAGCCGGGGTCCTCAAACTTTTTCACCAGGGGGCCAGTTGAAAGGTGCCAGTGCTGGGCACGGGCCGGAAAGGTGGTGTCAGCTATGTGCGCAGGCCAGCGAGGGGGCAGGGGTGGCATGCGCGGGTGTGCCTGCTGAGGTGGGTTTGGGGCGCGAGGCGAGCAGGCGCGGATGAGGTGGGCGCATGAGGCAGTGGCTTGCTTGCGTGGGGCGAGGTGGGCGGCAGCGGGTGTGCATAGGTGCATGCGCGGTGGGTCCAAATGGGCATGGTGGGCCGGATCCTGCCCCCAGGTCGTATGGGTCCTCAAACTACGGCCCAGCGGCCGGATCTGGCCTGCCGCGCGCGCGCCCACGCACATGCATGGCGTCGCCCACCTTGCCCCGCGCACGGGAGGCAGCGGTTTGCTCAGAGAATATGACCTCCAAGCGAGCAAGCCGCAAGCCGCTGCCTCGTGCGCCTACCTCATGGCGCATGCCCGCCCCCGCCTCCCCTCCCCTAACCCCACACGTGTGCCCACGCCTCATCTCCCTCACGGTGCGCACCTGCCTGTGCCTCACCGCACACCCTGCCTCCATCTCAGCACACCTGCACGTACTGCCACCACTCCCTTGCCAGCCCGCATGCACGACCAAGCACCACTTTTCTGGCCAGCACTCAACACCAACAGCTTTCAGCTAGCCCCCTGGTCAAAAAGTTTGAGGACCCCTGGTCTAGAGGCTTCTGATTGGCCACTTGGGCATGGACCTTTGGCAGATCCAGGAAGGGGTATAGATTCTTAGACTCTCTGCCTGTCTTTCATTCAAATTCTATTCTGACTGGAGAGGACAATTACTGTATCTTGATCCTTGCCATTGTGTTGAAGATGAACACCAGTAACGGAAGTTTATGATTTTATTGTGCTTTCAGTTCTGTCCTTTCACTAAAACATTCTATAGGCAAAAATGCAAGATGCAACATCCTGGACTGGGCTAAGCTGGGAAGGCAGGGGTGGATGATATTACATCCCAGCCTACTACTACTCTTTGGGAGGCAGACAAGCATAGGTTCAATCTCTAATGATGAAGTGGTTAGCATTTCATCCCGAAATAGGCCACAGCAAAGTGGATGGTGCCAGACTTAGAAGTAAGCAAGACTGAATCAGTAACACTTTCTAATAGCATTCCAAATACCAAAATTAGGAAGAATTAACAGCATGTCTATTCAGAATTAAGCTGGACTTAATCATTTAGCTGCTTTCTTCCAAGCAGGGAAAAATATATTTTTTCTTTCCGCACACTGATAAAGGGTCACTTTCTCGGTACACAGCAAAGAAAAGATTCATTTTTTTCTTCCCAGGGGCTGCCTGTGGCCTGCAAAAGATGACAGATTCTTCATTTGATTATCGATTAAATCCTATATCCAACATTATGCAACAGTGTTGTGCACAATTGTACATCTTGTTAGATAAGGTGTGACACATCGTGTAAAATGGTATTTAGGAAAGCATATATTTTCCTGGTTGTGTGGTTACTCATTGGTAATAGGGGTGGGGGACATATGTTCAAAAGACCATCTCCACATTTCTCTAAGAGGTTAAAATATAAAATATTAACACGTAACACGAATAAAAACCAAGGATTTTGCATTTTAAAAGCTCCATTAAGCGGACCTAGTACGAGTTCTTACTGATTTTTCTAAAAACCCAGTTTCCGATGCCTTTTGATGCATACCTGTTTATAAATTCAATAAAAATATTAATTTGTGACGGACGTATGAGCTGGTGACACCTACATTGGGTTCGACCCAGCAAATGCTAAACGTTATATGAAGGAAGTGGGGCATAATGCTATTTCCTTTGCTGATACTATTGTTTGCAATCAAATATTAAACTCAAAACCCCTTACGGTGGCTATATAAAGTCCTTTCCAAATCTGAGAAACTGTAGAACGAAATCCTCCCACTTTAATCAAAGCCAACCAATTAGAAGCAACGTGGCACCCGCCTACTAAGCTGCTTCCCCCACTTTGAAAGTGCGGTCATCTTTTCCCTTCTGTTCTTCCGCCAATTTTTTTTAACGGAGGGGGTGAAATATTAGCCAATCAGCACAACAGTTGCTGTTGCTCTTAACGTCACGACCTTTAGTCCCACCCACCGAGGGAAGTTTCTTTCCACTGCAGCGTTCTGAGCGGAGCCTGAGGTGGCTTCTCCGTTGCTGAGGCAACCGCGGCGGCGTTACACGTCTCCCTGGAGCGCTCTAGCATATCACAACGGGGCCCAGGTGCTGGCCAAAGAAATCGACCTTTGAAAGAAGCCTCGCTATGATTGGCTAATACATTTGTCAGTTGGAACGCTCAACGGGAGATTTTTGGGGGGAGGAGTTGCTCGGAGTAGTAGCAGCAGCAGCAGCATTAAACCGGAGAGTCGTGGTGGTGCTGGAATTGACGCTGCAAACGGGGGAGGGACTGTGTAGGCGAGGAGAAGCAGCGGCTCCGCCTCCCCCCTGCACGACGTGAGTAGGGTGAGAAGCGGGGCGTTAGGAGAAACCGCTGGGGATTAATTGAGGACGGCGCACAAGCCCCTCCTCTCCGTCCGTCCCTCCCACCGGTCTGGAGTTAATTCCCTATATTTTAATTAATGAACAGAAAGGAGCAATCACCTGTCGATCAGCTAGTTAATTTTAGACCCTGGACCTAGCAGTCCTCTTTAGTTGGCCATTTGTGTTGATTCTGTCGTGCAGGACGAAGTAACATTTCTTCCCACACCCTCAACCGCCGTTTCAGGTGTTATAATTGGGTTATCATATCTCATATATTAAAACAACAACAACAACAAACGGTTTGTCAGACCTGATGTTAAAAAGAGAAGCCCGGAGTGTGCAGGTTTGCAATGTAAACTCTCTTAAATCATAGTACCGAGATGACTACAAGAATGAAATGTAGTTTGCTTTTCCATTTCAGTTCTGCTGCTCTCTGGGCGCCCATTTGCGGGGCCTTGGGTTGTGGGCCCTTGGACTTTGCCACTGACAGTGCCCTTGGAGAGCAGTCCTGGCAAACTTAAGGAACCAATTTTCTGTGTCGTTTTTATGTTTGTCTGAGCAAACATGGTGAAGAGTCATGTGGCATCTTTAACAAATCACTACATTTCTGTGGAATGTTTGTGCTTAGGATCATGCTTTGTGCTTAGGATCAGACTTCACTGAGATGCATGCCTACACTATTCTTATCCATATCTTTGTCAGTGTTTTTAACACTGTGTATTAATCAGACAGGCATACTGTCCTTGGCAAATGTACAAGACCAAAAGACCATGAAAGGTAAGAGGCAGGTCACTGTCAGGGAAATGCTGGGAATTGTAGGACTTCTCTCTGTTCAACTTAGCATGATGACTGCTTCAGCAAAATAAAAATATATTTTCACTGGTATAGTGCAGATTCTGTCTCAGGACTCTTCCTTCCTAACCTTAGCCCACTGCTCTTAATGTTGTGGCTGTGTGGGTGGAGAGATACAATTGGATCAATGCATTATTTTGCAGGGTCTAAAATATTATCTAGGATATTTATTTTTATTTATTTATTTATTAAAACATTTCTATGCCGCCCCTTGCCGAAGCCTCGGGGCGGCTTACAACAATATGAATGCATCATAGCCAACACATTTGTAGTTCTATCTTAAACTATGACTTTTGATTTCTAAATCAGCACCTACATGCTTTTGCTTTTCAGGGTACCAACTGGATGAAATTTATTTATTAAGGCATTTATGTCCCGTCCTATTGCCAAGTGCTCAGGACAGCTTACAAAATATAAAAGTACAATATAAAATACAAAAGTACAATATAAAACCTCAATTATTAAAACAGTATAAACACATTTTGTCATTTGGGAATATATACATAATACCCAAAATGGCCAATGGTGATGCATGGCTGCTGTGAGCCACTCCATTTTGAATTTCTCCTTTTTCTGTGCAGAAATACTTACTGGAAAAAATGGCCTCTGTGATTAAAATGTAAAAGAATCACTCAGTTCAGTACTTTAGCTTTGCATGTCTTGAACTGCATCCTCCGCATGCTGCATGGCAAAGTGCTTTTGTAATGAAAGAGCACCAAGAGTGATCTGTGATGTGGCATGCTGATGAACAATTGCAAGAAAAGAGGTGAAAACAGATTTTTGGGCTAACCTGAAATAGTGTTTTTGATTCCAAGTTGTATATTATATGCTTAACTTACTATGTATTCTGTGTTTTAGACCTTACCCTCCCATCCCAAAATTGAGTGTTTTTTTCTTTACCTGCTGAGGTACTTTACTGATCCTGTTCTTTACATTTGTTTTCTCTTCAAAGGCATGATGTGTTAATCCTGATGCTTTGATGTTGTACAATGCCTGATCAACATAAGAAAGTGAAGACCACAGAAAAGGCAACGGATACCAAACCTCAAGGGTACTGTGTTTTTCACTAAATGTCAGCAGTGACACTCTGGAATTTGTATCAGCTGCTGAACAGAATAGCTTAATCTGAAATGCTATGTGTACATAGTAACTGTTACTCTGGTCACTAAGTTTATTCAGACCTTTTCACTTGAATCGAAACAATTGGTGGTTAAGAAGCCTATATAAATATAGGGCAGCAGAGTAGCATGCTGAGGCAATTCCAGAAAGTGTATTTTCCATCAAAAGATCAACATGCGTATAATTTGATTTGCGTTGCATATTGATCAAAGAAGATGGTGTAATGTTTTGTTAATAGGTATATTATTTACATTTTCTCTTAGGGATTACACTGATCTTAAAAGGCTTCTGGCTCTTCTCAATGTCCAATCAAGCAAACAACAGGTACTTTGCAATAGCCATTTTTTGAGCCGACAATTTTTCAGTATGGTCTATAATTGTTAATTTAGCAAGTATTCAAAGTTATTTTTTGCATGGTTTCTAACATGGTTTGACAAACATTTGTGGAGAGATTTCTTTTAGAAATAGAGATTAGATGGAGGGATGCAAAGGAGCCAGTTTTTACATTTGTGTACTGTTTTTGTTTTGTTGGGTTTTTTCCCCCCAAAGCATTATGTTCTGCTTTGTCAACATTTCTGGGTGAGAGGTTTCAGTGTCATTTGAAAGCTCAGTAATTTTGTCCCCGTCCATCTTGTACTTCATCATGAAGTACTTCCTATTTTCAGCCGAGCAGATTTCATTACGACATTTTGAAATGATGTGAAAGATGTACATCCATAAGTAGTTGTAGACTAGCATCTGATCTAGGCTGGGACACTGCCCTACTGAAACTTAAATGGCTTTGTTAGATCTTTGAGCATGTATACAGATAAATAGATAAGCATGAAGGACAGAACATGTAAGGCGCAATGGGTGTTTTATTTCGACCAGAGCTCAAAGTGGCCTTTATCCCTCCCCACCATTTCAAACAAAGGGCAAATACGGAAAGAACATGTATTGGTTGACTGATGCCATTGTTGAAGCAAACTATGTCATTGGCCGAAGTATATGGCTGCAAAATTGGCCTGTGCTCTCTCTACTACCTTATCATATCTATAATATAGATATAACAGCCACAGAGCTGCTGCTGTTGTTGCTTTCAGTAATGTTTGAGCAAAACAGAAAAAAACCCTAATGAAATATTTTCTATTTTGGAATGAGTGAAATGAATTTTAGGACAAGTTTTTTCTCACTTAAAGGATATATCATGAAGATTTCTTATGTATGAGAATGTACACAGACGTTATTAGATACAGTAATTCTTTTGTTTGCTGTGTGTACACCTATATATCATTCATATCCAAGATATATTTATACACTGAGAGGATCATGCAGTTTAATTGTTTTGTTGTGAAACGTTGCTTGCTGTCTCCTGGTAACTGATTATCTAGTTTGGAGATAGTAGAAGCAATTAAGCTGTATCTTGTTTGTGCAAAACTAAAGCTGCAACCCTATACACACCCAGCTGGGAATAAATAAATCCCTTTGAATCTATTGGAGCTTTACTTTGAGTAGACATGTATAGGACTGCATTGTAGGCATTTCTGCATTTAAGACTGCAGTCTTACATCTGCTTACCTAGAAATAAGTGCCACTAAACAGTGTAGGCCTTACTTGTGAGTAAACGTGTAAGATTGCTCTATATTTTCTGTTCTTCCGTATTTCATAAAATATCAAGTAGGGTCATTTTATGTGCAAGCTAAGTAATAAATTCTATTTTATGTTATTCTAAGTTTAAGTTTGACTAAATAATATGAATTCAGTGTTTCTTATTTTGCATCTTTAACATCTGCTGAGGAAGTGTTTTCTGTATTGGGAAAGCTGTTTGAGAACTCTTTGTTTCAGTTCTGATTTTTCTGGTGATTTCCTGAGAAGCAGAGAAACAAGCTTTCTGTTCCTCATAGGTAGGGCAATAATTCTAAGCAGGAATTATTGCTCAGAGCTCTCTTTATCTCATCTTTATCCAACCACTATGTTGAAAATGACTAATGCTACTTCATGCCATTTCCTCCTCAATAGTCAAACTGGATCACTTCAGGTCCTGTGCTATAGAACCATATAGAAAAGGCAGCAAAAATTCTCAAGGTGACTTTAAAACCTCTATGTGTATTGTAATTGTTGCATCTTATTACCTGAACTTACATTTCTTACCGTCTAGCCCTACTCAGTCATGATGCTAACTGGGTGACTGGGCCAGTCACAAACTCTCAGCCAAATCTACCTCACAGGGTTGTGGTTGTGAGGATAAGATTTAGAGGGGGAGAATTATGTAAGCTGCCTTGAGTTCCTTGAAAGGGGAAAAAAGGCGGAATATAAATATAATAAGTGTTGCTACCTGGTGTAACAATCACTGATATTCTTCTGGCCTGATTAATTATGTCATTTGCCTCATATTAAATCTCCTTTCCATTTCCAGTTGCCAGCCCTTAACGTTGAAAGTGCTAATAATAGTATCACCAAGTCTGAGCAATACTCCAACAACCCTTGTGGAGAGAGATGTAGAGGTCATTGGCAAGAATCAACTGAAGCTGTTGAACTTGAACGCTTTAGGTATAGTTCACTATAGATAACTAAAGTTTAGCACATTTGTATGGATCCAGTCCAAATCCTGTCCCGCCCTTTTTTCTCCCTATACTATCAAGCATCTTCTAGGACTGAGCAAGATATTAAAGAATATCTAAACCTTGCTATTCATATTCTTGGCTTTGGAGCTTTAAGCATACATTATCTTTTAATTGCTGTGTTATCAAGGAAAGGCAATTTAGAGCTTAAATCATTTTGGTTTATATTTGGAGTGCATGTGTCACTGAGGAGAGGAGGGGGGATCCTGAGGTCTCTTCTGGTGGGTAGGCTCACTATCTGTTCAGAAAACCAGTCCCTGCAGGTAACACAAGAGTAGTGTGCCGGAACTAGATATAATCAAGGAGTGGGACTTTTTCTTACATCCTCCAAGATGATCTTGACTGAAGAGTGTGCATTACACTCCCAGGACAGCAGCCACCGAGGAGGCTACCTGCTAATGCTTGGAGGCAATTTTCCAGTCCACTGTGTGAGTAAGCAAATGACAGACCTGCCGTCACCTTTCCTTGCTCAGCAGCAGTGATGAAGACCAGAATTATGAATAGACATGGGCTTGGTGTGAACTTACAACTGGCCATAGGCCATCCTGAGGCCAAACATGGGAAGTCCATATTGTTTTACCTGAGATAAGGGGTTCAGGGACTGTGGTAGTCCATTATGTGTTTATGCCAGTTCTCCAAGTAGGCAGAACTGGCAACTGCAATGTTCAGGGGAAAGAAAAGACTTCCCCGGTATTTCCTCACAGGGTTGACCAGTGAATCCTTGGTTGAGCAGAATATGAGCACAACTGCAGGCTAGTGATCTCTATAATTATATTTGCATTAGCTGCAGGTCACTTAAGCAGACATTTTAAAAGTATTTCTTTTTTAACCAGATGAGCATCTCTATTGTTTCATCATATTGAACAGAAGAGCTTTACTACATGTGTCTTTTGTCCCTTTAGTATGAATTACAAGAATGAGAGAAATTTCAGCACACATCCACAGCATGCGTTGTTTCAAGATATCTTCACTGCTTTGGTTAAGAACCGGCTTATTTGCAGGTAAGAAATATGACTGGTATTTGTAATCTATTGCATAGGGAAGTCATTTTTACAGTAAGTTAAACTCCTTGACTGGTGGTGTGGTAGACCTTAACACTGGTATTACTTTTCAAATCCATAGATTTTCATAATTGGATATAGCATTGTTGCGTTTTGCCCAGAAGCTGACTTCTTAGCATCATCTACTTCAGTTTACAATTCAGAGGAGAAAAATCTGGGTCTGGAGAAGTAAAATTTATCCTGCCATTTCCACAAATGGTTCCCATTTAAATTAAACAATTAAAAAAATAAAAGTTAATTTCTGTTTTACTTATGATATGCACCCTATTCCTGTCCCAATTTCACTAAAAGCTACAAGATTAACATTGTTTCCATATATATGACCTCTCAGGAATAAGTATCACTAGGCACTTTAAGTGGGTATAGAATTGCAGCCTAAGTTGTGATGTTGGATCATAGAAGTTCATTTTTATGCTAACACAAAGAAGAAATTCTTATCAGCACAGACTGTAACTGTGGGAAACTGTTAAAAATTGTAATACCCCAGGTACTTGTTTTCTGAGGGAACACAATGCGTTGTATCCAAATTTAAGCATTGTAATCTGGGATGGCAAAAGCAGACTTCCCTCTATCCTACTCTTTGCAGCAGCCCCTCCAGTTGCTGAAAATGTTACACTAAGCATCAGGGGAGCCTGCTGAATAGATTCAGCTGTGATCCAGAGCAAAAGGTACTGCTGCACATGAAAGGTGCCGCCACCCAATTTTCAGCAATGTGTATTTGTCTAAAATATATTGAGGCAAATCTGTGAATTTCTGCTCCTGTAATTCATTGGAAAGTTACATCTACTTTAACTGATGGTCTGTATGAAAAAATGCTACCTTGTGAAAGCCCATCGATTTTTCTTCGAAGGAATGCCCTGGCAATCTGAGGTGTAAAGATTTTTTTCTCACAAACTGTTTGCCATATTCCTTTTCTTTCTTCATAAGGAGTGGTAGGACATATGTTCTTCGTGTATGAACGACCAAATATCAGAGATCCAGTATTTTTGACAGTACAACCAGATTTGTCCCTGCTGATTTTTAAAAAAAATGTTGTTACATGCCATCAAGTCATCTCTGATTTATAACTATGACTATAAATGAATGCTCCCAAAAACAGGTTGCAAAGATGTGGTGATCTTGGTCCTGTTTTACGTAAAGTAAGAGCCAACCTTTTAAAGGCTAGCCATTTTAATATGGAGCACTATATCATGTACCATACTCAGAATTATGAGCTTGATATTGAAGCTTGCATAAGAGTCCTCCTGGATCAGACCAAAAGCCTATCACATCCAGTATTCTGTTTCCTACAGGGGCCAAGCATATGTCTCTGGGAATCCTTCCATTACTAACCCACCAACAGTTGACCTTCAGAGATATACTGCCCATATAGTTCTCATGTCTACAGGCTGTAGACAAATAGATCCTCCATTTCAATATGGGGGAATAATTGGACAGGAGCAAATAGGACACCACTACATCTCATCTTGTGACAGTCAGTCCCAAAAATGAATTATGTTCCTTTTGCCTGCCCTGAATCAATTGCCCATTGGTTCCATTTGGTGAGATATAGCTCGTTCGCTCGCTCGCTCACTCTCTGTGTGTGTGTGTGACAGAGACAGAGACAGAATTCTTCCATCTTTCAAACCATAACTTCATACATTTTGATTGTTGACCCCATTGTATATTTTCAAAACTAACCCCACCCCCAAATTAACTTTAAACTTTCCTGTTTGGTAGAAATATTGCTTCAACTGTTGATCATTTTGATTGCTTTCCATCTCTGCAGTAGATGACAGATAGCAGTGACTAGAACAATACACAATACTCCAGGTGTGGCCAGAGAATAAGTGTTTATAAAAAATTGCAATACTTACAGTAGTGACAGTTTTAGTTTTAGTCCCTTTCCTAATAATTGCTAGTTTGTGACAGCGAGTAAATAAGGCAGAGTCCGTGCTGCAATGGTTTTTATTATGCCATTTGTCCCAGGCTCATGGTCCCTGAGAATGAAAAACTGAAAAGTCTCCAGTAGGACTTGGAACCTGCTTTTCACATTAGAAGTCACCATCCTCTTTCTCTTTAGGAACTACTGATCCCTGCTGTTCTAATCCAGCAATGTTTCCAATATCCAAAAAGATTAAATGGCTATGCAAAACCTCCCATATTCACTTGATAAAATTCACTTGATTTCACATTAAAACCAATGATTGTTATGTCTTATATTCAGGTGCACTACATCTAATTTTCAGAAAAAGCCAGTAAGTGTTCAAATAAAGCTGGAATATCAGTGTCTGATCACATATGGGTTTGGATCCAGACTTAGCCATAATTACAGTAGATCTACTGAAATCAATGGTTCTTAAAAGTTACTCAGAATGACCTTAAGTCCAAGGGATTTTAGCAGGGTCTATTTTAGGTGTGATCAAATTTGCATCCAAATGATACTTATTTATTTCTTTATTGGCATTATTTATATTCTGCTTTTATTTTGTTTATCAGCAGTATTTATATGCTACTTCTCACTTGAAACAAATCTTGAATTTCCATAGATTACCTGACTCTCTAAGGTCACACTGTAGATGTTATATTGTGGTTTAGAAAATTGATTATATAGACTATTAATTCACTGTCAAATGGCTTTTCAGTCCTTTTCTCTACATTACTGAAATCAATTCACCCTGGAATACAGTCTCATTATCCGGAGGAAGGCAACTCTGGTGGGAACCTGGAAAAAAGCCATTGGGACTGATGGTTTTTTTGGTCCAGAGAGATTGCTCTGAATAACTCAGTTCTTAGGAGTCTACGTGCATCTACTGCAGCACAGCTTTTATTTTTATCATGCTATTTTTAGTCATTGGCTTGATTCCCAGTATGGAATTGAACTGTCACACTAATCAACTATATCTGGTTCTGGGAGGGAATGAGGGAGGTGAAAATATAGACAAATTGCATATGTATTATTTTTGAAGCTATACTTCTCAATACCCCTAAAGATCTTCATAGTAAAGAACAAGACAGTTTCTTAGACTCTGTGAACACATAGATGGAAAAGTGCATCTGAACTTCCATAAATGTGGCACATTTGCTCAGTCTGCTTTGCATTCACATTATTTTGGTTTGAAATATTGTAGAAGCTGAACTTAGGAAAGACTTTAAATGTGTAAGTCTTAGTTGCACATGGCAGAGCTATGCTTTAGTTCAAAGGCTGAGTGTGGTTGGAAGAAAGCTGATTCATACTGAAATTACTGGGCTTTAAAAGGCCAATTGTTCATTTCAACATCATTCTCTTACCTGCCAATTACCTGAGTACTGGAACTTTAAAAAAAGAATCTGAGGTTTGGCATGTAGTTTTGTAGCTGGAATTAATCAGTAGAGAATTAATAATGCTTTATATTAATCTGTTGCAGGGAATGGGTTAACCGAACTACCTCTATTCACTTTCTGAGAGTTTTAATTTGCGTAAGATTGCTAATGAGGGATCCCTGTTATCAGGTTTGTTTGTTTATTATATCACCCTAAAAATATAAAGTAGGAGTATAGCACTATTTCTGGTAGGCCTGTAACTGGATGAACAGATATTAAATGCCAGTAATTTAGTAGAACTTCTCTGGTGTACACTAAACTAATAATTTTGCATGCAGCAGTTGCCCAATCCAGCTAGCAACCTCCAATCCTAATTATTGGCTTGCTATTATAATATGGGATTGAGCTGCTGGTGTGTCATTTCAGTGGGCCTTAATATATTTCTGATCAGAATCAGTCTATTTCTGTTAGTTACCTTATAGTAACTGCCTCTTTTCAAAGCTGCTGAACCTAGTGTTGAATGTACAGTCTCCTGCAATTTTGATAAACTTAGTCTGTTTTTCCCCTACTATAGGAAGCTCTCCACAACCTAGGTGCGATTGACAGTTTAGCGCAGGTAAAATTTTCTGTCTTGCCCAGAAGGCTTTATTGAATATTAATGCAATATTTGTAAAGATAGAACTCAAAGTTCCAATAGGGCAGATTGTCTTTGAAGAGAAAGCTATTTGCTCCTGTTCAACTGAATTGCAGCTGTGACAGTTAAACTGAATTGCAGCACTGACAGTCCTTTGTAATTCGATTAAACTCTTAAGTGGCTTGCTTCAGTGAAAAGATCATATCTCTTGGTGATAGGTCAGACCTCTAATCTGTTGGATAGGGCCATCTGGTTTGTAATTTAGAGCCAGACAGACATCTCTTGGCAAAAATAAGAAATGAAGTACACATTCTGAGTACATACGACACAGTTGTTAACACAAGCTTACATCATTTGGGGCTACTTGTGTGTATATTTGAAGTGCCTATTTTTATGTACTGGGTTGAATCCAGGTTTCGGCATGTACACCTGATTGAGGTAAAGCAGATTTTGCCACCCCATCCTTCCTACAGCAGCCCCTTGGCCCCTTGAAAATGCTACAGAATGGATGAGGGAACCCCGCTGAATGGGGTGGGCTGCTGTAAAGGTTGCTAGGGATCCCTGAAAATTGGTCAGGCACCTTTTGCGAGTGGACAGATCCAACCCACTGTTCATGTTAATAACAAAATCAGTAGACTTGGGTAAAAATAATGGGCTGCCATCATTAGAAAGTCAAACATTCATGAACTAACTTTGCGTCCATCAGAACCCTTATTTAGGCTATTGAAAAAATTAAGCAAAAAGAGAAGGGAGAGAAATAATTAAAATGCTTCTGGACATGATGAAGTCTTAATCTGATTTTTCCCCATGTTCCCATCAACAGCACCTTTTCTTCTCCTTTTTAATCAATGATTTAAATTACTTTGGGTGCAATCCACTGAGAATGCCCTTGTATCTTCAAAATGGGAGGATAATGGCCATCCTATGCAGGGAGGAAGGGAGGAATGTGGAGGTGATATTTGCCTTGATGATCCTCCCACCCTGCACATCAATAGCTAATTTCAGCCCTCCAGCTGTGGTGCTTCAGATGGAGAGGGAATGAGAGAGTGCATAGTGGCCTAAGTCTCCTCCCCTCTCCATCCACAAGAATGCCTCCTTTACCCCTTCTTTGAGATCACTCTTAAGACCTTGGAGAAGCAGCCAGTGTGATTCTTTTCACACCATCTGTGGTGGGAATCCGAGCATGGATCTCCAGCTTCAAGGCTGGCACTCTTTTCCAACATCAGATCTGAAAATAGGGAGACCATCTGTGGCCCCCGTGATGCTGTTTAGAAACCGCAGGATCATCTATATCTCACATTCAGCCTGAAGAATAATTCAGGGGAATTTGAAAGTTTGCTTGCCTCTTTGCAGTGTTTTTATTGGCTCTATTCAAGCAGTGGCATAGAACCTTGCCACCCTCTAGTTGTTGTTGGATTAGTATTCTATTAGTTTCTGGGCTGCATGCCTGGTGGTCAAAGATGATGGAAGCTGTAGTTCAACAACATTAGAGGACCCTACTGTTACTGTTGGACTTTAATGTAATGGGACTTACCTCATTACAATTTTAACATACATAGGCTAAGAGGAATGTAGTATATCTGAACTGTCAGTAACTCCATAATTTGTTCACAGTTAGGGATTCTACTACTACTACTATAACATGACTGTGTGTTGGAAATATGAGATGGAATACTCTCTACTAGCTGGTGAATTGTGGCATTTCCCCAACTGAGTAGCATGTCACAAAGAACCTATAATGTACTCAATCCTACATCTAATTGTATGACCAAGTCATTTTATAATAACTTCATATGTTTCATAATGTAGTTCGGGGAAAAAAATCTATATCAACTTGTGATACTTGTGTGCCATCTACTGGCCACATATATGTATTTTATTTAGGTCTATAACTTTCCAATGTATTTTTTTTCAATGTTTTCCAATTTCCAGTATATGGAAACAGTAGCGAATGACTATCTTGGCTTTGGAGAAGAGCAACATTGTATAGACAAATTAGTCAACATGACATGTAAGTTTTGATGTTGCATGTGCTGTTTATAATAATAATAATAATAATAATAATAATAATAATAATACAGGTAATCCTAGGGTTAAGAACGAGTCTCCTTCCAGAGAACATCCTTGAGTTGAATTTGTATGTAAATCAGATCACATGAGTAAGCCAAATGTTTGTCTTAGTATATGTATATATTTTACCTTTCTATGCATATAAAACACTTAAGCACTTCCATATTTACTAAAACATCTTAAGCGCAATGCAGCATTGTAATCATGATAATGCAGTAATAATAAAATAACTACAGGTACTGAAGAGAGAGAATCTGTATGTATGTGTGTAGGTATACAGTACTGTAAAAAAACAAAGAAAAGAAACAGATCTTAAAACAGTTTAGAATGTTCTTGAGGCAACATTAAGCCTAACTTTAACTGATAATGATGGAGATGGACCTGGTGCTAGAGAATCAGGCTCTGATTGTGCTGCTGGAGAGAGCAGGGTGTTTACCACTGGAGTCGCTTTCTTGAGATAGGCATAAGGATTGTTTGTACAGCCATTTTCTTTTTCTCATTATAAATGGCCTTGTAGAAGCTGAGGGCCTGGTTATTAGGGTAAATGCTACAGAAAAAACAAAGGAGAACCACACACCCTGCACATGCCCCAGAACATACTTGCTTAGGTATGCTCAAGCCAATGAATGAAAAGCTGTGACTACTGTATCTCTAGGGAAACAAGTTGCTAATGATTATACATCGGCAAACACATTATGTAGTTCTGTATGTTCATAAGTATGGACATTGTAACTCAAGGACTACCTGTAGAGATATACATATAGAGAGATATATATAGAGACCTGTAGAGATATATATATACCTGTATATTTCCTGAAGTCAGTACTGTTGGAGGCAGTGAGGCCCTGCTGCCTCAGGGATTCCAAAGCTGCAAGAGAGGGCAGAGTGACCAATCATAGCATAACTGCAGCTGCTTCAGCAATTGATAGGTAGACCTGGATAGTAGAGAACTCATGCTGTAGTCATGGTTGCTCTTGCCTTGAAACTCACTAACAAAAACGTGGAACCACACAGAAATATGGAAACTGGGTTCACACATGCAAACCATGGGGAAGTGTGGAAACCATAGTATAGTTATCTCTCTGTGTGATTTCACATAGACCCTCCTTACCACACTTCACCAGTCCTGCTGGGTTCACACATAATAATGACAAGCCATGCCATGAAAGTTTCCCTTGTGGCTTGCTGTTACATGTGAATCCACTTATAAGTGGAAAATTAGACTGCAGTAGAAAGTTAGGCTGCAGCAGATCTTTAAGTATGTTCAGCATTTTGACAAGCCTGACACCTGAGTTAATTTGCAGTGTAAATTTTAATCATGTCTCAGAATCTACTAGCTTCTCAGCACAAACTTCATTTTTGGAGTGATGTTATGATTTGTTTTAATTAATAAAAAGAATACTTTTTGTGAGAGACATGTGATACATTCAGTTTTCTCTACTCCACAGATATTTTTCAAAAACTATCAGCTGTTAAAGAACAAAGGGAACGGGTTACTGCCAGTGGAGCACATAAGGTAATTGCATTATAATTGTAATAAATCGTGATTTTGATTGGGGTTATTTTCAAAATGATTTTTAAGTGTTACAAAATTATCTCTCATGTGAAAATTGCCATACAATTTAAATTCTAGTTAGAGCTGAAAGTGATTTATCAGTTACCTAGCAAATGGGCCAAGATAGCACATTCTGTATGCTCTTTGAGACCATGAATGATCTGTCCATTTTATTAACAATTATATGATGTTAATAATGAGTTGCTGGATGATTTAAAAAACCACAAACTAGAGGTTGGATTCAGGATCTGACAGAACGGTTACACTCAGCAAAGATGCTCTGTCTGTTTTTCAAGGATCCTCCCTTCTCCTTGCCCCACAGCTCACTCCATTCAGAGGAGACCTGCAGCACCTGTGCAAAATTTTCTGGGGGTTAGAGGGACTGCTGCAGATTGCTGGTGCAGAGGAAGATGAATGGTCATAAACCTAAATTCATCATAAAAACATACAAAAAGGCACTCCATTGATGTGAAAGTACTGTTGACTGGCATCAGAAATGCAAAAGGATGGTAGTGCCAAAAAAGGGGTTAGTGGCGAAGCAACATTGATATAGATTCATATGATACAACCCTTTGGAGGCTGCAGAATTAAAGCTAAATTCACACTGATACAGCAAACACATGTGAGATGCTGCCAGTGATTTCTTTCAATATGTCAGCTGCTTTATGTATAAAAACCACATAGGTACAGTTGGTGTATAGTTTCTACCTACATGGTTTCTGTAGCCAAACAAGTTCAGGATGATATAAGAATAAGCCATGAGCAAAGCAGTTCTCAGACTACTGTTGGGTAAGAGTGAACTAGTATGACCTGTTTTGTTGTTTTTAACAAATCTACAAACAGTTGTCACTTAAAATCACTAAGCAATTGTTTTTACAATTTGCCTTTACAATTGCTTATCTTTCTTCTTTTTGCAGACTTTGATCAATCTGCTTGGAGCTAGAGAAAATAATGTTCTGCTAGGTGCCTTGCTTGCTCTTACTAGCTTGGCAGAAAGGTGAGTTTAAATCTGTTGTGCTTTAGAAAAGTAAGGCCAAATAGTGGTAATCAAGTTCCATACTCTTATTCCTGAAAACATGAAGGTATACGATATGTTTACATTTTTACTTTCCATTCAACTGATCCAGTCAACCATTGAAAATTTCCCAGGGTTGCCCTGAAACTAAAGCAGCCCCTATTGCTCTTTCTTCAGGATTAATTTTTACTGCTGGCTAGGCAAAATGCATGTAAACATATCATTCTGGGGGACTGTTTTCCTAGGCCCAGTTTCCTGAATGCAAAATTCAATTTAAATAACTTATGGAGCAATCCTGTATGTGTTTAGACAGAAGGCCTACAACTCCCAGCATGCCCCAGTAAGCATTTTTGGGTATGCTGGGAGTTGCAGGCTTTTTTTCTGTGTAAGCATGAATAGAATTGTACTCTGCTTTTCTTTTATGGTCTCTTCAGTAAGCCAGTCCATTAATTGTGCATTATCCTCCAGCATGACAGAATGGTCTTCTCTTGGGAGTAATTGTTCGTTTATTGTTACGTCACCTCCACATGGGACTTGTTCCTTTGTCTTTCCCTGTAAGGATCTTTGTCATCTTATATAACATACACACTCTGGCCTGGTCTGGACAATCAATGGAAAAAGAAGCCACTATGGGCTGCATGTACTGGCCAGATGCTAGGCAATTTACTTAATTATCAATATGACATGCAGTGTCCCATAATGCTCGAATTTAGTGAGGTATCACTTAGATACAACTCCAGAGCCCTGCAAGAAACCATGGTTTGGGTGGTGGTTTTGACACAATGCCTGCTACATATTTTGTTGCCTTTGAATGGCATGGAAATCCATGCATTGTAGGGTTAATTAGGTAAATTGTATAGTGAGCACCTGGCACATGCAAGGGTGGAGAAAGAAGCCAACATGGTGTCTTTCGGCTTCTTTTCCTATGTATTAACCAAACCTGGCCAGTCTGAAAGATCCTGAGTACTAGGCAGAGTCTAAACAGGATTGCTCTGACAGTTTTTGTGCTTAACAAATGTACTTGTTCACATAATCATAAATCCTGTGGCAGAATTGCTTATATTTTTACTTCAAATTCATTTTTATGATTTTATTTTAAATTTATGGAAATTGAGTGCAATGAAAGAAACACTGGCTACATTCAGAATATCAAAAGGAATTTATCCAGTAAAAAATCTCCTTCCTTGCATTCAATTTGCTTTAATTTCAATGGGATAGACTGAATTCCAATTACAATTTATCAATGGAGTTGACTGTATCAATTTATGATTTAATTGGCAGTACAGTTGTTAAATTCCCTTTTGTACTGCAATGAATCTATCTTGTGGTAGTTTATAAAATTGAAAATTATGGCAAAATATTTATTAAACAGTGGAAGTAGCCATGCAACTGTTGTGAATATTCACCTTCCTTATATTTCAGTGTTTGTAGATATTTTATATAATTAGTTATCATTGCCTGGAAATGTCTCAACCTGTACTTTAAAAAAAAATTCATGTGGTTCAGTCCAGATGACGTTAATTTTGCTAGTCGTATTGTCATCAGTGTTAACCTTCTTGACTAACTTAGGTCTCAGTCAATTTACTGGAAACTAACTGCAGCTAACTTTGTCTCAGGGCCTGTTGTACCAAGGCCTTTTGGTACCCGCTTTTTACCAGTTTTTCATACCATCGATCTATTTATCCATCCATGTCCCCCATTATTGTTTGCTGCAACAGGGTAATATGGTTTCTTCTCTAGAAATCTGAGCCTGTTTTTTTTTTTTTGCTGCATTTTATGCCTTGTACAGATTTATAATTTACATACTACTGACTAGCCTCAAGTTCATGGCAGGGCTGGCTCTCCCATTAGGCAAGGTGAATCTCTGCCACAGGCAGCAAAGTGGGGCGCAAAGCAGTTCTCTCCAAAGAGTCCCACTGGCTACTCTTGCACTGCAGCAAAAACCACAATAGGAAAGTGACCAGCACAGCTTTTCAGCCACTCAGTGCTTCATTCTGAGGACCTCTCACAGTGAGGTGCATAGGCTCTCTGAGAAGCCCAGTTGGCTTGACTTTCCAAAGACCCTACTTGTCCCAAATGCCAATCTCTGAGGCATTCTGGATTTAGGTGACCTAGGAGATCACCTATGCAGTGGCTACACAGAGGCTTCAGGGTCGCATTAACACCTGTGCCTTGTTCTGTTGAAGAGTCCTCAGAGTGAAGCATTAATTGGAACAGAGAAGAGAAAGGGGAAGAGAAGAATCACTACTGCAGCTTCTTTAGAATTATGCAACATGTTTCTACTGGCAGTTTTCCAAGTAGCAGTCTGTCATCTCAGAAAACAATCCACCTTTTTTTCTTTGGAGTATCTCCCGTGCAATTTTCAAGTATAATGTGTAATGATTTTCAATTTTAGTCCTGAATGCCGAAGGAAAATAAGTGAGCTCAATGTTGTGGAGAATTTGTTGGTGATATTACATGAATATGACTTGCTCTGTAAAAGGTACGATACCTTATTTTCAGTTTATGTTTCTGTTGAGGGTTTTCAGACATTTAGTTGATAATTATGCTAACTATAGCCTCCTATCAAACATTTATGCTTATACTTTTGGAGAAGAAAATGTGTGAAGTCTATTTTCTGGCATTTCAGGCAGATAGTACACACTTGCTCAATGGAGAAGGATGGCGAAGATTGCTTAGGAAGTTTGCTTACAAAGTCAGATGTTTGCACTTTTTTGTATACTTTTAGTAAATTCTATTGATTAATTCTGGCTTTTTTTCAGAGGCTGCATCTGTACTCTGAGCTGTGCAGCCCTTTGGGTTTCTTCCAGCAGGCAGAGCTTATTGTCCAAGCCTTTCTCTTCAGGATAAATCTACTCAGAGGGCTTCCCCACCCCACCCACTGCTATCTCCATTCTGTTAGTGCAGGGATAACAGTGGGAGATGAAGAGTAGTGGATGTTGGGACTTGTCTGAATCATGGGAAGCCGCTGCTCTCTCCACAGCAGCTACTCTGTGGGAAGTGCAAGGAGGACTCAACTGCTTTTCCCAGTACAGGAAGGGAGATAGTTCCCAGTACTGGAAGGGAGATAGAGCAGAACTGACTGAGCTGACTTTCCTAACCTTACAGCAATTACCAGAAAGCTCATTCTCATTACAAATGCTGGTTCTCTGCTTCCTCTTCTGCATGACAAATGATTGGATAGTACCAGAAATAAGTGTGAGAGGTGCTCAAAAGCAGATTAAGTATTGCATGTAGAAGAACTACAGGAGGCAAAGCAGGTTGGTTGTTTAGTTGAGTGTGAAGTCTTTGGGTTTATTCAGATGTAGCATGGATACGTAGAGCTGTATTCTCTATGCTGACTGGCACATCCCTTTAGGATTTTAGACAAATGTCTTTCATCTTTTTTAACTGTAGTCCCTTGGAAGCAAAGCAAGACAGCAGAACAACTAGTTTTCTTGGCATTTGTCATTGCATCTGCATTACTGTTGTTTATATTAGCCTTGAGAGAAAAATACAATTTAATGAAAGCCAGAAAATGCAAACAGCCACTATAAGTATAAAGAATAGATTATAGGATTGTTAAAGTGAAGGATGACTAATGAATCCACATAGGCTCAATTTAATGCTATAGCTTTTTATTTTAATAAAATGTGATTTTTATACCACCTGTTTTGGTGTGTAAGAAATTTAAGGAGGCACTTTACACATGTCGCATGTGTGCGTGTGTGTGCACGCACACATTTCCCCTCTCTCACACACATGCACACGTGGCTATCAATTTCTAAGTATTACATTGAATAAATGGAGCAATATTTTATTGTATAGATAATTTAACAGGCAAACTGAGCTATACTGACAGCTATACTGACTGAGGTGATAATTTGTTGATTCTCTTGCAGGCTGACAGCAGAGTTACTCCGTCTGCTCTGTGTAGAATCCCAAGTCAAAGAGCAAGTCAGAATGTATGAAGGTATTCCCATCCTGCTCAGTTTACTCCATTCAGATCACCTAAAGCTGCTCTGGAGTGTAGTTTGGATTCTGGTCCAGGTTTGTGAAGATCCTGATACCAGTGTGGAAATCCGTATCTGGGGTGGCATCAAACAGCTCCTTCATATTTTACAAGGGTAGGTTATGGAGAATGAATTTCATAAATCCACTCAGGTCATCATTGTGTTCTTAAAAATACCATTTATTTACGAAGCAATTTGTCTGCTCAGTATCATGTAAAATTAGTACTCACTAAGATAAACATTAGACCTTTAACATCATAAAAATGTAGGGTATAACTTTTCAAGTAAGTCAACATTGCTGTTCCCACAGGGGAAAAATATTTAGTGTCGGCTGCATTTTCAAATGATTCTGTGGGATAATTTAGATCCTGACTAAATTAGGCTACAGTGTTAATGAGGAATCCTTGTGAATGCATAGATCATTTTTTGAAATGTAGAAGTCAGGTCTTGGATGTTTGAAGGTATCAGTGAATTTAATTTATCTAAAGCTTTGCTAATCATGTTTATTTCATATTAATGCAGACAATAAACTGAATATATAGTAAAAACAAATATAACTTGCAGTAATTTGATCTTTCAGTGTAAGTGTGCTTTTTAATAGCAGTTAATGTAAACATGTTAATCTGTTCAAAAGTATTACTATTTATTTATTTATTTATTTATTTATTAAAACATTTTTATGCCGCCCCATTCGCCGAAGCCTCGGGGCGGCTATCACTGTCTTGTAAGCAAATTTTCTTTATGATTAGCTAAGGTACAGTGGTACCTGGGCTCACAAACTTAATCCGTTCCAGGACTCTGGTCATGACCCAAATTGGTCGTGACCCAAGTCAAATTTCCCCATAAAGTTCGATGTAAATAAGGTTAATCTGTTCTGTAATTTTTTATCACAAAAATTTGAAACAAATTAAAGTACAGTACAGTAGAGAACACTAACCTATGTGGGAGGGAGGTTATTGTTTGAAGGGAGAGTCCAAACCATAATCGTGCGATAACGCTCGTGCTGGAGGGGGGGAGATGGGCCTGTTTGCAGGCGTGCTCATGCGGGGGGAGACAGGCACGATCGTGATCTTGCGGCAACATAGCTGCGATCATGGTCATCACCCAATGCGGAGTTCGCCAACTGAGGCATTTTTTTCCTGAAATTTCTGTTCATGACCCAATTTGGCCATGAACTGAAGCGTTTGTGAGCCAAGGTACCACTGTAAGTCACAAAAAAGTCCACTACTATAAGCCTCAACATTCTGCTAGTTCTGAAAATAACATTTATAGATCTAAATAGCAATCATGCAGAATTTCAAATTTATCTGATACAAATTGCTGCAGAAACAAGTACACATTTGTACTTTTTACTCTGAGTTACATTGCAATATATCATATTTTTTTCTAATTACGAAATTGCTGGCATACTTTATTCTGGTCTGTTGAGAGTTGTGCCTTTCATTGGTTTGATGAAATTAGAGCACTAACTTTTATAGTAAGCTTTTCTTCCCTGTGAAAGCTCATGCCAGCAATTGCTGGCAAGGTTAGGTCAGGCATGCTCAGTTTCATTCTGAAGCTAGAATGCTGCCAGAATCACAGTGATTTAATTTCTGCTGTTTCTGTCAGCATTCTGACAGTCACAGAGGGGTAATAAGAAACTGTCAACTGAATTATGAGTGAGATAATTTTGAAGGTTGACTGAATCGCTCCCGCTGATTGATAGATTACTGATGAGGTGGGAGAGAGAAAAAAACATGATACTATGGAGGAGTAGTCGTGGGGAGAGTAGCAGCTTCCCATGATGCAGTGTAATAGCAAAGCAGTATAAGAATAATAAAGGTCCTTAAAAAAAAAACAGGGAAATTCAATTATGAACAAAGGCCAGATTAAGATTAAGGCTCTCTAATGTTGGCTCAGGAAATTGAAAGTTAGGCCTTAGCAGATGTGCCCCATGGTGAGTAATAATGTTTTACATGGTCACCAATTAAATTTGCCTATAAGCAATAAACAAGAAGGTGTCAACAAACAGGAGGATTCCTCTGGTATTACAATAAGGTTAAGATGCTTTGTCAAGCAATACAGGACTAGGAGCATGTGGGGCATCTCTGCTGGTCCCTGCATTCAAATTTCCTTATCTGGATTTGGGGCCAAAAGATTGAAGAGATGTGTTAGTGCTCAGAGGGTAAGTTTTAAGAAAGCACAATTTGTGCCACTGTACATTATCACATCTGTTACAGAATCAGCCTAAGTTTTCAATTTCCTGTCTTTCTAGAACTTTAGCTGACATGAAATAGTCTCAGCATTTGCCTTAAACTGCCATTTGTTTGGTCATTGAATATATATGTAGTAAAATTCTAGCACTTCTTTTTAAAAAGCAAAATAAGTTGATCACAAACATTTTATTCTCTCTTCCAAGAGTTGCTCTCTGTTGTTGCTCCACTGGACCTGCTTGCTTCTTACTTCAAAATTATAGGCTGAAAAAATATGTTTCCTTTTGGTAATGTGGTAATTATACACAACCAAGAATGATTCACACATTTCTTCCAGTGGTACTGAATGGGGTAAGAAGGCTTGGTTAAAAAAATGTATGGAACATTTATGCTCTTAATTTAGCAATAAATAGCTTCTTATCACCAGTTATGCAACAGATACATTTAAAGTGTTCACTGCATTATGTTCTGCCTTTCCAGGGAGAGAAATTTGTTTTCAGATCGTTCTTCCATTGGAAGTTTATCTAGTGCCAATGCATCAGGAAGAATCCAGCAGCTTCACATGTCAGAAGATTTAAGCCCTCAGGAGATACAAGAAAATACGTTTTCCCTTCAAGCAGGTGCATACATTATAAATCATCCTGTGATTATTTGCACCCAGAGCAATAATATGGCTGAGCACTGTATAAAATAAAGTATAGACTTTAGATGTATATCAAAGTGTTTCAGTATATGCCACAACTCCTGACAAGGGTGCTTGTACTAGCAGGTGAGATTTTAGGAGGAGGAAGGAAAAATGCATTTTTTCCTTCTACCATCCTGAATCATTCCCTTATTGTGTTGTAAGACATTAATTAGAGCAATCCTACAAACCCTAGACAGTACCTTAGAGGGTCATAGGATTTTTCAGATTCTCAAATCTGAGCTCCTGCTTCGGATCTGTCTGGATCTCCCTCCCCATTTGCTGCTACAATATAAAGAAGCATGGAAGCTGCTTCTTCAAGATGATAAGAGTGACCTTTGAGAAGGAGTTTAAGGGCCATTCAGGGTGGGGGGAGATCAGGAAAGGAAGGATACAGGTGCCACCAAGATACAACCTATACTGGTGGTGCCTTCACAGACACAGTTCTCCTGCAGTGCATAGGGTGCTTATAATTCTGTGTGCTACAGGCATCCCCATTTGATTCCACTGTAAGATTTAAGGGCCTAAACTTAAATCTGAAGTTATTATTAATTACTACTATTTACACTGAATAGTAGATTCAGGAAAAAGCTTCAGATAGCTCATAAAGAGAAAAATGATCACCCAGAAAACATTGCTTTTAGTGCAAAATAAAAATATACTAATTAAATACATTTTGAAAAGTTATTCCTTTTCCTGCCGTCCTCAAAACCATCTGATACAGCAGATCAGACAGTTCCGTAATCTCAAGGCACATATCCCCACCCCCCTAGCATCAGTATAACCTGTAACATGGGTTTAAGAAGGTCAGTTCTAACACCTGTTTTCTCTTTTCCCCACTTCAGCTGATATTTAACTATGCTAAACATTCCATGGCTCCTGGAAACTGTTAGCATGTTCTCGTTCTCCCTCCCTCCCTCCCTCCCTCCCTCTCTCTCTCTCTCTCTCTCTTGGCAATTAAAAAAAAAACACACTGAACAGATAATCTATAATAATAGATTCTCTAAAATAACACAAAACACCTGGTAATAATATGGTCTTTTAGCTGTTAGCTAGAAAAAAGTTAATATTAGTATCATTGAGAAAAAGACATAAGATTGATCTTTAAATTGTTTTAAAATTAATAAAGAATGGTCATTTTTGTATAAATTCATCTACCTAAAACTATCCCAATTTTCTAAAACCATTAAATAAGGCTAGGTGATTTATTGCTTTCATTATTGTACAATATGCAATCTAGCATCTCTTAATAAAGTTGTAAATCTGTTCTATCCTCTTTCGCAAAATACCTAAAATAATATTGGGCTTACAGGCATCTGCTGAGTTAGTTCAAAATTTTACTCAGAGTAGCTTGATATTTGGGCTTGTCAAAAATGTTGAAAAAATGCTTTGGAACTTAGATATTACCAACAAAGATCTAGGTCATTATATTTTGCCCAGTTTATGTGTGTGGGTGGCTGTGTATGTGCGTGGGAAGGAGAGAGTGGGAGAGGGGAGCTGCGTATGTGTGCTTCATGGTGATGCAGGGCACTATGTAAACATTTAATTTATTATTTATTATGTTGTGAATATGCCTGTGACCTTTGGCAGCCATTTTGAATTGGTAACCACAAGCACATTCTTTAGTCCTAGAGGCCCAAAACATGGTACCATGGATTTTCAGAGTGGGAAAGAATACAGTGGGTACAGTTTTGTTAATTGGATGTACTAGATGCCAAGTTAGAGTTTTGTCAGGCTTTTAGTTGTTTTGCCAAAATCATTGATACACTTAACCTAATTTCAAATCCAAAGATTTTCATAGTCATTTTCACTAAGTGCTGAGGGACATGTTGAGAGCAGATTGTCTAATATGCTCCCTCATGGTGATCCACAAATTGGGAAGCCACTGGGGGAACGTATTTGGAGCAATTTCACATACTACATAAAGACAAATATGGAAATGCAGTGAAATGTTTACTGATAAAAGAGCTACAGTGAATTCACTGATTAGCATGTTTCCATGATCTGGAGATTTGCAAACAACATCAACATTTATTACATTTCTGTATTGCCTATAGCCAAAGCTTTCTGGGTGGTTTACAACAATAATCATAGAATCATACATGTACTGAAGTCACTCATCCAGATTCTAACCAGGCCTGACCCTGCTTAGCTTCCAAGATTAGGCAGGATCAGACACTTCAGGCTGTGCTGAAACATTTATTTTCACTTTTAAAAATACAGCTGAAATGTAATATGTGAATGGTTTAGTGGCATGGTTTAGAATTCCACTTAAAATTCAAAAAGCTAACTTTATTATATTTTAAACAATAACTGTAAAGTAAATATTTGTGGGGATTTTTCCAGCTTGTTGTGCTGCTATTACTGAATTGGTCCTGAATGATACTAATGCTCATCAAGTGGTTCAGGTAAAAGAAATTTGAATTTGTTTAGTAGTATATTCATTTATTTTTATGCAATACTGTCACATACTCGTATTTGGTTGTGGATGCAAATGCTTATCTGTCAATTACTTGAGTGATATTCTGCTAATGTTTAGAGTCTGTGTAGGAATATAAATATTCTGCTAATGGCTACATTGTGTAGATTTGAAAAAGTATAGAGTATTTTTATTTAACTTTCAAAGAGAGAATGCCACCTGCCTCAGAAGATTTGAGGACATCTTCTACCTTTTCCCTAGGAGATTTTAGAATGATAAACAAGGAGGCAAGTTCTAGCCTGATAAAAGCCAACTTGAAAATGGAAAAAGAGTAAGAAGGCAATATTAATATGATCAGAATAAAGTTTGAAGCTAACTATGTTACCAACATTGAATAATAGTAAGAGGAATTAGAGGCAGTGGGCAGAACTGATGAAGAACAAAGGTGATCAGAGACAATATAGCCATAGTGGGGATGTTTTTGGTGTCCCTCTTAAACCTATCATTCTAACATTGGTAGATAAAATACTATGAGGCAGAAGATCTTTAAGGAGGAGTAGATGAGTTAGCCCCTGTCTTGGTTTCAGGTCCTCTTACAAACAACATAATGCCTATCTCCACTGATTGGTTTGCAGATTTTGTTAGTAGTTTCCTTCATATGAACTTGATTTGCCATTAATTTCTTAATACTTTATTTGACTCTATATTCTTTACTGTGTGCTTTCTCAGGAAAATGGAGTCTACACAATAGCAAAACTTATTCTACCTAATAAACAAAGGAATGTAGCAAAGCCTAATTTGTTACAGGTAATCATTTTTCTTTCTTTATTTGCCATTTTAGTAGAAAAGGTGGCAGCACTTGAAAGAGGGACATGATAATTTGTTAGATATTTGTTGTAAAGTAGCCTTACTCTTTTTCTTAAAAATGTTTTCAGGTTTTTTAAAGCTTGCCTTGGCAGTTGCTTGTTTAGTATGCTACTAGCATATACTATTTAAACAAAAGAAACTAAATGTGATTAGTAATGATTCTGCATGGCATTATCTTTAATGTATGCGTTTCCCGGGTTTCAGTATTACGCCTTCAGAGCCTTGAGATTTCTGTTCAGTATGGAAAGGAACAGGCATCTCTTCAAAAGGTACGCAAATGAAATATTGGATAATATTATTTTGCAAAAATGTTCACTTGAGTTACAAGAAAAACCTGCAGGTTAATACTTAGTATTAAGTTTAAATCTACATTATATTCACTGACTTCTAGTTGGAAGAATGGAAAATGAGATGGAGTGACAAACGCACTGTTATCCACACATGTCTCTGCAAAGAATTTAAGACCAATTTAAATGCTCAGCTGCCAAACAGAGATCTCTAGAGACATTTCTATCACCTCCTCACTAGAGTGTAACATGTGTTTTAATTAGTTCATTTATATATCTTAAAGGATGTGTGTCCCAGACTTTGTCAAATGTCACCAAATCAGCTAAAATTGTTTTACAGTAGAAAGAAGCACAGTTCCAAAGTCTGCATGGCAAGAGGGATTGAAGTATGCCTGGAAGTTTTTCAGTTACATCATGATGTTGGATAAATTTACCGCTCTGTGGCCTTCAGAGCGGTAGCATTGTGTAGCATTGATCTGGACAGTGAAACCATTACAAGGGAGGAATTAGAATGCATTGGAACTAGATGGTATCTGCTTTGGTACAGCTGAAAAGCCCAGTATAATTATTGAACCATCATTATTGTCCAGAAAACAGAGTTTCATCCCTGAGTCCTGACTGACTAGGGTGAGCAGGATATCAAGAGAACAATAACTTTACTGTCCTGCAGCTGTAAAGATCAAGCCAAGGCCTGATCAAGGATTTTCATATATATCATTATTAATGCAGTGTGGAGTATTAATCCATAGCAAAGCTCAGGAAAGATAGCATTAATACCACCTCAAACTTATTTAAAATATTATAGGTGGATGTAGGATAGAGATTCTTCACGTGACCTGGGCTGTACATATGTTGAGCAACAGTTAAATGTGATGGTCCATATATGGGGCTTTTCTCTACAAAAAGTGCATAGAAGAATCGCCTTATAAAGGCAACATTCCACATTTAGCTCCATTCAGATTCATTAAATACTTTTAGGGAGGAAACACAAGTGAAACTAGATATACATATCTAAAATATTATAGTATTTTCTTTACCATCATTTCCATTGGTTTTAAAACTGAATCCAAGAATGGTAATAAGCTAGAGCACTCTCTGATATCCAAGTCTTTGTCTCAAACCCATATATCAGTATATAAGATCTTACTCAACTTATTTCTGCATGTAACTTCTGTATCTCAAAGGTATTTTGTGAGATTCAGAAGATGACAATTTTGAATAGCTAGCTGACCCCCAAAATATATATACCCCTAGTCTGCATTTGCATAACTATATGTTTTTAATAATTATTTGTTAGACCAGTTTCTTAGAGCAAAATAGTGTTGAGAAAAGACTGCATTTTTAGCAAATTGCTTGAGTTATCTAACTAAAAGAGAACCAGTCAGAACCCTTTTCTTTAAGCACAGAATTGTCTAAGGATTAATAAACAGCAATTTTTAATTGTGGCTTTAGAAAAGAATTGTTACATAGTAGTTATATTATCCCTGCATGCATTTAATATTAAGTGAAATGAAGCTAGCATATATATCAAGCATAATAAACAAAATTAGGTATGTATTTTCTTTAGTATTTCACATGTTATTCCTTTTTGTATTTTTAGACTCTTCCCTACAGACTTATTTGAGCATTTCATTGACATTGGGCATTATGTTCGTGATATCCATGCTTATGAAGAGCTGGTACTGAAGCTAAATGCTTTACTTGTAAGTAGTAAATGTTTGATTACTTGCTTGTTCAGACTGAAATGGTGTCTGTTAAAACTTTTAGCATAAACTGGATTCAGGAAAGACCTTGCAAAGTTTTTGTTTTTCAGTTTGTTCATTTCTTTGCTTGCTTGTTTCAGTGGGGAATGCTTGAACTTAGGTATTTTTCCACAGGAAGGTTAAAACAAACTGGGACAATTAACAAGTGTCCTTCCTGTCTGAACTTAACACATTAATGGAATAGTTACAAAAAGTGTTATTTTTGATCTGAAAAACTAAGAAGAGATAAGGGAGGAAGTATTTTTATATGTCTTTAGCACCCAAGTTAGACTATAGTCTTATTATATATAAAGAATTCTTGATATAAAAATTATATCAATCAAAGTAAGCCTTTTAATTTATTTTATAACTAGGAGGATGAAGTTAAGCAAATAACTGAAAATATTGAAAACATTAATCAGAACAAAGCACCTACAAAGTACATAGGAAATTATGCAATACTAGACCATCTTGGAAGTGGAGCTTTTGGAAGTGTATATAAGGTAAATTTGCTCTGATATGTATGACATATTTTTTGTATTTATATGCTTTGTTCCCATACAGCATTATGGCAAATGTGCTTCATTTTCTACCTTATAAAGAAGAGTCACATGTTGGCGTGAATTATTAATCATTGTTTCCCATTGTTTTTAATAAGTAGCAGTTATTGAGAAAGGTATCACAGTGGCCAGATATTGCAGCTATTGGGCAGCATGGAGCTGTGGGGGTGGGACGAGGAGGAAAGCAGAAGCAGCATGAGAGAGGAAGTCACCACATCAAATCTCACCTCAGGCCTGCACTTACTACATGCCAGTGTTCCATAGTATGCACTCCCTTCCCCAAATGTGCAGAGTTGTCGTAATTACTGAGATAATAAGTGGCAGGCACTTTTTTCTGTGCGCCATGTAAATATGAAATGTTCTTATTTCATCTATTGTGATGGTTTTGGATAAACTTTAGAGAGTCCCAGTTTCTACATGGGTCTGTTACGATGTTCTTTCAAATACCCCTATGTCTTATGTAACTTTATTTTTACAACACAACAGAGGCTCAACTACTTTAATGCTGATATGAGATACTGAAGAATGAGTTTCTTAAAATAGACTCAATGCAATTAGTTTTTGGTGAACTAACACTTCTTACTTTCATTCTGTTTCAATCTGTTGTTTTTCACATCTGCCCTTTTCTCCTCCCTCTCCCCCTTCCCTCTCCCCCATGGTCATAGGTTAGGAAACATAGTGGCCAAAACCTTCTTGCAATGAAAGAAATCAATTTACACAATCCAGCATTTGGCAAGGATAAAAAAGATAGAGACAGCAGTGTAAAGAACATTGTGTCTGAATTAACCATAATTAAAGAACAGGTGAGCCTTAATACGCTAGAATTGAGTTGCAGTGAAATCAGTGGGCTTTTTTTCCCTTCCAAATGAATGTAGGATATTGGATACCAGTCAAAAAAGAAGCTTGCTGACACTGATTATGGTGCTTCTTCATTTTTAATTCCATTCACAACTGTAAATATACACTAAGGATTATTATAAAGATGATGTTATAGAATGGGCCCTATTGTCATCCTCTTCACATTAAATGTAATGGTAAAAAATAGTCAGCCATTTCCTTAAGGTTACCTACACTAGTTCCACTGGATCCAGTGCAGTGTAGTTGTTAAGAGTATTGGACTGGGACTCAAGAGATCTAAGTTTTAGCCCTTACTCGGCCTTTAAACTCATTGCATGACTTTGGACCAGTCACTGACTCTCAACTGATTTTAATAGATTTTAAAAATTAGGACCATTAATTAGTCACATTTAGGATCTACTACTCTCTTATAGGTATTAGGGCTCCTGCCTGTACATGGAGCTCCCTGTATGTAAGGTCTTTTCCATTCATTTCTGTGGTGAGAGTGGCCTCCTGCATGGAAAGGATGCTCACATGTTGATGCCCCTACCATTGAGAATAGTGAAAGTAACTCTCATCAGGATTAGACTTGTGAATGTGAACTAGGGTGAATGCATATAATGGGGAAAAGATTAAATGAGCAAGAATTACTTTAAAAAACTAATGCTTGAATGTGATCTTTTGGAAGACAGTGATTTCTGGCATTGGTGGCCTGCACAATAATTTAGTACGAGGATGAAAAAGTTACCACATTCACATTAAAATATCTGCTTTACTGTAACTCTTTATGTAGTCTGAAATTCAGTCAAAGCAAGGCAGTCTAGCATGTAGGTTTAATGTATCTGTTGGAATTGCTTACATATCATTCCCAGTTGAGGTGGTTTATTTGTTTGGCTTTTTAGAACTGTAGCCCAAAAAGAACCACAGAACAGAAGATATTTTATCATGTCTGCAGTATCTTAAAGGAGAAAAATGCAGTACTGCAACATTTGGAAGCAGTCATATTTGTTCCAGGGTAATAATAGGGTTGGCAATTACCTTTATTGTTCTTCAAGCTCCAATTTCATTTGTTATTGGAGATATCAAGTATTTTGCAGTATGATTCCAGTTTTGCTGTATATTCACTCTTCCCATACAACCAAGCTTCAGATAACCATTTCGGGGGCAACTTTCAGTAGGAAAACAGCACAGGAGAAAAAAATAGGAAAAACTTGCTCCTTCTGCGCTGTGGTCCTCATTGAGATAGGAATTCATCATAGCTGCTTGGGTTCCCCACTGCCAAATAAAAGGATCAATACATCAATACATCCAATACAAGCACAGGGTATCAGCATGTTATTAAAGCAACAACAAGTCTGACTCATACAGATTATAGAAGAAGCATGATCAAATGGCACTCTTAGACATAACAGTATAAATCCATCCATTTACTTGAATTCTTACAGATTTTATATATTTGGAACAGAATGGATAGAAATCAATATTTTAAAAATTAAATAATTTGATTTTGTATTTAAATTGGATTTTTTTAAAAAAAATGCCTTTTCAGGAAAAATTCCTAAGGATTGGTTTTTAATACTGTAGAATGAGACTATATTCATGCAACATTTACATTTTTTGGGAAGTGAATGCTATGAATCTACTTACAATGGCATCTTCTTTCAGAGGTTTCTGTAAGATTATTACTCAGTTTTTCTATCTAGAATATATTATCACAGATGCTATGTTTTACAGTTCTCAAAACTGAATTTGTGCCTGCCGAGATCACATGCCTCTTCACAGCAAAAACTTATAAATAAACATACAGAATTGAGGAAAAAGACCTTAATCCCTTTGTTCTTTGCAAATCTATGTACACAGAGTCAACCCCTTACCTCTGAAGTACTAAGTTTCAAAAACTGAATGAATAGAAAAATATTGCTAAGAATGGAATAGAATTGCTAAAGAAGCTAAGTTTGAGGAGGGGAGGGGCAAGCAGTAAAAATGAAAATGCAACCTTTTGAGCCAAATATTCTAAAAGTCTTTGGATTTTTTTGTGAATAGCCTGAGGTTTTCATATTATTCTTTCCCTGGAAGAGAAAACCTATAATGGAAGCAGGCCATAAAAGAGTTTGGAAATATTTTAATGAAGTCCCACTACCTATGGATAAGGCCAGGCATGCATGCAAATTATGTAGAAACCCATTTTTTAAATCTAGTCTTATTACTAGTGATTTGAATCAGTATTCAAATTGATTTGGTTTAAATAAAATCCACCCTGATTAAGAATGTGCAAAGACTGATTCCTCATGTTCTTTTTCTGCATAAAGGTTCATATTAATGTACAAAAATTATTTTAGGAGAGTGCCTGAACTAGCTGTGTGCATGTGTCAGTATGTGATGATTATGCATATGTCAAGGCCACTATATATTTCAGTAGATGATTTCATGTTCCTCTGTGCTCTTTTCCTTGTAGTAACACAAAATAAAAATAGTTTTAAACCTTGAGAAGTAGGCCCTCTCTTATAAATATTAAATGAAGCAGGAAGCAAAATGCTTGTTGAAAGAGAACTTAGCAATGGCATCTAGTTGAGTGTTAATAGGCAATGCAGAGAAGATAGAGTTTGTATGGCTGTGTTTAGCCATTTCCTTTCACAATGTTTTTAATTAGTGATGGTAGCACAATACAGAATGCTGTGCTCATGTTTGTAATTCTGATGCTTATTTGTCATGATCAGCACTTTGAGGATTGTTTTGAAATGTTATAAACATGAATGCTTATAACCCTAACCTTAACTATATACATTATTTTTTATTGTAGCTTTACCATCCTAATGTTGTCCGATATTACAAGACTTTCTTAGAAAGTAAGTATAAACTTACAGGGTCATGTTCTACAAGTAGGATAAGTTCACATCACGTGGCAACCCACCCACTGAGTAAGCTATGCAGCATGGTTTGTTCATGGAACAACTCTCATTCCAGCCAACAGTTGATTGGGCTCTCTGTAGCTTCTCCCCTCTGCTCCTTTTCCCTTGGTCCATCATGGGTTCCCCCTCCAAGTATCCCAGGAGATTTGGAGACTGATGCCACCCTGTCTTCTCTCCTGGCTCTGCTCATGAAGACTTTCTGGTCACTGCTACAGTTTTTTCCCCTTTCTCTCCATTTCAGAATCTGCCAGTGACAGCTACTCCAAAATTACCCAGTGGAGCAGCAATTACTGGTTCACCACTTTTAAATATGTGTGCGTGTATTTAGATGGCAAAAACATGCATTTTTGCTATATAGAGAGAGATTTAATCAGTAATAAAAGTTGTGCAAGTGTGCACCTCCAGCTAGCAAAAATGCAAAGTTTTATCTGATCAATGTTGTGGTAGATGCCTGTTGTCAAAGTGCAGTTGGTACTCTGCGTGCTTTGGATGGGGGGAAAGTGCACGCTACCACATTTCATTTTGACAGTTAGCAAAACTCAGGGTTTCGTTCAAAACAGGTTTTTGTGGCAAGGAAATATAGTTTACATGTCTGCACATAATGATGGAAAGTCCCAGGAAATGATGCAACATTTGGAGAATACTGGTAGTGTCAATCTAAACCAAACTTCAAAATTAAGAGTTTCTCACTCTGAAGGGATAATACAGGCTTTCACAAGCAAAGATCTTTTCATGACTTTTCTGGATCTTTTCACATGTTAGCGCATGCCATTTGACCACTGTGAGGTGAGAAGTCATCTTAGAAAATCATTTGTTTGCAACCTTGCTTGGTTAATGCCCATGTTGGTATCTTGTACACTAGTCAAGAGTGTGTAACTTCAAATTACTGACCCCCAAATAAAAGTAAAAGAAAATGTTCCTGGTACACCCACCCACACACACATATATATATTACAAATGAGTCAGCCTCCCTGGTGTGTCACTTTAGAGGGGTTGTCAGTGGCTATCACTAGCAGAGATTACAGAAAACTTAGAAAAGGAAAAGAAAAGGGGAAAAGCTGTGATAGCTCAGAAAGGGATTGCAAGTGGAGCAGAGAGACCAAGCTAGTGACAATTGCTCCAAAAGTGCGTCTTGGGCATGTGGTGGAGTTGCTATCACTGAGAGCGGCCTAGGTAAGCTCAGCAAAAACAGCAAGAAGCTTTTGCTGTTTGCAAGCTGCTTGCTTATGTCTTCCCTGGATTCACGGTGGGATCAGGTTTGGACAGCACTGCACTCCACTTTGGATTTGACAACCCCTTTGGGTCTAGCAGCTTTACAATGACTTTACAGGCCAATTTGTTGCTCTAAAATAAGCCGTCCTGTTTTCTGGGTTCAAAGACACAACAATGCACCATGGCTGTTCATGCACAGTTGTAGTGTTTTATCATAAGAAGGTTTATAATGTTATTTATTTATTTATTTATTTATTTATTTATTTATTTATTTATTTATTTAAAACCCTATGCCACCCCCATCGCAACAAAGCCTCGGGGTGGCTCACAAAGAATACATAAACACATACATAAATAATGATAATATAGCAATTTAAAAAAAAGCCATTTAAAAACCCCCGGTGCATTCTCAGCTAAAAATTTTAAAATTCTAATTAATTCAATAATTTAACAATTAAAATAAGTTTTAAATAAAAAGGCCTTAGCCTGGTGCCAAAAAACAAATAACGACGGTGCCGGGAGGACCTCTCTGGGGAGCACATTCCATAATTGGGGCGCCACCACAGAGAAAGCCCTCCTCCGGGTACTCACCCTCCTAATATCATTCACAGAGGATTCCTGGAGAAGGGCATCCATTGCTGATCTCAAGGGGCAGGAGGGCATATATGGGCGCAAGCGTTCCTTTAGATATCCAGGTCCCAAGCCGTTTAGGGCTTTATAGGTCATCACCAACACCTTGAATTGGGCCCGGACTTCATTCGGGAGCCAGTGGAGCTGACAGAGAACTGGGGTTATATGAGAACAATGCCCAGTCCCCGTCAGCAACCTGGCAGCTCTATTCTGCACCAATTGAAGTATCTGGACTGTCTTCAAGGGTAGCCTCACGCAGAGCATGTTACAGAAATCTAATTGGAAAGTTACCAGCGCGTGTGTCACTGTCGCCAGGCAGTCGTTCTCCAGGAAGGGACGCAGCTGATATATCAGCCGAAGCCGAGCCGACCCTTCTAGAGACAGCTCAGGGTCAAGGAGCACTCCTAAGTTGCGAACCCTGTCCCTCAGAGGGAGTGCAACCCCATTTAGGACAAGTGCTTGGAGTTGTCCTGCCACCACCCGCTCTAGCACCTTGCCCAGGAACGGGATGTTGGCCACCGGTCTATAATTGGCAGCCACCTCTGGATTCAGGGATGCCTTCTTTAGGACTGGCCAGACTACCGCCTCCTTTAAAGGGGCAGGTACCTGGCCGACTCTTAAAGAGGCGTTGACCACCTCCAGGATCCAGGTCCCAATCTCGTCCTTGGCTTTCTTAAGTAGCCAAGATGGGCATGGGTCTAGTAAGCAAGTGGTAGGACGTACTTGTCCAAGCACCTTGTCCACATCATCGGGCTGCAACAACTGAAATTCATCCATTAACAGTGGACTCAATAGCGTTGATGGCGTCTCCCCAGTAGAATCTGATTCAATAGCAGAGTCAAGCTCGTGGTGCATCTGAGCGATTTTTTCCCTGAAATGCTTGGCAAAGTCGTCACAGCGGGCCTTCGTGGGTGGCACAAGAACTTTCTTCGAGCCTGGATGTATCAGCGCCTGCACAACCCGAAAAAGCTCCGCCGGACAGCATTGTGAGGAGGCAATGGAAACGGAGAAGAATTTCTTCTTCGCCATCCTCACCGCCACAGCATAGGCCCGATAATGGGCTCTTAAATGTGTTTGGTCAGAATCACCCCGTGATCTCCTCCACCTACGCTCTACACATCTCCCAACCTGCTTCATCGCTCGTAATTCAGGTGTATACCAAGAAGATGAACGGGCTCTGCCAGGTGGGAGAGGACGCTTGGGAGCGATCGTGTCAATAGCCCTGGTCATCTCCTCATTCCACAGTTCACCCAGGGCATCGACAGGATCACCAGCCTTGTCAACCGGAAAATCCCCCAGAGCTTCCAGGAATCCATCAGGATCCATCCGGCTCCGGGGGCGGACCAATACAATCGGGATCCATCCCAATTCAATCGGGATCCATAAGGATGACCCAAGCCTTTTCTGTCATCATCAATAAGTTTGTATTGTGATTAGGGCCCTAGAATAAGTTGATTGAGTGCCAGACCACAATACATACCTAGCAGTAATCCTCACTGAGTTTAGTCTCCACTGAACACTATCCAAGGCGTAATCTCATTGAATTCAGTAGACCTAGCTACTGAACAGGTGTAAATGATTCTATTTTCCTCTGAATCTTGATTAAATGCAATGGGATCATCCTTGCATTGGAGGCTAGAATCCTGAGCATTCCCTAACCTCCAGATGCTTTCCAGATGTTTTTGACTACCAGCATTCCTCAGCATTGGCTATACTGACAGGGGCTCATGAACATTGGAGATCACCAGACTGGGCAAGAGTGGTTTGCCCTTGTCCCTTCTAAGGGCAAAGAACCCTATGCTGTTATGTTCATGTCAGAGTAGTGATAGACTAATTAATCCAGCCTTAGAAACCATTTATCACAGTGGATTTCAACATTCCCAGAAGGTATACCAGGATAACATCCCCTGACCAGCCAGTGGGCACAAAATGGATTATTGCATTGCTACTATTTTTTCATTTTGTATGTACAGATGACAGGTTGTATGTTGTCATGGAGCTCATAGAAGGAGCACCACTGGGCGAACACTTCCATTCATTGAAGGAAAAGCAGCAACACTTTACCGAAGACAGAATATGGAATATATTCATTCAAGTAAGAACCATCATTAATTTGTATAGTTTCTGGTTCTGGGATAATGATTGGTTTACCCTTATGCAGCAGGGAGCTCTGTCCTCTTATCCTCTTATTCACCAAGCACATCAATAGGTTCATATAAATAGTACCACAGTACTAAATAGTACCACAGTTCATATAAATAGTACCAATAGTAACTAAATGTCACTAGTTCAAACAGGATCTTTCTAGGTGATAGAATACACTGACAATAAATGTAGAGTACACATCTGGTTTCCTCTTTAAAAAATGTATAGCGTCACAGCAGCCTACTGGAAGCATGTCTATCTTCCCTGCAGTACGTTACCACTAGCCCAGTCTGCATCCTTGGTAAAGTGCTATAAGGGACTGTGCAAACCAATTATGTGACTGGGACACTTTGTTACAGAATATTAATGAGATTTATGAAGGATACAAAATATTTTGTCTGGGTCAGCTTTTCTTGTAATATACACGTAAAGCACATTCTTTTTCAGTGCCAGCATTTACTGAATCTTTACTTGTTGATACATAACTTTTCATTTGCAGTAACCTTTACTTTATTTTAAAGCTGTGTTTAGCTCTTCGGTATTTGCACAAAGAGAAGAGAATTGTGCATCGAGACCTTACTCCAAACAATATTATGCTGGGAGATAAAGACAGAGTAACTATCAGTAAGTTTTAAGTTTGTAACATTCTGAAGTTTCAGTAGAATGAAATTTATTGTCAAAATGAAATCTTGTATATTAGTTTGAAATTGAAAACCACAATTTCTAATGCATATTCACAAATGAAATCTTTTATTTCCAGATAATACAATATTGTTTGCATGTGTGTATGCTATATATACCTCTGTATCTAAGGAAATTAGTATCTTTTCTGCAGAGTTATCAAAATGTTGTTTAAATTCTTCCACTATTTGTCACTTGTTCATGGTTCACTTTTGTTTTGTATTAAATACTTGTGGTATACTTCTATTCCAGATGTTTCCTTTTTTCCTGTGAAAGGAAACATTCTGCATAACATGGAGATTTGCCACAGTGTATTTTCATTTGTCATATTTATATGCTGCTCTTCCTTTGAATCAAAATCTTATAGTCAACTGCATGAATTTGGTCTAGGTCCATACATTTTATTTCGGTGTTATGTCCAAACATCAGGGTTTTGTTCTAGAGGTGGAAGAGGCACACCCACTAATATATGTTGTATTATCATAGCTTCCTTTAATTTAGTAAGCTGAGAAATGAACCTCTTTATTCATCCAGTGTGGTACAAGCAGTCAGGCCTTGCAAGCTTCTAATTTGTCTATGGTTACCAGCTTTTGAAGAAACCAAGATATTAAAGCATAGGTTGACACTGACATATATTCTGCCCTGTCCCAAAATTGATAAACCATAGATGACCACCTTAAACAAAACAGGAAACTGGTTAATGATTTAATCACAGTTTGCACAAAAGAAGTGGTGGGGCTGGTTGCAATGTTTGCTCCCTCTAGATAAAGTGAGGAGAGACTCTCTGTTTGCCATCACCAGCTGGCTGTTTCCTCCTGCCTTACCACATGACCAGCCCACACAAAGGAATTACTGCTACCTTTGTGTAGGAATGTATTGTGTTGTCTTTAGGGCAACTTGCAGGCATCTCCCAGGGAGAGGCTTTGCCCCTCTCCCCTCCACTGGGGCTCTGTTGCCACGAGACTGCCAGTAGGGCAGTTACTGGGAAGATGAGAATGCCCTTTCCGCTCAAGAGACAGAACCTTCATTGGTGGATGCCTTTTTCTTTCCTCAGGATGAGTTGTTTGACATGTCTTACAGAGCAGGCAGAGGCATTTTCTTTCTTTTCTGTGGGTTGAATGTGGATGAAGTATTTAACTGTTAGTGTGATATATTTATTGAATTGTTGAATGTGAGTATGTTGATCTAATTAGTACTAGATATTGTTAACTGACCAATTGGCATGTCTTACACCTAAATTTTGTTTTAAATGAATTATAATTTGAGTTAATATTCTATTATAAAAGACTGTTTTTGTGAATTCCACAAGGAATTAAGGAAAAATGTGGTATACAAATAATGGTCAGGTTTGACCAACTCCTCAGTGCTTTGCTCAGAAGACCCCAATAAACCCCACTGAACCCAACCAATCAATAGTGGTGTGTACTATATAGTATTAGATGGTGTGTGCACCTCACACAAATGTATGAACCATGTATATTATTGTAGTTCTTATTATTATTGCCGTTATTATTATTTCTTTGTCACTTTTCTCTAAAAAAATATCCAGTGACTTAGTTTCATGTTTTAATAATTTTCTTCTATCAAATATCTAAGAACAATTTCCATTAAAATGCCAAAACAAAACAACTAAAATATCCTTTAAACAACACTTATAAAATCTTTTATTGGTGCATTAACAGATATACAAATAAAAACATTAATAGATATACAAATAAGAACACCTTATTCAACTTGCATAAAAAATAGAAAACTTGTTTGTATAAAAGCCTCATTGAAACTTTTTTTTGGAGAAATTCTAGCAATGGTCTGGCATGTCACTCTCCTTCTGTACCTAGAACATCAGCCAAAATCATTTGTTGTCATTCTTCATTTAACACTCCAGGTGCAATCCTTGACATGTTTGGGCAGAAAAATGTTCTGCAACTCAGTTAGAGAAGGCTGGGCGTTGTAGATGGTGGTGGTCTATACATGGAAAAGATTGCATCATTAGTCCGCTTTTTAAAGAGCTAAAATTCCCCTGCAGTTAGCCAGGCTGACGTCAGTTTTGTGCTAATTGTATTAGTATTTGGCAAATAGTTATCTAAGTAGGGATGGTGTAGGCTGTGGTCAGTTAAGCAAATCTTTCCTGAAATACTGTGCAGTTGCTAACATTCACCCAACGTTCAATGCATTTGAATATCTGTTCATGAATATAAGTAGAATATGACTGAGCTCATATTCATTTTGTCTGGAGTGTATCCTGTCTACATGAAAGTACTACTGTTATCTGATGGCATTTAATTAAGTGAAAAGAAGGAGAGTGGGCTAATCCTCACTGTTGTTGCTATTTGGGAACCTAATAATTCTTTCAATTAATTTGTTGTAGGAATAGTAGGCTATTTATCTTTGAAAGATGGTAGCCCAATTTAGTTTAGTGGGCTATAATAATGATGTCTTAGATGAAGAACAAATAAACACTACAGTGACTTGAGGGGTAGAGAAAGCTTTGTTTCATTTCCTTTGGGGCAGAAGAGCTTTCCTAATGTTTCCATTTCTCAATTAGGCCTAATGAATAATTAAACAGTGTGATTATAAGCTTCTGAGCCTGTGTTTAAGTAACTGCTCATTTATTGCAAAACATTTTGAAAGACAAGATGTTATAACATGAATAGCAAAAAAAAAAAAAAAAAGTGAGATTCAACTGTTCTTGGAATGCTTCATCTTGTCTTCTACATCCTCAGACGGAACATAAAATCCAGTAGGCTGGATTTGACATAATTGTATGTGTTCTAGCACAGCACACTGTGTGGATGTTGCAATATTTTATTTTAGATGTCAATGAACGTGCAGGCTCCTTCCATGATGATTAAGCTATAAGCTATCCATCAGCATCTTAACCAATGCGCTCCTTCATTTGGCTTGTTGTTGTTAGTCGCGAAGTCATGTCCGACCCATCGTGACCCCATGGACAACATTCCTCCAGGCCTTCCTGTCCTCCACCGTCCCCCGAAGTCCACTCAAGCTCACACCAACTGCTTCAGTGACTCCATCTAGCCGCCTCATCCTCTGCCGTCCCCTTCGTCTTTTGCCATCTATTGTTCCCAGCATTAGACTCTTCTCCAGGGAGTCCTTCCTTCTCATTAGGTGGCCAAAGTATTTGAGTTTCATCTTCAGTGTCTGGCCTTCTAAAGAGCAGTCAGGGTTGATCTCCTATAGCACTGTCCAGTTTGATTGCCTTGCGGTCCAAGGGACTTGCACGAGCCTGCTCCAGCACCACAATTCAAAGGCCTCAATCCTTTGGCGCTCAGCCTTCCTTATGGTCCAGCTTTCACAGCCATACATTGCAACTGGGAAAACCATAGCCTTGACTATACGCACTTTTCATTTGGCTACACAAGGTCAACTGTCAGTAGCTGTTCAGGTAGATTGTCTTGAATATTAGGCTTTCTAAATTTATTCTGGAGACCCTATACACTGTTTAGAATTCAGTGAAGAGATGATACACAGCTATTTTCTGTTGGTGATGATTATTTATTTAAAGTATTTTTATCCCAGTTCTCAGTCAAAAAAGGGCTCTTGGAGCCCTAGCAATATGGCTGTAAGCAGTGCTTTTTTTGTTAAAAAAAAAAAAAAAAGGTGCAGGAACTCACATCTTGTTAATCTTTTATTAGCAGGACCAGTGGCTGAGAAGTAATCAGTAATTTTTTTCATTTTTAAATTTGGGGTCACACTTTTACACTAAAACTTAAAAAAAGATTTTCAATTCACCAACTTTTGCACATAGCCAGTCATGCTACACACACCAACACTGTGTAATGAAACATAATGGTTGCCGCCTGCAGTAAGCACTCAGCGCACGACCGCACAACCAATCACAAGCTGAGCAGCATCAAAAACCGAGCAGCGCCATCACAACCAGCACAGACACACAAGCAGCGCATTCACTATTTTAATTATTTTGTCGCTGACCTGCTACGCCCGACAGTGCGATTCAAAATCACGTGGAAAAATCCATCGAAAAAAGGTGTCGGAATGCCCTTCCGGTGCGTTCTATGACAAAAAAAGCCCTGGCTATAATTAAAGAAGGTAGTCCCTGTTCCCAGGCACACAGTATAAAACAGATATGAAATACAAGGAAAATGGGATGAGGAGAGGGGAACAAATTAAGTAGACTTTCTGCAGCATTGGTGGAATTACCTTGCTTACCATTTCCAGTTCTGGGATTGGCAGTGGGTGGGAGACAAAGCAATTAGAGCAAACCCTGGTGATCCCTTTCCCTGCTCCTGTCTGCCTTGGCCCATCTTCTTTCCCACAGGGTAGATAATGTAACTGTTACAGTGTGTACCTTAGTAAGTTGGCATATTTACCTGCCTACCTTAAGAATGAGGTTGGACCAGATGACCAACCTTCTTATTTTGTTTATTCCATTTTAAGCCCATCTATCCTTCAAGGTGTGTACTTTTCATCTCTTTGAGGCATTTGAAGCTAAAGTATATATTGAAGCTAAAGTATATATATACACAGGCCTTTTGCCTGCATGCATGGTCCCTTCACTCATCCCTTCATGATATGAGCAATTAAACCAAGAAATTTCTAACTGCAGTTACCTTTTCATCTGAAATAGGAAACTATCTTAACTGGCTTTGAAACAAGCAATATTATAAAGCCAGGGTTTGAGGGTGGTTTTTATTATCTTAACTTGTCCTGAAGTCAACAAGTCAAGTCATAGTTTCCAGTTTGGATAAAATGTCACCAAGCCAGTAAACTGAACTCATATACATCCTCCATGCCTCTGGAATTTGCTGCTTGGAACAACCATTTTACATTGCACCACAGAAAAGACACCCATGTTGATACTTAAATTAGATAAATTAAAATCCTAATAATTATAAACAAATATATATACCAGATGAGAATCCTGTAACCATAACAGTTTAGTGTTCAGGGGAGGTGATATTGTTATAACTCTTTAGAATGTGTCAACAGAGTGGAAAATGAAAAGCTAACATTTTCTACATGAAAAACTAACATACATTTCTGCCCGTTTCTGCATTAAAACATCATTGCAGTGTAATATTGCTAAAGGAGCAGTTTAAACAGGAACCAAGCTGTACTAAAGAATACAGCCACTGCATGGTGCTCTTGGATTGTATTTAGAGACTTCTCTCCCTGCTAATTCAACTTTTCCAGTAGAGGAATGGAATGTTCAGAATAGCTCTTGAAAAACATCAGCAAGGAGGGAAATACCGTAGAAAGATCTCAAGATAGCGAAGCTATTTCAGCTTCCACTGTGTCTGGGTTGGTATTAGTCCATTAGTTGAAACATGCAGAGCTCATTCTAGAGTAGAATAACATTTAAATATTGTTATGCATTACATATTCAGGGAAGTAAAAATATATTCAGAGTTTCAAACCATTTAAACTGTTCAGCCCTAACCAGCAAAAAAGCCTTTCTGAGATTAGGATAGCATGTGACATCAATGTTAGATGATGGTATAAGGATTGTGGAAAAACAGTTACAAGTGGTATTCCTTTATTATTTCTATAAAAGGTTCAAATTCACAAATGCCTTTAAATGTCTCTGCAGAAATTTATTTTTAACTCTTAATTTTACTTAACCCTTGCTTGTGTTTGAAGGTCTTGTTCTAGTATAGGCCTTCATTGTCATTCTTTTATATAAATGTATTTAAAATTATTTCTAGACTGTCGTTAAGGGTAGGGTTTATGCAGTCATTTATGCGACACATTCTTGAAGCATTGTACCATGTCATATAGCACTGGAAAGAATTATTTGTTTGAAAGTACACCATATCAAAATGGCCGTGCATATGGAGAGCTTGCTCTTTAGGGAGAAGGGAAAGCTTTGTGCATGCAGGCAGCTGTTAACAAGTGATCATTTGTGTACAGTTCCAAGAGAGGGTTACACCACATGATCTTTAAATGTTTCAGTTGGCTCTAATTGGGTCAATAAGCTAGCTCTTGGAGAGGGTCCTTTGGCCTAAACACAACTGTAAATAAAAATTGTTTATGCTTGCAGATGAAAGGCCGAAAAAACACAGCATTTGACAGCTGTGTACATCACAGAGCCCTGTCTCTTCTCACAAGAGCAACCAAGGCAAAGCGATACACAACTTTTGATTTGGCTTTTCTAAGCCAAAAATGCAGCAACATGATCACACTGTTAGAATAATCAGAGAGTGGTTAAAGGGAATGTAGGGGACCATTACAGTACTGAAATAATTAACACCTACTTGGCTGGAGGTATCTGCATCAAAGGGATCACAGTTGGTTCCTCTTGAATATTTTTTTTAGTTTCACTCCTGTTCTTGCCCCCTCCCATATACTTAATATTGCACACTGAGGGTACTTTAATCTGTTTGGTGAAATGTCCATTGCTATTGATAATTAATGAGTTTAACAACTGGATAGAGACATAAATGGCATAACAGAATAACAGTATTATGATGACTTTGATTCTGCTGTGAATTTAAGCATAAGCCAGGTCATCTCTGCTATGATACACTGTGAAATAGTTGCACTGGGCAGCAAGTTCCATTTTTCTGTCTCCATATCCAATTGTGTGTGTCATTGAAAACAAAAATGATCTCCAATGCAGAATTAGGGCTTGCCATTTTGACTTTTAAAAACCAAATATGCATGTCACTAAGTATATTTTACTTAGTGTGTAAAATGATTAATTAATAGGTTACTGCTAAGTTGAACTAAGTGTAATGGTTGTTTGAGGGCTTGGAGACTATCAGGACAGAAAGAAAACAGCAGTTCTGCTACATAACCCACACTCTTATTTTTTAAAATTTGTTATATTGTTCATAGCCTTACATTTCCACATTCTCTTTCTAAATACAGATAATAGTGTCTCGTTCTTATGCATCGAACATGGTCATTAATTCCAGTGCTGTTCTCCAATGGGGTTTGCTTCCAAACAGTATGCATAGGATTGCACCCTTGGAGGGGTAACTATGTTGACCTGCTTTGCACATGATGCTAATTCATAGTTCATTTAATCCATGGATAATGAATAGTTTATTGTTCTACCTAGGACTTGCCTGGCAGATAATCAAATAAACTGTGGTTGGCTTTTGATTTGTTTCCCTCCTCCTTTGCCCACTTCCTTCCTGTATCCCATATGTATTTGCAATGTTGTACAGCATTTAGAAAGGCTGGATGCTGGATTTTTGTTCATTTGATTTTAATCACTATTGCCTGCCTCTTCTGTAGCCTGGTGAAGCAGTTGTGTGTTCACTCATAATAAGCCATAGTTCTGTGTTCACAACGCAACAACAAACAATGGATTCTCTTTCTGGGCTGATCACAGAAAACAAACTATGGTTTGTTAACACAACTGGTTTTATACGTCACAAGTACTTAGAATTCAACATCCTTTGGTTAAATAACGTATGGATTAGCATCATGTCCAAACCAGGTCACAGTGAGGGTCAGTCTATTGAACATGGAAAAGTAATACATATATCTTCCCCAGCTTTCTGGTCTCTCAATCTCTTCCATCTCCTGACACAGCTAATTTTAATACTTTGGCCGAAGAAAAGAGTTGAAATATAATAGTATGCTGACAATTAAAAGATTTAAAAGTGACCTTTTCAAAGATTACACTTACTATATTGCCCTAGGATTTAGCTTCAGGGAATTACTGCCTTTCAACTGTTGCCAAAAACAGTAACTGATAAAGCTTAGATTAAAGTCAAAAGTTGCTTAGGTAAGTGTTTCTATAGTTAGTATGTTGTTGGGCTTGGCAACTTTTCAGTCTAATCTTCATAAATTGATTTTGATTCATATTTAAACTTTGTGCTTCGTTTTCATCCTGGCAGCATAGACCATCAAAATGGAGGATACTGACATAGCTAATCTGACATTCCTTTGTCTAAAAACAATAAGATCTGATTGTAATATTTTTCATTAAGAGCAAAAGCAAATGTGGGTAATGAGGAAATAGTATGGTGCGCTGTGTGATACTGTAAAAATGGCAAGAGGATAATGCTTCCTACCACAGTGTTATCACTCTTAAAATAATTCTCAACTGAAAGTTTTCATAGAGCAGTTGATTTGCATTTTTTTTCTTCCAGCTGATTTTGGTCTTGCAAAGCAAAAACAGGAAAATAGCAAGCTCACTTCAATTGTTGGAACTATTCTTTACTCCTGGTAAGAGAAAAGGTACTTCTGAAGCTTGGAGGTGTGCTTTGTCTTCAACACAAATGTCCTGGAAGTTGCTCTTATGTTGTTGGTTAGAAGATACTTGACTGGGTTCAAACATGGTAATGTATGCTCAGTGGTTGAATTACGGATTGTGTTGTCTGAACCCTGCCATAGTAACAAACCATAGCTCACTAATGAAGGACAATCCACAGTTTGCAACCCAACAAAAATAATTGGATTTTTAATGGGTTGATCATGGTTAACAAAGCAGGCTGATATTATTAACACAGCTGCATTCAGACAACATGATAACCCATATTTCAAGAACAACCCTGTACTTAGTCCATTTACACTTTCCAAAACTTCCAAATTTAAACATTTGCTAGAATACCATTTTGAGCACCAGTAAATACCTTAACTGTTATTCTGCATCTAGGCAGAAATTGAATTATTAGTAATTAAATATCCACTAAACTAATGGGAATGTGTGTGACACTGTTGCCATAAAGATAAGCTATTGATGTGTTGGTTCATTTCATTCTCTTGGCTACCAGTTCCTCCTCCTGTCTATTATTTGATCCTTGTTTCCATCCACCAACCACCTACAAAAGAGTGAAGAAATTCAGCTTCAGGGCCTAAATACAATCCTTCTAGGGTCCCAGGCTGGTCCTCCTGGATTCTCCAGATGGCCATGTCCCTTTTCCCTGTCCTGATCTGTGATCATTTGGAGGTTTCTCAAGTTTTGAACAGTTTTTTTTTTTTTCATTCGAAGAAGTTAGGATGTCTGTCCTAAGTATTGGCCACTGACAGTAAGAGCTTTAAGCTAAAATGTGGCAGTATTTTGTGTGTTTTATTCATCCCCTCCACCTCTGCCTTTAGCCCAACCCATTCCTAACAACTACATGTTGGATCAGATTTTTCAGGAAGCAAGATGAAAAGAAGCTAGCATCATCAAAAGCTCTTAGTGATGCTGGAGCTGGGAACTACACAGGGTGATCTCTGTGATACTGCAACTGAGGTGTAATACGAGTGATGTTGAATTCATTCACTGATTGGTCCTGCCTCCATGCTGACTGAGGCTTTGTTGCAGTCAGGCCCCTTTAAGAGACAATGTGGGAGTGACAGTAGCATGTTAGTTTTCTTATAACTTAAATATTCAGAATTGGGAGATGGTAATGAAACCTCCTCTGATTGTCGGGGAGCTGGCCCTTGGGGTTTTTCTGGAGAACTGAGTCCTGAGGAGGAGGATACCTCATGATGGCTTGGGTAATAGAATGTGCTCCCTGAACTAGTAACTCCAGAGCCTTCATCTCTGAAGACAAGGAGTTGGGATCCTCTGAGAAGAGGTTTCAGGGTTATATTCATGATAGTTGGAAAATCTAAGATTCAGTAACACCAAAAAAGTAGACACTCCAGGATGGAACTAAAATGGGAGTTTTTCAGCTCTGTTGAATGGAAGACCATAAAGGAGATGATGTAGGAATTTTGCTATATTTTACCCTGTTTATTTTATTCTTTTCTTACTATTCTCTGCTACTGTGATGTCTTTATTTTTTAAAATGTTCAGTCATGTCAAAATCTTTACTTTTTGTGTTCAGCAAATGTTAGGCTTTAACTGTTAGGAAAATGTCACTCTATACACTGTTTGATGGCTGACCAGTTTTGGAAATACTCACATATGAAGCATCACTCTCTATTTTGAATCTTCTGTGATTCAAAGGGGAACTGAATGTTGAATGTTCTGTTTCACTTAGTGTTACTTTCTAAGGAATGTCATCCTGCAGTTTAGTGAAGTATAAAATATATCTACTGAATAGAAACAGTCATCTGGTTCATGGATAGTAGAAGACAGAATTCTGTAGCACACCATATTTAAATTCCTTCAGACTAAAAGAAACATGCATGGCCATAATCTGACCACCAGAGCATCTGATAATGATATGTAGAGCTGAAGTATTCTTTAAATATGCTGAATACATGCATAATTAGGGAGAAGGATTCTGCTTTAGTAAAATAAAGTTTAAGTTGTAGGTTCCAAAATTCTTTCAGCCTGAGGACCAAATGCCATTTTGGAGAAGCTCTTAGGGACAGTATTCTTATGATGGGCAGGACCAAAGGCAGAAGGGACATAGCCAAAATGTCAGCATTTTCTAGCTGACACTGACTAAGCCTTGGAATGGAAATTTCAATTTTTCAAAATGGGAAAACCTGTACAAAATCTCAGAAGTCAACACACAATTTGTGGTTGGGGAAAGGTGTGGGGCTATATGGGAAGACCCCCAGGAGCAGTGGTTTTGACCCAGTGGTTCTACACTCTCATCTATGTGGCCTTTGGCTTCGTACCACTTGAAAGAAGCATCCCACAGGTCATTTGAGTAGGTTGTAAGGGGAGTAGTGGTAGTTGTTGTTACTTTAGGTAGGACAAAATATACTGGGGAGTCAGATTGCAGTGTGAGGTGTATTTATGTTGCAGGGTGTGGTGGAAGCCTATAACTGCACCCAAGTGTAGGAGGAGACAAGTGAAAATGCAGAACAGGAAAAAGAACAACACAGAAAAATGACTAAAAGAAAATAATGCAAGAAGAAAATAAATGCACATTTATTGATTGGCAATCAAAAAAGGAAAGGCTAGAATTCAGAATATGATTCTATTGAAATTTAGGAGTTAAACAAGGTTGATTTAAATCCCATTGATTTCAATAAGACTTAAGTGCAATTAATTTTGTTTGGATCCAGTCCATTGCCTTCAGGAAGAGGGAAAAGGGTGGAAGAAGAAATATAGCTGAGATACCTAACTGGAAGAAGATAATAATGGTCAAAGGTGTGACTAGGATGATAGGCAGGGGACATGAAAATTTTCAAAAAGCCTCTGCTTTTTCAGAGGTGGTGCCTCAGTTTTGAAGAGACTTGTCCAGCATCTGGCCTGTGATTTTTCAGTGTTAGGTAAATGACCTTTTTTAAAATTCTTGCAGAGTTTTTAGTTCAGTTTTTTTTAAAGTGATGTTACTGCATTTAAGATCCTGAGCTGCTGCTATTCTTTGGCTTTACCTTTTTGTTTTCCTTGTTTACCCTTTATATTAAGTTGCATTTTACGATTTTCCCCAAGAGCCTCAGTTATTGTGTAATAAAGAAAATGCAATCTTTGCGAAGATAGATCAAGATCCTGATAATAATGAAGAGTTAAAATTGGCCACAATAATAAGAGGAATAGAATATAAAGAGATGTTTGAAACTCAGAAAAGAGACAGCCGTATGGAATCAGCAAGCCAAATAGAAAATGGAGATAGGACAATAGTTTGTCATTTGTTCAGCATAGTAGTATATATGTGATACTTGCAGATTAGTGCTTTCAGGCCCAGGGCACTAATTCTTGGCATCTGAAAGAAAGATAGACCTGATAGAAAGCTCTTCAACATGGCTATTCAATCTGGGTTAACTTCTTTCAGCCTTTAACATTCTCAGGCTTCATAAAGATTCTGTTTTACCAATATATCACTCAAACAGTAGTCACTTTTATTGTGACCTTTGCACAGAGAATCATCTGTTGAAAACTGATATTTACATAAGCTAATCCTTGTAAGGCAGTATGAAAATAAGTAGGATACTGTCAATCAGCCCATCAAGATTCAGCTCAGAAAAACATTCTCTATATTCTTATTAAAATTAAACATGCATAAATATTGTAATAAAATATTAACAGACTAACACTGGAAATGAAAACATAAAGAATCATGGAAGTTTCTGTGAAAATGAATCAGTAAGATAAATAGCATTGTGACGTAGATTTAAAGGGAGACCAACTTATTTATTTTCACTTGAATTGTATTATTTATATACATTCTTTAGTTCTAAGTTGTTTTCATCAATTTAAATTTCCCACAAATGCATGAAGGATAAAATTATCTGATGCACTGCTGTAACTTTTTGTTTAGCTACCTTTTTCATTTTAAGATGGAAGATAGTATGCAAGAAGAACTGTTATTAAATAAAAAATAAATTTTGGCATAGAGGAGCAAATGCTGAATCCTTTCAAAGAGAACAGAGCATAGTCAATCTGTTAAAAAGAAAAACGACAAATGAAATTGAAGCATATTCAGCTACTCTGACTTTTGCTCTTGCTATAACTATTTTTTAAACAGCGGATTCAGTAATATATTTTAACTAGAATAAAGAGGAAATCTTTCTTCTTGAAGACAAGATGTGGGATTGAAAGCTTAAAGAACAGTGATTAATAGGAATATAATGTTTGCAAACTCAAACTTAGATATTTAATGCTACATTCATATGTTAACTGCACACCTGCCACTTTAGTGACAAAACCCATTTCAGCCTACCATGAATCTTATTTTGTGGCAGTTGTGATCTTTGTATACAGTTTGTGTAATAACTCTAGGTGGTATCCACACTGAGTAGATATTCTCAAATTCTATTTTTATTTTCAGATAAAGATTTTTCAGTGTGAGAAATCCAAAATGGAGGAAGTGTGTCCTTAAATGGGGTAAAGGCTAATTTGGGCTATGTTGCATGCACCCTACATTTTTCCATTAAGAATTGAACCCCTCACATTTCAGTATCTCATTCTGCATCATGAAAGAATTCCCTGTCTTTCCTGAAGAATTCTCTTATAATATTTTGGACTTTTCTACATGAGTCTTTTACTGTGCACTCATGGTACTTTACTTATGGGTTTTTAAAGGGTTCTCAGATGACATTTTGATCTTCCAGTTTCTCTTCTATTTTTCCAGAGCATCCCACTCCGCTTTTTTGAATGTGTAGAATGAGATATTAAATTACAATGGGAAAATTACACATTTTCTTCTTATGTATTTGCACTATCTGGTTATAGCACAGCTCCACCTAGAGGTTGTATACCAGAAAAGCAGGAATGGAAGAGCCTTTTGTAGAGTTCCGATCTCAGTGCTGTGATAGAAACAAAAGTGATTACAGCTGTTAATAACTTTGTGAAGAAAGACTTGTTGTTTGGTCTGAATAAAGTTACTAACATACTGCAGCTTTTCATTATTTTTTGTACTGGCTTGTGGATGGATCAAGAAGCAGGTGAATCATGTCCACATTTTAGATAAGTAAAGAAAGAAAATATACTTGACTCCAGTCTATTTAACATTTCAGTACCCTCTGTTTTGGTGGGGGATTTTTAACAGTTTCATAGATTTTTCTAGATTGCATCTTTTCAGACAGATATGGATATTTGCTTAAGCTCATAGTGTGATACCACATTTGTGTTTATAACCATAGGCATTTTGATGTGCTAATGAAAATTTTATCACAAACTGAATTGTTTCTTTTTTCCTTAAATACATCTTTGTGTTACTGTTACTCTAGCTCTTCATTTCCTGAAGGATCATTCTGTGACTTTTACTTCTATATCATTGAATGTTGCTTTTGTTTCTGTAGCCCTGAAGTAGTCAAGAGTGAGCCATATGGTGAGAAGGCTGATGTCTGGGCTGCAGGATGCATCCTCTATCAGATGGCAACTCTCAATCCTCCATTTTACAGTACCAACATGCTCTCCTTAGCAACTAAAGTATGTGAATTTTCTAGAAAAAACTAGATACCTTAACTTGTATGCATGTGTTTTCTGAATGCCCCTTTCATCCTGTTTTGGTTGTGGAAGTCTGAAAAATGGGTCTTTACAGCAATGCCAGAGAAACAATTCTGATGACTGCTGTTTTGGCATAGAGAATGGACCTAGTTCCCCTGTGTTACAGTGAAGGATCCTCCTGCAATCCTGCACTGGCTTTAGAAGTGAAACACTGGATAGTATGCAGTACTAGTGTCTACAAACCTTGCCATTCTTCCTTGCATTATTATTTTTAAAATACTCTTTGCTGCCTCACCATCCACAGTGCATCATCTCTTCCTCCTTTATTTTTGTGTATGCATTGTCTATGGATAGCTAAATTGGAACATGACTTCACATCAGGCATTTCCATCATTCACTGAGCTATTACTCTTTATGAGCTAATTAAATATTCTCTGTTTCTGTGAGGTCCATAAAAGGTTTTTATAGATCTAGACTGGCAATCAGAATTTGCAAAATGTAGAAAACTTCTTGAAGGGCTTAAAATCAAATTCTGAATAACTTTCTAAAACAATAAAAAGGTATTGGTGGTTATCAATTTGTAGTTTTTAACCAGTAAATACTTACTGAATACAGTATACCCCCATGAAGTTGCGGTTCAGTGTTCGTGGCCTCAGTCTTTCACGGGATTTTTTTCCGAGTGAGTCCAAGCCAATCTCCTTGCAAGTAAGCCGACACCTCACCATGCGGTGGCTTACTCGCAAGGAGATTGTTTTCTCTGAGTTTGGACTTGCTCTGAGAAAATGATCTCTGCGTGTGCTTGCCCCCGCTTCACCACGCACATGCACCCGCCCCGTGCCTCCCGCCCGCACTGCCTTGGTGGTCAGCGCCCATTGCCGGCACCAAATTCATATTTTTTTACAATTCACGGGTGCTTTAGGAACGTAACCCCTGCAAATTTCGGAGGACTACTGTACTGCTAAACATATGGGTATATGAATAATAGTTTCTTCAGATTCAAATAAGATTGTTAATGCTTCTGATAAATTTGTCTGAGTATTCTAGATGCTTTCTTGTAGGAAATCCCTTATATTCAGGTATACTGTGTATGGGAAATGTATGTACATTGAATGTAAGTGATATAGGAACCTTGTGAAGGTACACCAAGTATACAATATGTCATGCTACTGAAAGCGAAACAGATATCTAGGGCATGAAACATGTGCATGGAATTGGAGCCAGACTTAGTTGTGATTAAGTGGCCCAATGGTTTTAATGGACCTATTTTAAGCATGACTTAGTCTGGATCCAATCCAATATTTTTCTATTTTTACAGCAAAATATTTCTTTTCCAGATAGTAGAAGCTGCATATGAGCCAGTTCCAGATGACGCCTATTCTGAAAAAATACCAGCTATTGTTAAAAGGTGAGTGCTTGGGTAGGTACAATTGTCTGGTATAGAATGAAATAAATAATTAAAATAGAAGGGACACTTATGCACACTGGAGAACATGTGGACCTCTAGGTTAATAGCCATGTGTTTCATCTGAAATAAGGTACATGGAGAAGTGTGAGATTAATAATACTGTTATTCTTTCTCTCATAGAAAAATCAGGTGGTAGGTGCTGATAGGATTAGAGCCAGATGTAGCACTTAGCAACAAGATGATGATCTCAGCACACTCAGGGGAACATTTTTTTAAATTAAATGCTAACAAGATCTCCCCAAGGTTATGCATGCTCAGTTAAAAACCGGTGAGAAAACATGATGGCATAGTGGAATGTCTTGTATAGAGGGAATGGCTGTCAGGAATTCCAAACAAAAGTACCCTTGTTAGTACAGAAGATTAATTTACTTATTTATTTAACTTCAGTAATGCCAATAGCTGAAGCTTTGTAAGCAGTTTACAGTAGTTCCTAAAGAGAATCATGTGCAATAAAACCATGAGACAATATTACAATAATACAAAATGTAAAAAATCGTTACTTTAAGAGTTAACTACTGAAACAGTGGACCTGTTCAAAACATCAGATGCCCTTCCAAGCATTAGCTAACCATACATGTTGGTTGTGCTAATTTACCTGTAAGCATTTAGTCAGCTTTTGCTGCAAAATGAACATACAAAGAGGACAGATGACAGAATCCATCAGATTAATATCTTCCTTACATTTGGCTTGAAACAAATGCTACTGATCTATTTAGTGATCCAGTCAACAGATCTGCAAATAAAATTGGTTATTAGCCATGCTTATATGCATGCACATTCACTTGAAGGATTTGATTATCATTTTAAAAAAATTGAATGAAGTTTCTCATTTAGATGGGAAAAGTTCCTAGGCATAACAGATCTGGCTGAGAGCTGAAGTCACTGACTACTTTTCTGATGTCACTGCTGTTTTCTGCGGGCCTAAGCAACTCTGTCGGCCATTTATTGTGTTGCTCAGATTTGTAAAGGTGCACTGGTAAAGGAAATAAGGGGCCTAGGAAAGAAAAAAGAGCAGTTTAGAGGGAGGAGGAGGAACAATAAGGTAGACTAGTTTGAAACAGAAAGGTGAACTGGTCAAGAAAATGAGTAGGGAGATAAGTATGGCCAAAAAATAAGGGGATGAAGATAGCCAAAGTTCAAATACTTACTCAAGACAACTTGGTACTGTTATCATAATTTGACATAAAGAATACTCTTAGGCATCTAGTATAACTGTAATGATCTTGCATGATATTAATAGAAGCATGTAATTGGCTGATTCCATTATTACTTGATATAACACCAAAATATCCCATTCAGTTATTAAAAGTGATCTTTTCAGCACTTTGCTGACAACCTACAATATAAGATAAATACTGATAATCTGAAAGATCGAAACATCTCTTTCTTAGTTCAGAAAATGAGAAACATTGTGGTAGTGTGTTTAGTTCTGAAAACTAATCATATAAAATAAAAATATATAACTACTTTGATTTTGCTCATAATGGGCATTCCTAAAGTGAAAATTTAGTAAGTTTTGGAGTCTCCAGTTCAAAACAGAATCTGTCCTTTCCTGTTAAAATATATTAATAAATAAAAATGTAAAGCCCTTACCTACTGATGAACAGATTAATAGAATTGTTTTGGTCATCTTACTTTCCTAACTTTTAAATGGCACACAAGGGGGCAATTTGGCACTGAAGTTCTGGTTCTTCATCATGGTCTGTGTTCAACGCACGTATGCAGGCTCTGCCTGTGCAGAGCTTCATTTTGGGAAAGTTGGGGATATTTTTTTGGGAACCCTTCACCACCATCCTAGTATGAATATCCTTAGTGGGTTCCTGCCCATTCCTTCAATTTTTCCTCAACCACCATTGTGGTTGCCTCATAGGAGCTTCTCCTTGTCTATTGGACTGTGTGTTTTCTCTCAGTGTGGAGGCTTTATTCATTCATGTTGTCTACTGTCATCTTTCCTTTTCCATTTTCAGTATCATTGATTTCTTTGACTCCCCCACCCCACAATTGGAAGCTTGTTTGCTTCCTTCAGGCCATATGACCCTGTAAATGTGTTAAGCGTTGGAGCAAGCTCCAACTGACAGAAAGGCACTCTCTTCTTCCAGGGCAGATATCTAAAGGCAGATCTTGAGACAATGGAGGTGCCCTGATGGGTCCTCTTACTCCCTCAGATGTGCTGTCGGCAATGGGTCCTTTTGCCTCCTCAACTTTGACATCTTCTGACCCTGTTACGAACTGTTCAGTAGTCATGGAAGGCCCCATTGTTCATGACTCCAGTGTTGAAACTAGCTGGAGAATATGTACAGAGCCCAGGAGAAGGAAGTGCATTCCTCTTTCAACAGTTTTGGCTTAATTTACTCATACTTGAATCTTTGCAAGGGCTTTCACACAAGGCATATTTTTACCAGTTGACAGAGAGGACCATTTTTTCTTTCCTTCTGAGAATCCATAAATCTGCTCCTTGGATGCTTGACTACTGGCACTACTCTGATTTGTTGGCGAACCCCTCCAGGGTTCTCCCACCTTTCAAGATTTATTGACCCATTCCAAATATCTGAATCAAATAAATTACCCTCAGGTTCTCAGTGGTAGCACAGGTGTGTTGGGCAAGTGAGACCACAGTCACTCAATAATGTTTCCAAGTTGTCCTAGGCAGCACCACTGTGATACTTTAGCAGCACAAGCAAGGTGATACAAAATTGTTTACTTGCTTGGCTTAGCATGTGGATATGAGATTGGTGCATTCAGTGGAAAATTTCTTTGTCATCCATATTGCAGGGATAGCAATTGCCTGGCAGTTGTTCTGAGTCATTCCACATGGACTTCTCAGGTGGCAGCTGTACCCTCTGATCCGAGAATATACTTTCTCAGGGTGGGGTGTCCTGACAGTTTTTCTTGTTACTTTGACAGACAATGCAGTTTGTCCCAACTGCAACACCCAATTTGAAGTGCATCAGAATTCTCTGGAAGATGCTTTTCTTCTACAGTGGATAGGAACACTGCTCTACCTTTTACCCACCTTTCATTTATAACAAGGGTCCTGACAAACAACATAGATGGGATTCTCATCACAGCATGGTTGCCCAGTTGCTCCGCATCTCCAATCAGAACTGTCAGGATTTGAAACAGCTTCAGGATACCATCTTCTGGCCAAAAGCCAGAATAACAGCCCTGGTAGTTGCAGAATCGGACCCACAGCCTACTGCAGTGTTCAGGGCCTTCATGAGTACCACCTATGAGTCCTGAGGGAAGAGCAATATAAGAACTGGCTCTTCCCTCCAAAAACTGCCTTAACAATGAAGGTTTCCTGACTTCTTGTGGTGTTTCCTGTTGTTATGTGATGCCTTGGCTGCAAACCCTGCACTCTGGACAAATGCCTGCTCCTGTTCTTGCTCCTGAACTCTGCTGCAAATCCTTGGCTGTTGTCCCTGCCTCTGAGCCTTGCTTCTACTCCCACTTCTGCTCCTGGTTTCTGCTTGTCTACTCTTGGCTTGGAATTTGGGTTGGACTTTGGTTAATACTTGGGATTAAGGTGTCTGGGTTCTGGTGTTCATAACTTTAAGCTGCTGCCACGCCTTGGACTGCCTTTATCTGCTGTTGAGACCAGATGTCATATCTCAGTATTGAGAGAGATTTCAGCATTCCAGTGTACTAACACTAAGACTTTAACAGCCTGAGTGATCCATTGGATGCCCAGACCAATTTAACTGAGGACTTAGTTCTGTCCAGGATGCAGCAAAGAAACCAAGAGCTATGGAATTCCAGCTGGAGTTTTTCATATTGTTTGCTGGTCTACCTAGATTCAATCCGACCCACTGTGATCTTCAGTTTCTTTGTTCTCCCTTTCAAAAGGAAACTTAAGCCTTCATCTCCTGGGTGGCAATTTCTGCCTCTCACTTTACTCTGCAAGGTTTTTCAGTGTTTATTATAGAGTTTGTTGTCTTGCATGCTCTCGACATGGAAGCCATTCTGAACCAATGGCTACTGTTGATCTCCATTTGCTGTCCTGGAAGGCGGTCTTTCCTGTAGTAGTCACACCTGCTCATTAGGCTAGCAAGTTAAATGCATTCCATGAATGGTCTTCCACATTCATCCAGTATTACAGGGTGAACATCAATTCCAGAGCTGATTGCTCTTTTAGCAGAACAGTACTTTCTTCCATGCTCATCTCACTTCTGAGAAGTTACTTTATTAATCACTGATATGTTTGATGTAGAGAGACCACAAAGAAGAAAGGCAGGATGCTTACCTATAAGTGTAGTACTGTGAGTGGTCAGCTGTGTGTTCACCCAACCCATCCACCATGCCTGCTTTTGGTGCTAATGTCTAATCTGATACCAAGAACAGTTGTAATATTGGCATTGATACCTATCTCTATCTTAGTGTTTATACCAAGGCCACAATAAGCACTCTCAGGGGAACTAAAGGAATAGCACTAAGCCTTGCATGGTAGGACTGTGTAGAAATATTCCTGGCAAAATTTACTCAGCTATACAAACTTCCCAAAACAAGTTTCCATGGAAGTGCAGAACCTCCATATGTGTGAATACACACGTCATCACAGAAACATAGAATATTAGAGTTGGAAGGGGCCATGAAGGCCATCAGGTCCAACCACCTGCTGTTGCAGGACACCACGTTGCACCATCCCACTCAGTTTCTTTGTGAATGTCTCTAGTGTGGGAGAGCCCATGTCCTCTCTAGGCAGCTGGTTCCACTGTTGTATTGCTCTGACAGTGAGGAAGCTTTTCCCGATATCTAGACCGCATCTGGGTTGTCAGCTTGACTTGATTGTTCTGTGTCCTGTACTCTGGCATCAGCGAGAAGAGATCTTGACCTTCCTTTTTGTGACAACCTTTGAGGTACTTATAGGGGGATATCATGTTCCCCCTCAGTCTTCTCAAGGCTGAACATGCCCAGTTCTCTCAGTCTCTCTTCATAGGGCAGTATCTCCAAAGTGTGGATCATTTTTGTTGCCCTCCTCTGGAACCTTTCTAATTTTTCTGCATCTGATCTATTTTTTTGATCACGCAGAGAACCACAGTTGCAAGTAAGCAACCTATCTTTACTTTTGGTGCAGGCTATTTTGGGGCTCTTTTAGTCTATGTCCTTATGTAGTAGCTCACAGAAGGGAACCTGTACAGATCCAGTTTGTACAGGTTATAAAAAGATTGAGTTTGTTTTTCTTGTTAGCACATACAAAACAAGTAGTCCTGTGGGGTAACTGCAAAGTTTCAGTAGTTGATAAAAGTGGTCTAAACAGCAAAGATGCTATATACAAATATGGGTAGCTGCTAATACTAACAGCTTACCAGGTGGAGCTCCATATGCTAGTATTTCCTTGTACTGTTGCCAGGAGAGCAAAACTCCACCACCATTTTATGTGTTTTTCAGAGCTTTGGCTTCCAAATGATTCCATCTTGCCTGGGAAAGATAAACAAAACAGGTTTGTTCTGCACAGGAAAAATAAAGATGATTTTAACTCATGTGTGCCCTTTAGAAACCAGGGAAACCTTATGACTAAAAGATCACATTAACCTTTTCTTTAGTGTGCAAGGCCTTTATTTTTTTCTGTGGACAAATGAGCAATCCTTGTCCAGAATTCAGCAAATATGAGACCTCCTGAGATGATAAATGCCCAATCCCCATTTGTTCCAATCTAATCAAACCCTCAGTGTATTACATGTTGAACTGGCTGCTGGTGAGCCTTAAGAGGTAGAGGACGGTTTATTATGAATTCTACTGTAAAATCCAATGCTAAGTCAATAGTCCTCTGCTTAAGTACATGACACACATTAGTGTGCCTGAGAATCACGTAAAACCATTCCATGCTCTTCAGAAGCCAAAAGTCATCCTGGGACAGATGTATTATGTTCCCTACAACTCCTCCTCTTTCTACTGGGATGCCGTTTAAAGGATTTCTTGTGTGAAGCTTAGAACATGCCATGAATAAGGCTACATTTGCTAAACATCACCTAAAAAGGATTTACATTAGAAAGTTGACTTTAGAATTGTTCAAGGCTGTCTTCTTTGAATCCTGAAACTACTTGCACCGATGTGCATGCCATTTGTTTTAGCAGGACTTTGTTTTTCATCATTGTAGATTGCTGAATAGCATTTTTTTCCTCTTTAGGTGCCTGACCCCTGATGCAGAGAGTCGTCCTGACATCGTAGAAGTCAGTTCAATGATATCAGATGTGATGATGAAATATTTAGATGGCTTATCAACCTCCCAGATTGTCTTGGAGAAGAAACTGGACAGAGAAAGAAGACGTACCCAGAGATATTTCATGGAGGCCAATAGGAATGCAGTGACATGTCAGCATCACCTTGCTATATTGTCTCAGGTATTAGGCTACTTTGCCGCATATAGTAGAACCCTTGTTATGAATCCAGTTTTTCATTGGGCCAATTTACTAAGCGAGAAGCAAAGAATATTGCCTGTATGGTAGAGCACTGGCCTGCTTTCATGCTTATCACTTATATGTGACAGAGCACCTGTCTGACTATCAAACATACATGTGTATACATAATATGGATTAATGGCTGTGCAAATTAGAAGAGAGAAAGTTCATATGCTGAACCCCAAAATGCTGTCCCACGTCCAACTGAACAGAAATGTGGTGGCAGCAAGCACAACTCTTAGTTTGTAGAAAGTATAATTAGTTTTGGGCACCCATACACCAAATTCTCTTCTATTTATCTGGATCTAATAATGTAAAGCCAACAAAGCACAGTTACATTTGCAGAGCCGCATTACTAACTAATAAAATGCAGATTTGAAGTAGTAAAAGATCAAAAATAAATTAACCTCTCTGAGCCAGGTATCATCATGCACTAACATTATTTGCTCTTAATCCCCTTATAGCCATAGTGGACAACTTGTGACCTCCAGATGTTTTGGCCTATAACTCCCATAAGTTCTCACCACTCACTATGCTTATTAGGGCTGCTGGGGCTTGTAGGCCAGAATAAGTTCATCCTCTTCTTACAGGGCCTAAGAAAGATTAAAATGCATAACCAAGACCTTTAGCGCTGCCAAGCACAGGCTTGAATTAGCCATGTTTTTATACAGTGTTCTGCTGTAAGAGTTTCTGAGCTTGAATAGAAGTAGAACTAGAATAGAAATAGAACTAATAGAGAAAATTAGTACTGTTGCTAGAACACTGCACAGGGGAGAGATTTATTTTTATGTTCATTTTTATATACTGTGAGCCACCCATACAGCCACTGGCTATGGGGCTGCATACAAATGTGATTGATTAAATAAATATGCTAGCCATTTTTACTAGCAGTGTAATGACTGACTCAGTGACATGTTACATGATGCTCACCCCTTGCAATTTTTCCATGGTTATATCCTGGATTTCTTCAGACCATTTAAATCATGCCTTTTTATATGTTGCATTTTTCCAAGGAACATATTCCAGTGTGTACTGAACTCATGGTATTGTTCTAGGGAGAGGAGTAGTGACTTTAATGGACTAGTGAGTAGTGGCAGTGAAAGAGGAAAAGTCTTGTTGGGCTCTAACAAGTAGCGACTCTGAAAAGCAGATAAGCCCCATCAACTTGCAGTTACTTTCTAGTCTCTCCTCTCCCTCTCCCTCTCCCTCTCCCTCTTTGACTTGTCGACTGACCTAGAAAGTAAATACAGTGTTGCCTCCACCTTCCCCTCCCACAGAGGAACAACTGCATGTTAATTCAGAAGTAAGGCATGTTTCCTTCAGTGGTGCCTAGTTGGTAATAAATCACATGGATTTTGGGGTGCTTACTCTTGGAAAAGTCAGCACATGAGAGAGACTGCACTTGCTTAATAGAATTCCTTTTGGGTGGAGGTACTAGTGACCCTGCTGGCTTCACTTCATGAGAGGTAGAAGAGAAGCAGCAAGCAGCACCACAGCTTCTTCTCTTTTCTCCCTGTTGCCTTCTCACTGATGTTCCATGAAGGGAGAGGCAGAGCTGTCAGCTTTTTCCACTTTTAAAAAAAAATCAGCCCCTTTACTCCTTTGCATTTGCAAATTGCTAGTGGATGAAGGAAAAAACTCCTTTTGTTAGGGGACATTTTCCGGCACCCACCACCTTTCCAACTCTTCCGAATTCTCCTGCAGTTGCATTTACACAAGATCACGTTTTCAACACAGTAGAAGTTGCTCTGTATTCATTGGTACGTTTCCCAGCAGTTTTTCATAAATACTACCTTAGTGGTGCCTGATAAATGGAAGGTGCTCTAGTGTTGATACTTTCCTATTCTGGGCTTCTGGGAACCCCATGTCAAAGGAAATAGTTTCCATTTTTCTTTGCAGGAACCATATGACAAGTCAAGCGTCAGCAGCAGCAGTAGTGGAACAGCCAGTGTAAAAAGTGAATTTTCTGAAAATGTTGACCTTCTGACTGAAAACATCCCCCAGTCCTCTGGAAAAGATGAAGAGAAAACCTGTGATGAAACCCTGTCTGATAACTGCACTTTAGAAAGCTCAGAAAAAGGTAGTGATGAATGATTAGGATATGTTTCAGTCCTTCTGGCATGCTAATCAGAGTTGGATAGAAAAGTTCATATCTACTTTTTTCATAGATACCTTCTCAGAACTAGATGATGAACTGGACATGTCAGACAATTCCAGCAGCTCTAGTTCAAGTCCGCTGAAAGAATCACCATTTGGTAAGCTTCTTTAACAGTAGCTCTTATCTGCAGTATATTAACTGGAAGTTCTCCAGTTGATGTTAATGTCAGGAGCAAAGGTTTGATTCTGTAAAACAATAACTTAGATGCATGCGCCTAAGCAGGTATTAAGAAAACTTGGAAGCATGGTACTGGTCCCAGGCATTCAGAATGAGCTTGGGAGTGTCAAATCAGCCTCAGACAGTGGGAGAAGAACAAGAGGATTCAATAATTATCAAGAAATCAATATGAAGGAAATTCATATGAATATAAATGTTCCAAGATTTAACTGCTGCAGTTCTAGTACCATTCTTTTTCTCCATTTTCCCCAATGCCTGTAGGGAGACAAGCATCAATGTGTTATACCCAACAAAGTTCCCTTCATGGGGGCTGTAGCAAAGTTTCCTGTATGTAGACTAGATATAGTTTGAGAAATGAGCACCAATTCAAAAAGGCATTGTTTTAGAAATATGTACACTGTGGGGCCTCTTTATGCATTCCCTCTTGGTCTTTGAAATGCAGGAAGGTCTGTCATCATCCAAACTTCCCTACAGACATTACTGCTCAACAAGTTAACAGATTCCAGGCTGGGCATCTGATGGAGCAGTGCCAATATGCACATTCTTGTCTTTTCCCAGGTTTAGCTCTCACAAGTTCAAAGGAATGCATGTAGGGAGTTTATATCGAAGCATTTATTTCTCAGAATTCTTACCCAGTCTTTGTTAAAAAAAAAAAAGAACAACTATTGACTGCATAGGTAAACTGGAGATTTTTTTGAGCTTTCAGTGAAAGAAGCTAAATGTAAAGAAAAACAAATATAGGATAATAGAGTTGTGCTCTGTATTTTTAAAAGGTGAAGCTAGGCAATTTAAGTATTTGTGTGTTATGGATTTTAACACACCTGTACCATAATACAGGTGGCTGGTATGTTTAAGGAGGATAGATACATGAAGAAAGTGCTATCTCCAACATGGTTATTGGGCTAACCAGGAGAGGATAATTAGAAGCTTTCACTTGTGCTTTCACCTACCCAGGGTTATCTGTTATGTCTAAACTTAGACAAATGCTAGTTAATGCTAGCTGTGGTTTAGGAGAACAAGACAGTTTCAAACAGTGGCTCCCTCGATTGTTTCCATAAACTATTATTTAAACTGGAGCTATGTAACATTGTAGGCTATTGTCCTGGGCACCACCACAAAATGGCTGCTAGAGATTCGGCTACATAGCAAAAATCTGAACTCCACAATGCCTTTGATCTCAGTTTTTCTGTACCAATAGAAATCTATTTCAAAGCAGTTCACATTTGCTCAGTAATTAGTGTTTTTTAAATGTGTCATTTCTTTTTTTAAGTGGAGGGCAAGGATATGTTGGGGGGGGTGCCAAGAAAGCTCTCCAGGGATGTATTGGCACTTGTGAGCATTACATTGCCTACCCCTAATTTCAGCAAATCACAGTTCTCTATTGGTATGAAATGAGTAACTGCAGTTAGTTGGCAACAGAAGAAAAAGCTTCCAAATGAGATGAGTGTGCAAGCCTGAGGCTTGTCCAGGCTTCTTTCCATGGTGCTGAACTGTGATTAGTATTAAATCCAGCCTTAGTCAAAGACTGCTTAGCTTAGAACTTCAAACAAGTTTCTGATGAATTATTACTTTGTTTTGCAAAGTATTGAAAAAAATAAGTAATGTGGACAATATTGGTGGACAAAAAGGCCCAGATCTTGACCTAGAGTGACTATATAGGTAACTTTGAATGTCTGAGCTTTATAATTATACTCTTCCAAAAGTGAAGAGTACGAAGTGTGAATGATATTAGGAGGGTGAGTACCCGGAGGAGGGCTTTCTTTGCGGTGGCGCCCCACCTATGGAATGCGCTCCCCAGAGAGGTCAGCCTGGCGCCGTTGGTATTTGTTTTTCAGCGCCAGGCCAAGACCTTTTTATTTAAAACTTATTTTAATTGTTAACTTACTATGGTATTTATAGGATTGTATAGGATTTTAAATTAAGCCGAGATGTACCAGGCTTTTTAATCTCTAATTGTATTAATTGTTATTTATATGTTTTAATTATGCTGTGAGCCGCTCCGAGGCTTTGTTGCAATGGGGGTGGCATAGAAATGTTTTAAATAAATAAAATAAATAAATAAACTTGCTCTTTTTAACATGACAGTCTGAGGAAAGGTTATAGATTCTGTGCTGAAAAACAGAATTCATTATTTGCAGTATGATTATGGTCTTGTGAAATATCATCCTTAAATACAAACCTTCACATGGAATGTAAATACCTACTAGGAATACTTTAAGATGACTATTTTGAGATTGTCCCCCTTTTCAATCAGAAGAATCTGTTTCATATTAATTGTCTTATGTTTGGCTTTCTTTTTCACCCTTAAATACCAAAAGATTCCTATTCATCGTAATTTTACTTCTGATCTAAGGTTAAAAAAAAGATTACTTTCCAAGCCTTGTAACATCTCTTTAAAATTTTGTAGTATTATTTTGGAGAAAGTAGCAACTCTTTTTGAAATCAACTCATTTATGTCAGGTCTGAACAAGTGGGTCCAATACCTGTTGTGATAGATAATTAGTTTATTTGTGTAATTTTAATTGTACTATTGATCTATACAGTAAAAAAATGGAGGCCATCTGTCTGTGCTGAGACTCTTCATTTCCTCCAGCAAAATTTAATATGTTTTCAGTAATTCCCTATAAACTCATTAATTTTAATTAGCATTTGTAGAACTTTAACACTGGAGTTCTAAGAAAATGATTATAATAAATCATGCATTTTAGATCACCTATTGTTTTAATAGTGGAGAATTAAGGGACCCAACTATGCACTATATAATATTGTCCTGTAGCAAGCAATTATATGGCCTCATTTTATTTTTTCTGCTTCTACTACTAAGAAACACTCCTTCACACCATCTTTAATGCTGCTTTATCAAACAATGTTGCCCCAAATATTGCTTATGGTTTCTCATGCTTTCTACTCATAAGGCAAAGCTGAAAATGACTGCATAAAATGGTGAAGGATGGAAGGAGAGTTTGGCATTGCCAACTGGCAATTGCTGACACTTTAAATTGGTTTCTAAGCCATCTTTGGAAGTTGCTGGATTCTTTGGCACAGCTATTTCCTTGTTGCAGAGAGTTCCATAATTCAGTTCCCCTCATGCTAAGTACTGACATTGACTGAGAGGTATCACTGCACAGTCTTCCCATTTCAGAAGAATTTGCTGATCTGATTTGCTCTCAAGTTTGGTTTTCCAATATGATGCTGATTTATTTATTTTATTTAAAGCTTTTATAGACAGTCCCATCACTAATGTCCCATTCCTGTCAGTGCCCAGCAAGTTCCCAGCCTCCACTGATTTCAAATTTATTGCTTGAAATGATTTGAAAATACTTTTAACTGGGAGACTAATAGATTCCCAGTGCTGCCTTGTATTTGAATGTTTTTCTATTATGAAGGTCAATCACCTACTTCTTCCTTGTGCTCAGGTTCTTGGGCTAATGACTTCTAAATTTGTCTCACCAGTTTGCATTCTAGGAAGCAAATGTAACTGAATAGGCCCAGCATGGTTGTCGTTTTAGGAATGAACAAGCTCCCCCACCCCTGGCAGAAATTTTGTGAGAGTGCCCATTACTCTCTTGGAATTCCAGATGTGCCCATTATCAGGACAAAATGAACAAAAGCTTTGCCATAATATGGCTGCAAAAGTCTAACACTGTAAGAACAGCTTTAGACTTAAGATAGGATTCCATCAGGAATCCAAGTTACAAGTGTAGGTGTTTTGGTTGTTTTCTTTTTGTTTTTTTTAATAAGAACAGAGATTTTCATGAGAAAAAAATACTTTTTTCTGTGCTCCAAGGGAAAGAAAAAGCTAAATCTAAGTATCTTTCCATCTAGCAATACAGTCCTTGCCATCAACAGGGGGCTTTTGATATCAGAAAAAAATAAAGGTTTCAGAAATGTTTTGCCTTGTCTCTCTTTACTACTGTGTTCTATGAAATTGTTTTTATTGAAAGTGCCCTAGATTACCTTGGAAGGCAGCCAATAGGACACAAGGGAGATCACCTTCCTTGTCCTGCGTCAATTCATTATGTAAAATTTGGGGAAATAGAGGTTAACTTCAGTTTTCTTGAGTCTCTGAAAGTGTTAGCAATCACACTGTCTTGGTGACAAATTTTAAAAAATGTAAATACAAATATTCCTATCACACATATTTATTTTGGAACATTTAGTATCTGATTTGTTTGTTGTCTCTATTTAGGCCGATTTCCCATATGGAATACAACCCAAATAATAACAATTATCTCATGAAATTGTCCAGAGACTGCTTCAAAAGCATAATTTAAGCCTCTCTCAACCCTGATGTACCTGGACATTATGCTTAATCTCTGGGACCTTCCTCCAGATGCCAACGCCTTGGGAAGCTTGGAGGGTGGCAAATAGGAGGAGAGCCTTTTCTGTGGTGGCCACCCATCTTTGGAACAACTTCCTTGCTAAAGTCTGCCTGGTGCCAAATTTGCCATCTTTTTGGCACCTGGTTAAAATAGCCATCTTTGCAGAGGCCTTTAAAGACCTTTCTGGTCATTTGGGGATCAGACACAATTAGCTAGGTACTTTTCTTGTCTTTGACTGGGTCTTTTTATTGTTTTTTTTAATGTTTTGTACTATTTAAAATTCACAGTATATTCTTGTTAATGTTTCTGTCTATTATATTTTATTATTTTTATACTTTGTTGTAAACAACCCAGAGAGCTTTGGCTATAGGAGGTATAGAAATGAAATGAAATTATCATAGTTCTTTTCACAGTTCTGTAAATAGGGGTGCACCATCCCCACATTCTTTCTCTTTGGCTTCCAAGCTCAGTAACTGAACAGCTGTTAATACGTCTTAATAATTAACTGAAACCTAACTTGATCTATATAAAAGTTACTGCCTTTTCCTGAGGTTAGTTGCTTTTCTTTAAAAATGCAGTGGCAGTGTTACTTCAAGAACAGCTCGAGTGTCTCAGTACAAGTCAGACAATCAAGTGAGCCAAATAAGTTTCCAGAATACTTGGATTTCCAAGAGGAAGAGCAAGTAGCAGAGAAAACAACCAAAAGGGAAAGACTACAAATGTTTAGCAACAACTAGGGCTGCAGAGGTTAAACTATGGTTTTCTCACAGTGTCCAGCTCAATATACCAGTAAGAACAATTTTATGTTCCATGAGACATCTACTCATGGGTATAATATTTGAATGGAATGCGTGTACATAACATCCAGTGTTCATAGGCCTGAAAAGTACAGGCATGCCTGTATTCAGAATAAAATTTGTAATGTTTTCACCTTTCAGTTTCATCAAAGGTGCAAACCTGGCAGGCTGAGAAATGCTGGGAATTGTAGGACTTTTTTGTCTAAACACGCGTAAGATTGCATCCTAAGTGATTTTTTCCCAAATAGTATTCTTTACTTTTTTACCCATATTCTTATAATCCTGTTGTGTACATCTGTGGACAGAACAAATATGGTTGGTGGAACTGATTCTTTCTCGCAAATTAATCTTCCTTGTTGCCCACAGATGTGCCATAGAAGGGTAGGCAGGGACAGTGGGGAGCTGAGGAAGGAAAGTCATAAGTAGAAGTTCGTGTAGATTTAACCCACATTTTTAAATTAAACATAGTATACCTTTATATAAAATTCAAACTCAAATTTATAAGTTCAGAAAATCGTTCTGATATATATATGAATCCTATTGCACAAACATGCCTAGATACTTCTAGTAATGCATTAATCTGTTTCTCAGTAAGAAAACAAGTCAGCATATAATCAAGTCCATACAATGTAAGCAATATTTCTGTAACTTACCTCCAGTTTTGTTGATTTCTCTTCCTTACACTTTAAAATACCAGCTGATTTTATGTAGCTAATAGTTAGCTATCTTTTGCTTTCCAATAATTTATTTTTTTCTTCTAAAATCAGCCAATGAAGATTTTAGTGAATATTCATACATTCAGTTCCTTGCTTTTTCAGGGCGGGATTCCTCCCAAGGCAGCTTTCAACAATGAAATAAAGTTACAGAATTTCATAACTGTCTGAAATAGAACAATAAAAACACATAACCAGGGGAAGGGCAGAGTGGATAAATAGGTTGCCCATGAGCAGTGGCTATCCAGAACCCAGGATCTACTTTGGTTGCTTCAACACAGGCCTCACAAGTGCATTCTTCAAAGCTACTGAAACTTCACTATCCCTCAGTAAGACATAGGCTACCTAGGAGGTCTAGATGCCCTGCCCAACTGTGGTAAATTTGATGAGCCAAGATGGATAAGGCATTAGTAGACGTCAGTCCTCCAAGCAGATTGCCCATGTTCTCAGCTTGTACAACATGAAAGTACCCATACATAACTAGAATGCTGAGGTGACACTATTCCATAACCAGCTTAAGGATATTTAGAACTGATCATAGAGAATGCCTTCCCTGCTGTCTTTGTTGGGCTGGATATTATCTGAAACATGTCCATAGTTGCACACCTTCCAGTTCCCCTCTGTGTTCATAGTCACTGAACTGGAATCATGCCATAATATGCTGCTTTACTCTGTGGCACTCGATTTCCTAGCTGTATAGTGCTACAACTGGGGCTCAGGCAGTTGAATTGACTTGGGTGTTTGTATGGTACAGCCTTTTGCAGGGCAGTTGTCTTCACAATCTTATTGTGACATTTACTTCCTCCAGTAAGTTTCTTTCTTATCCCATAAGTGTGAGTCACAGAGACCATGAAGGGATAACAGCTTGCTTTCCTGTAACTGTTGTTCGCCAAGTAATGAACTATGAAGTCACACAACCTTCCTCCTTGCTTTAATGCTTTCTTCTTAATTTATTCCTATTTATGTCATTCCTTGTGGACACAGAATTGAGTGACAGGCAGGAGCTATAGCCTGAGCATGCACAGAGGAAGTTGGTGGGACTCCCACATAAAAACTCAGACCAGCTGTAGAATGTTCCAAAGGACTCTCCTGTGCAAGCATATACGTGTGAGTTCACAGATGACCACTTAAAGAACCACAGTTACAGGCACAACATCTGTCCTTATTGCTGCTATTTTCTAGTATTTGATCTGAAATTTTGATGTAAAGGTCCACAGTACTTGGCTTTTGGGATTCTATATTCCAGCAATCAGATGAACATTCATTAAAGCTTCCAAGGTACAGTTGATTGAATTGTAATATTTGATTAAAATGGCACATCAGAGCCCTCGCCAATATATTTTTTCATACATGCTCCTATATTTACATTACAAAATCTCTTTCCTGTACATGGCAATAATAGCTATGTAATTCAAATATAATAGACTGAATTGGAAAATGAAATGAGGTAGCAAAGTGTAAGTATTTGGTAGAAGACAACATATTATTATCATACTGGTTAGGGTAAGAGAAGAAAGAAGAAATAGTGAAAGCACACAATTGTTTTAGTTTTTTGAACTAAGACTAGATGTCAGCCAGTTAAGAAAGGAAACCATTTATTAAAAGATTGTAGTACAATAAATGAGAAAATAACAAAAAGAAATTTATTTCAAACATTAGTTCTAATAATTAAATTCTGGAGAATTTAGATTATTTAGACAATTGGGCAGTATCAAACGCTGTTCACATGCTAGTGGAATCTATTATTACTGCAACGGGTAATATTACTGCACTGCAGTGGTGGAAAACAGAATGGAACAGGCCAGCAGAGCATTCAAAAGGGAGCTTTGCTGAGCTGTCCTGTTTGGAAAATGAGCTTTTCCACTAATTTCTGGGCTTACTGCTAGAAGGTGCTAGCTTCTGTTGTGCAAGCACTGGAGACTACTACCATAAGAGTAATGCCAGGAATGTACTGACCATATTGAATACTGGCCAGTATCTTTTAATATGAGGAATCTTTAAGAAAGTAAATAAATAATGTATGCTCTCTAACAGCTGCATCAATGTCAGAAAACTGAAAAGTGTTTGAAACAGACTGCAAGGCATTGATCAGTGTGATTTTTAGTAGTCTTATTTCTTTCTCTTCTACAAGTTTGTTAATCTCCCTGAAGGGGAGCCTCCAGCACTCTTACTATGGGATCTTCTCATGCCATGTCCTCTCATTGGCCCTGTTCTTGGTTATTGAAATTGTTTATAGCTTCCAGCTCTGTTTCACAACTGCAAAGCTGATGGAGGAAGCCTTTCACAAATTATGGAAGGAGTTGTTGCTTACTGAACTATGGTAACTGTCAAACTGTAACTGCCCACTTATGGCTTTCATCCCACCCACTGCTGAAATGCCCACCCATACAGGTTTTGACCAAGATAGATGGACCTTGACAACAAAAAGACTCCCCACCTAAACTGTAGATAAAGAAAGGAGTAGAAATGCAATTAATAAAAGCTAAGAATCTGGTAGGTTTACCAGTACATGATATGGCAAGCTAGTAGACTGTTCCTCTAAGTCTGATTAAATGTGTTGTTTTGGATCAGCGTGAATCATTATGCACAGTTCACATCTTAAAATATTTTATATTTAGAGCTATCTTTGATTGCCAGTTTTTAAAAGTTGCTAAAAATGTTGGGAAATGGAATCTATTTAAAATATTGTCAGCATCAAGAGTATATCCATTCTGCTTTTTTTACAGGTAATATAAAACGAAGCTTCAGTGCTTCTGAAAGGCAGCTTCAAGTAAGGCAAGTTTGAAATGGAAAATTAAAGATGTAAAATGTCTTCCTGTCTTTATACTAAGTTTTTCCAAACTATGACTATGCAATACTTGGTAACTTTGAAATGTTCACCCTCATGGACTACTTTTCAGGACTTCCAATCACAGTTGGCACTCTAACAACATGTAAGACTGATGAGCTGCAAGACATGAACAGACAGAGTTTATTTAAAGTCTTTGAAAAATTATTTAGTTGACCCAGACATTACACCCAAGGTCTATTTTTGTGGAGCAGTTAACTACATTGAAAAAAACAGCTATAAGTAAGCCTCATTTGTCTTGACAGAGCTGCTTTGAATTCACAGTAAAGGAAAATCCAATTGAGAACATGGAGCTTCTTGGAGACCACCAGTATAGAAAAATACTATGTATAATTATAATAGTATAATACTATTTATAACCCACCTTCCTTCCATGACAGAATTTGAGGTGGTGTATATCTTTTGGGAATGAAAACAGCAGGTCTTGGCATGTATTTAAAGGCCAGAGTGACTCTTTGGATGAGGGGTAGGAGGATGCTTGGGAACTGAGGGCCCCAGGCCTAGAGGTGACAGAGCCAGAGATGCTTCTCTCAAGTCTGCTATTTGCAGAGTCTGGAGCTGCTGGGCTGGGGCTTGGGACAGGAGCCAGACGAAACTGGTATGATCCTTGACTCCATGACTTCTTGAGAGAGAAGGGCTAGACAGCTAGAGGCGCTGTGTACAGTTAAGAGGCTTGCCTAGTTCCGGAAGGGCACTCCCAGAAGGGTGGAGTCCAGGATTACTCAAAAGGGTTTCTTCTCAGAAGCAGTGTCTAGTTTGGGTTCATAAAACTGTTCTGTGTGTGCTCAGAGACTTTCTTTGCTGGTTATGGTTTGCTGGGTGCAGTGCTTTTTTTTTGTAAGAAAAAAGGTGCCAGAACTCAGGAAATTATTTACCTTTCGCATGTAGTCAATCACTGTACACACACCCACACACTTCAGTTGTGTAACGAAACATAACGGTTGCCACCTGCAGTAAGCACTCAGCATGCGGCCACTCAACCAATCACAAGCTGAGCAGCACCATCACAACCAGCGCGGACGAAGTATGCATGCATTGGATTCAACACACAAGCAGCCCACATGTACTGTTTTAATGTTTTGGCTGCCGACCTGCTACACTTGACAGGGTGATTCAAATCCATGTGGACCAAACATCAAATTTTCAAAAGTAACTTTTAAAACTTGGAAAATCTGTTGAAAAAAGGTGCCGGAACTCCATTCCGGTGCATTCTATGACAAAAAAAGCACTGGCTGGGTGTACATTAGAGAATAAAGAATTTTTGCCAAAGAGCATTCTGTTGTTCTGAATGGATGAAGGGGGAAACCTAGATCCCAAAATAGTGGGTTCCCAGGCAGTCATCTTTCCAGACACTGACCAGGCCCAGAATACTGGCTTGAGCTTCTTACTCACAAAGACTATTTGAAAGTTCTGTCTTATCGATTTCATTTCTGTTTTACAGAGATTATTTTGGATCCAGACCAAGACCAGGTAATTTTGTACTTGCAAACAAAATGGGCAGTAATCTTGCCATTTCTAACCTTATTTAAAGTTTGTTATCATTTCACATGTAGTTTCTTCTTTTATATCTTCAGCTTTGCTGCCCCTTGATCTGCTTCTGACAACACCTTCACTCATGTTCAGGGCCCACGTTAAGAAAATAGAGGACTCGTTAGTAACAGGGTGGAAATCCCACAGCCTCCCAGCTGTGATTCTTCGCAATTTGAAAGATCATGGTAGTACTTATCGCTTAGTATAGTATCGCTTTCCACTCAAACAGATTATAACAACATAGAAGTATAAGATGAATTAGGGAAAGCATGGGATTTGTTTTGGAGAAAAACATAAATATGTTGGTCTCTTCCAGGAAACATTTAAGTCAAATGTTCTTCAGAAGTTCTAAAATGTTACATTAAATATGAGAGAAATAAAGGTGATGGCAAAGTCTAGTTGGGTCAGTCAAGGAAGTGTGGAAAGGCAAAGGTGTGCAGGTAGACAGGAGAGATTATTATTATTACATTATATTCATACCCCACCTTTCTTCATCTTGCAAGGTACTCAAGGCAGCTTACAAGGTACTCCTCCAATTAACCTTAGAATAACAATAACCCTGTGAGGTAGATTAACCTGAGAATCTGTGGCTGGCCCAAAGTTACCCAGTGAATTTCATGGCCAAGTGGGAATTCGATTCCACATCTGTATAGTTCCAGTCTCGCTCTCTAACCATTATACTGCTACACCATACTGACTAGACTGAGAAAGGAGCATTAGGCATGTTGGATCATTTAATTTTTTATTTGCATGCTGCCCAACTGGCTACTGTTCTTCAGTTCTTTACAATCATAAACAACAACAAAATATCCAGAAATAAATAATACAACAATTCAGGTGTTAAAATAATATGATAGTACATATTAAACACAAAACTATTACATATTGAAAGCAGTTGATAAAATTAATAAAGCGATAGGTTAAATACCTGCTTAAAGAGAATGGTCTTAAGTTGCTAACTAAACGTTTTTAGTGTTGTAGGACATGTTGAGCATGCAGGAGTAGATTGGGAAAAGGTTAGGGTTAGAGTTAGTGTTTCCATTTTGGGCCAGGATAGAGTTATGAGTTTGCATATATGTAGGACTGGGATGTGGTCATTTTTATGTAGCCTAAGAGTTAGTGGAGATGGTTCTCAAGCACTGCTATCTGAGCTGGTTTTAGCAAGATACTTTAGATAAACAGCTTTGAGTTGTACATGTTTCAAAACAACTGGAAACTATATTTGATTTAGATGCCAGTTTCACAGTGATAACCATGTTCATCTGTTTCAGTAAGAAATAAAATTCTCTAGTACCCTGGTTGACAAGTAATTTTTAACACAATTTGTTTTTTCCCTGGGAACAGGGCTAGGGCCAATGCCTGGCTTCCACCTGGGATAAGAGCTTTTTAATCCTCTCCTCCCCAGTATAAAGAGGTCCCCATATTATGCACTTCAGCTATTCATTCAAATGCACAAACAAAAGTTGCTTTATCTCCCCTGTTGTCTCCTCTAATAAGAATAGCAAGAGAGGGCCTGTCAAAACCAAACTACACAGTGTGTGCAATTAGTTCTGCAGAAAACCTAATATCCCATTTCCTTGCTGAAAGCAGCTTTGTAAATTAGCATTATGCTCACATGAAAAGCAACTGGGGATGGAGGTAATCTTTCTGTGCTGCACAGCAGCAGTCCCCCGCCTTTTTGGCACAAGGGACCAGTTTCATGGAAGACAATTTTTCCATGGACTAGAGGGTGTGGTTTTGGGATGATTCAAGTGCATTACATTTATTGTGGACTTTATTTATATTTTTATTACATTGTAATATATAATGAAATAATTATACAATTCACTGCCTCATCTCCACCTCAGGTTATCTGGCCTTAGATTCTCATAAGGAGCGAGCAACCTAGATTCCTTGCATGCACAGTTTACCGTAGGGTTCTTGCTCTTATAGGAAAAACTGGGAAAAAATGAATAGGCCCACCCCACCCCCTCATCTCAATCTGCGTGCTCTCATTGGTCTAAGGCTCAGTCATTCCACCTTTTTTATTGGAATGCCTGACCCATGCCTGAGCCACAGTCCACATGTGCTGTTGAATATTGTTGGTTGAGGGGCAGCTCGCATCATCGTCTCACTGGAGAAACAAGGCATCTGTCAGAGGAGCTTTAGCCTGTTCGAAAAAGATTGGATTTGGTTGACATCCTGCCTCCTGCTCTTGCACCACAGCAGCCCACGAACAAAAGGAGGGTGGGAATTGTGGAGGTTACAACCATAGATGAAGCTTTGCTCACTTGCCTGCTTGCTGCTTACCTCCTGCTGTGCAGCCCAGTTCTAATAGACCAGTACCAGCCCGGGGGTTAGGAACCCCTGCTCTACAGCAACCTTCCCTAATCTGGTGCCTTCCAGATGAGCTGAGCTAAAACTCCCATCATCCCCAGTCACCATGGGGATTCAGATATGTGTTTACCCTTTCAAACATGCATCTGGAATACTGTGGAGGGTAAAGCAGGCATGTTGGGTAGAGTTGCAACAAAATGTGATAGAAGGATTAAGCATCCCTCTGCTTCTGCAATTCTGTACTGAAAACCACCCATTTCCAGTGCAACATTCAACAAAGAAATAGACATTCACAATTTTCTCACAAGCAACTGAATGTAACATTTTGCTTGACTTTAAACTTCACCCTTTTGCACCCAATTTTAATACTTGGGTTAAATTAGGATGCTACACGGACAGATTCACTGTTGAAACTGCAAGGGGGAAGATACTGTTGTCTGTGAATACTTCCACATGAGGGGTTTCTAGCAATACCAATCAGAAGACACAGTGCAGCAATTCCTTTTCCCCTTAATACTTTGGTTTCTGACCTTTTCATAATGTAACATAATGGACCCCTTGTAAAATTCCATGAAGGAGGCAGGTCGATAGCACTATAAAAGTCTTGTCTAGAAGACACTCAGTCTTATTCTGTAGCCAAATAAATGTTTTTGAGGGAATAGTAAGGGAATTTTTTGAGGTAACTATATCAGAAAGATAACCCTCTGAGTTGCCTGTTTCTACTGTAGCTCTTACATGCTCCCTAGATTATTATTAAGGCTTAAAAATAAATGGTTTGTTGTCTGACTTTTCATAGATGCTTTAGAACATAAAACCAGGGAAAATGCTAAACTTAGCAAAAGCTAAGTATAGAGAAAGAGATTAAAGAGAGTGGAGAGTTCCATCCCAGAAAATAAATTAAGCACGGAAGCAAGTACTCCTAGTTATGTTGCTAATCCTTGAGTTAGCCAGATGGTATGTTGGCAGATCAGGGCACTTCACTCATGTTTCAAATCCCAAAATGCACAGGACATGATTATTTTTGCCATAAGGCAAAACTGCTTTATGTGGCACTTACAAATTAGGTGTTTTGCTAACCCTAAATCTTACCTCATGAGGCAAGTCCTAGCAGATGTTTGTTCTGTTAACCTTAGTGGAGTTGCCTTCCCCAATTCATAGCGAGTGAAGAAGAAATCTGATGCACCTCTCTTAAAATTTGCTGACATTTATACATGGCTGAGGCTTATGGGTATTACATAACATATATGATATAAATATAAACTTAATATATGCAAGAATTAGAGTCTATAGTGTAATTGAATTGTTATATGGGTCTTTCCACTTCTTGTAAACCTGCAGTTTAGTTTTACCAATAAATGTCACACAGGCTGCCATTCAACTCTTCTTATAAGTCCACATTTTTCAAGGAAATAATTTTAATAAGTCAAAGATCTAAAATTAATATTTTTTCCAATGATCAGTTGTCATTGTTATTTGATTTAAGAAGCAGGTGCATTTTCTGTTAATCTGTGCATCATTAGCTTTAAAATGCTTTCACTGTTATAAACTATACAGTGTACTCTCCTGAGTTGCTGACCAGTACCAGTTTGTTTAGGAAGGCAAATCAGTCCTTACCAAGTTACACAATACCTTATCTCAATCTCAAGTCCCATTCAATGAAACTACAATGGAGTTTAGACTACCAGTGAAATAATTTTGCTTCAGAATTATTGAAAGAGGATTTTCATTTTTTCAGGAATAGTATCACAGCCGTGTCTTTCTGCATCATTAGTACCAAATAAGGAGAAAAAAAAAGATCAACCAAGTGTAACAGCTAGTAACAATACCTTTTGGCTTTGTCAATAATAATACTGCAGTTGTTGGAGGTAAAATGTCTGTACTTGAACAAAGGCATAAGGCTTGCCCTATTCATTCACATGCTTTTTCAAAATACATGTAATCCTTTTTATTAACTATTACAAGTTTGTAGTTGATATATTTGTTCAAAACCTTTTTTCAGAATGAACAGGAATTTCCTGAACATTTTTGGGGGGGGGGTAATCTTTGGATGAAGTTTGGAATTTTTCCTTCCAAGAAAAGCTCATAAAAGCCCATTGGAGAGCAATCACTCTTCAAAAGCCCTCTTTGTTTTCCTTCTTCTCTGCCCTAGTCCCCCAAGTTACACATACTTTCTCACACTTACAGAATGCAGTGTGGAAAAGAAGCATAGTATTTGGGAAGGTTTTTAAAAAATCAAAGACTTGTCCTAGGTTTCCAGCTTTCTGCAATTAAAGTTTTTGAGCTTTCCATTGCTTATGGAAATTGAAGAAATTGAAGTCATGAAAAGGTCCTCTTATGGGTCAGTAACTGATTAAGGAACAGAAAGGAGAGAGTAGGAATAAATGGTAAACTCTTCCAATGGAGGGATGTAAAGAGTGAGCTCCACAGGGATCTGTATGAGGACCAGTGCTTTTCAGCTTATTAATTAATGATCTGGAATTTGGAGTGAGTAGTGAGATGACCAAGATTACTCATGACACCAAATTATGCAGGGTAGTTAAAGCAAGAAATTGCAAAACAAACAAGCAAACCTTTCAAAAGTATCTCTTCAAACTGGAATTGTAGCTTGATTTAAACAAGTGTAAAGTGATACATTTTGGGTCAGAAAATCTCTTATTTACTGAGGTTGCAATAGCTGACCAAGAAAGATCTCAAGGTTGTAGTGGACCTTGAAAATGTTGACCCACTGTTACAGTTGCTTGAAAAAAGCAAATTTCATGTTAAGCATAATTAGGGAAGGAATCAAAACTAAAATGATCATACTTCTTTTATGCACACTTTTAGTAAGATTACACTTGGAATACTGTGTACAGTTCTGGCTACTTCACAGAAAAAACATCAAAAATGATCAGTAGATTGGAGCAACTCCCCTATGAGGAAAGGTTACAACTACTGGGATTGTTTAGTTTAGGAAAAAGGTGACCCTACAGAATTATGTGTGGTATAGCAAAAATAGATAGGAAGGTACAGTGGTACTACGAACACCTCAGTTCAAGACCAAATTGGGTTGCGAACAAAAATGTCATAAAAATTTTGAATCAGGTCGCGAACTCAGATCTCCCCAAGTGGGGAGATGGCTGCAATCATGCTGGGGGCAGGGGGAGATGACCGAGATTGCACCCATCTTTCCTTCAGGATCGTGTCCGTGATTGTGCCCGTCTTTCCTGCACTAGCGCAACCACGATCTCGGCCATCTCCCCCCCAGAATGATCGCATCTGTCTCTCCCCCGCAGTGCGCCTGCGTTCACGCCCATCTTCCCCCCCCCCCCCCAGTGCACCCACGTTCATGTCCGTCCCTCCCTCCACAGCGTGCTGGGATGACAGGTTCATGCAGGGATGACAGGCGCGATCACGGTCATGCTGGGAGGGTGGGGAGATGGCCGGGGTCGTGCTGGGAGCGAGGAGGGGGAGATGGCCACGATCTTCGTTGTTCTTTGTCACTTTGCTTCTTCACATTTTTCTGATTAAAAGTATTAGTTACAGAACAGATTAACCTTATTTACATTAAACCTTATGGGGAAATTTAATTTGGCTCATGACCAATTTGGGTCATGACCAGAGTCCTGGAATGGGTTAAGTTCGTGAGCCAAGGTACCACTGTATTTTTCGCTCTTCATCATAATACTTGAACCCAGGGTCATTCCATAGAGCTGATAATTGGGATATTCAGGACAGATAAAGGATGTACTTATTCACACAATGCATAGTTAAATTACGGAATCTATTAGATGTAGTGATGGTCACCAATTTGGATGTTTTAAAAGGAGATAAGACAAATTTATCAAGAATAAGTTAACCAATGGCTACTAGTCCTGATGTGTGTGTGCTTTCTCCAGTATCTGAGACAGAATGCCTTTGTACACTAGCTGCTGAGGAATGTGAGTACAGCAGTGTTATTGCACTCATATCTTAGTTGTAGTTTTCCTATAAGCTGCTGATTGGCCACTTTGAGAACAGAATGCCAACCTTTGGCCTGATCATGCCTGGCTTGTCTTAGATGATTTCTGTATGTTGCTAATGAACACATGGTCAAATAAGGAGCTAATAATGCAAATAGCCTTTATTTAGAGACATATTCTAGATGGGAAGGAGAAAGAAGGACTGGCTTGTCCTAAATACAAAGTAAGCTCTGGTTTTATTGGACCATTTCCTGCCATATCATGAAACCAATCTATTAAGACAAACAGTTCAGATCTTAACATGGCCTCATTCTCTTTCTTAGTTTTGTATCCATAAAATAAAAATACCAACAACCTACTGCACATCAGTCATAGCTTGTAACTTCAGTTTGCTGTCCCTAGTGCTACCTCATATGGTATAAATATGATTTTAATATATTTTAGTGTATTTTTATTGTCTCTTTTTATGGATTTTTGCAAACTGCCCTGAGAGCTTCAGCTGTGGGGTGGTATAGAAATGAGAATAACAATAATGATAATGATCTTACTCATATTGGCTTTCCACTGAAAAGTCCCAAGATCTTTTCACTGAAAAGGCCCAGTGGTCTAATGAGTGTCAGAATCTGCTTCCTCAGCAGGTTGCTGGACTAATGCATACTTGTCCAAAAATAGAAAGAAGTGTTGTTTTTTTCTTTCACTAAATGATTCAAATGTCAACATTTTACTTTACATTTCCCTTTATTGCTTCCCATAATCAGTAACAACTAATTTAATACATTATGTATAGAATATCAGTGAAGGATCCTAAACTTTTTCAAAGGAATATTACCAGTTTCATCTTAAAGAAGGATAATCTTTATTAAAGACATTCAGGTATGTTTTTTGACTCAGTTGCTGTCATTATTATTCTAGCTTGAGCTTTGAATTTGTAGGCAGCAGCCTGTATAGTTTCTGCATCCAATATTGAAAGCTTTGTCTATATTGCCATCTTGGCAATAGCATTAAGTTTACTCATCCAGAGACAGACATCTCCCCAAACTCTTGGCTTAAAAAAAAAATAAAAAAGACTGCGAACAATTTGGAGGCATTCTACTGATTACAAATACCTTTCTTTTGGCTTGTCATCATCTCAGTGATTCATTTCTATCGGCAGCTGTTGAATGCAAGACTCTCTTCCCACATCTAAAATTCTAATATATCTAGAAGTTAGAGTTGATGAGTGCTATTACTTTGCACACTTATTTACATGTAAGAATCTATTGCTCACCAGTGACAGCTTTACATTCTTTCAAATGGAGGTCATATCACATCTAGACAATCCATGAAATCACCACATGGTGATTTTACTATTATGTCACAAAAATAACACTTGGGGGCCTAGTCTCCTGACAGTTCTAAAGTTAAATATCAGTAGACTTTGCAGCCACTTTAGATGTAATATTTATATTTTAATTCAAGGAATAATATGCAGGAGCTGTTATTTATGTTGAATATACTGATTGTTCAAAAACAACAAAATCTATGCAAAACTTCCATTATGTGTTCATTCACATTCTGTGATCCTGAGTCAAGAAGAAAATGGAAAGAATGGATTTATTTTGGGCAATATTGTGAATACAGTTGAATTACTTCTATGGATTTTTACATCTGCTTGCAAATACACACTAAATAACCTTGTCCTATAGAATTTCAAAGACTGAAAATGGATTTTTTTCAGAGAATTTTGAAAGGGCATGCAAAGTAGTGATTTGATAGCCTTTATACAACCAGCTTTAAATTTTACAGCATTTTTATTCATAATGATTAGATGTTGCTTTCTTTGATTATTAGAATATTTCTGCTGAAATGAACCATGGAAAGATGTCTTACTTTTAGAGCTCTTGACTCAATATTGTAACTTAAATTTCTATGAATATTAGTATTTTCAGAAAAAGAGAAGGAAGCATTCATGGACCATCTGCAAGTTCCAAATGCTGCCCTCCCCTTCTTTTCCCCTTGCATGGCTTCTGCTGCCCTCCCCTTCTTTTCCCCCTACATGGCTTCTGCATCTGCATTTCAGACATATATTAAAACTAGTAAATGGGTTTCACTGCTGACTATAGCATTATCATCTGCAGCATCTGCAGGGATTGCAGTGTCACAACGGAAAGTGCGTCAGATCAGTGATCCTATTCAACAGATTCTGATTCAGCTGCACAAGATCATTTACATCACCCAGGTATGTTCTGATGATGCTGTTTCAATGTGGATCAACTGTTAATTGCTGTTGTTCAATACACACAACTGTAATTTCCATTCTCACAAGGATAGTTTAAATTAGGGGGAAAGCCATAAGATTCATTTCCTTAGTGCCCCTAACAGTTGGTAAAGTTACTTACTGCCTCCACTGCACAGTAGCCTTCTAAAAACAGTAGCTAAGGTACTGGAGTACCCTTGTAATGTGATACTGCTTGCAACCATCAGTCCTGTGTATTCCATTCTAAACTATCAGAAAGCAACAGGCTCCAAAGTATGTGTTTGTTTTCTAAGTATTTTCATGCCCGCCCCAATTCACCTGGAATTCATGCTGCTGTTCAGTCTATACTGCTGCCTTCTGCATGTTCAATCTAGTGGTGGCCGTAACTACCCTAGAGTTTCTCTCCAGTAGTTGCCAGTACTTTTCCCTTTCACTATAACCACTGAAGTAAGACTTCGTGAACATTCAACAACAAAAAATCTGACACAGATACAAGCATTCATTTCTATCCAACAGATTGGCTATTATTTCTTTCCTTATAACATGTTTCTGGTGTTTAGTTTTATGAGTGAACTTGGACTAAAACAAATAAATTAAGGCTATTTTTACTTGGGAAAATGAGGTCATTGGGACATAACAAAACAAATGACAACATTTAATTATGACAGTTTCCTCTGGAAAATAAACAAAAATCAGGGGTCTTATCATAAAGTTTTCAAACTCATAATTTGGATTAATCTGTTACTAGTAGTGGTTCAAGCTCTTTCAGAGAAGGCTCGTTTATTATTGGAAAGGCTAGAAAGCTGTCACCTGTCCTCAGGATATTTATTTATTTATTTTATTATTAAATTTGTATTCCACAACCAATTAGCCCAACCAGACACCCTAGTCAGATTGCAAATGTTTCAAATTTATTTCATCTTGTAAACTCTTTTTTTTTTAAATCCTTAGGATGGCAGTGTTGAAAGGCTAAGGTATGGGGCTAAATGGCAGCCCCAGACCTCTTTTTGCTAAATATCAAGTCGAGAAGTTTCTTGTTGGATTAATCTGCCTAGGGACATTTCAGGAGAGAGAAAAGGAAAAAACACTGTTCCCCCCTCCTACACCATTTGTTTTTTATAGCACTAAAGAGCTCAGTTCAGGGTTGTTTTCAATACTGAATTCGACTACTATGTTGGAAGGGTGGCCCTTTATCCTGGCACTTTAATCTGGTTCATGCACGAAACATGTTCCAACCTGTTGTGCAGATGCCATTTCTGCCTCTAAATTCCACAGTTCCCCAAACCATTTTTATGACTTTTTGCCTGCAGTTTCCCTGCACTATTAAGACGTGTTGCAGCCTAACAATATGTGAAAACTTTGAAGCTATAGGACCTAGTTTGCAGCCTTTCCATGTACCTTCTTTATACCACCTCATATATTTCACCATCTTTACCCCTTCATGACTTTCTCCTCCCCTTGTGCCCTGTTTTCATGGGATTTGCAGGCAGGAAAATGCAAGCAAAAGCAAACACCAAAAGTGGCACCCTGACTTCCTAACCTTCTTCTCCTACAACTTCCCCCTCCTCTGTGATTTATTTGTGAGAAGGGGAGAATGACTGCACATACACAGTGTTACACAGCTGTGAATTACTGTGCAATTTGTTTTTAAACCTCAGTTGCTGTGCACCATCAAAGTTTTGCATGCAGTGAGCAGACTCAGAAAGAAAGACAAAGTTAACTGAAACAGCAGTATGCCCTCTTCTTTTTCTCAGTTGCTGCATGGTGCTGAAGCTTTCATCATGTACTTATGCTACAGACACAAACAATACAATATTCATGACCTTTTGAACTAATCCTACTTCTCCCACAACCAGAACATCATGCTTTTGTGTGTAACACTTTTCATTATAAGCACACTGTATACTGCTGTATTCATTAGTGTGTGCCCCAGAATAGCTATAGCACTTGGAAAAAAAAATACCTGCACAGCGGTACCTTGCACACAAAAGTCTCTAGTGTAGAACCTCCCAGGGAGAGCTTTATGGAGAGTGGCAAACAAAATGTGTTATTTTCTTTTGTTCCATCATGAAAACTCTCCATATGTCGCAACTAGGAAAAATGTTTAACTTTATGCTGCACAACTATACAACCTATTCCTTCATCCCAGTTGTTGGGATGTGCCATAGCTCTGGTTCTCTCCATCCTTTTCCTTTGCCACAAATAGCCTTAGTTGCCCTGAATGTTTCATGTTTCTTGGAAGTCACCTAACACACTTAGTCCTCAGTGAGAACTATTTTGCTTTGGTTTTTCTTATTTTAGTTTACAAAGTTCCAAAGTGTGCCGAGACCAATATCTTGTTTGAGGTGGTCTCATTTCACTAACCTTAACCTAACCCTATGCACATGACCACTAAGCTCAGTATTAGAAGTGGAACTATAATAAAATGCTTATTTTTACATCTTATGACAAAAGCTCTTGTTCATGGTTTGACTGGTTCTGTAACAGGATCCTAGTAGTTCAGTTCTGGTCTTTGGGAACATTTCAGAATACGGGGATGAGAAATGGTCACCTTTTTCTGTCCCTCTACCTTTGCTTCAGGGCTCAGGTTTGAGACAGGTGGGTGCCAGACCCCACAGTTGTGGTGGTTCTGGAAAGGGGGAAATATGCCCTTTTCCTCATTCTTTCCTCCTGAAAACATCCCTATTTAGTGCAAGGGGAGGACATTTATAATCTCACAGGTTGCATCCCCCAAACGTACGCCCATGCCCTACTACAATAAGTATTATAAGTTCTTAGGAGCTTGAGCAGGCCAATTGGCTCTTCTTACCCCTCACATTCTGTTCTTCCCACCCTCAACTAACGTGTCAGGCTTTTTATGTGCATTCAGAGTAGTGATTAAAAAGCAGTTCTTCTACAGCAGAAGGCCTAATGAAATAGTAGAGAGGAAAAGAAGGTCAGAGGAATGTCAAGCTGCCATGTTCTGTGTCAACAAGCACTTCCTTCGAATTACTACCTCCTGCTAGGCCTCTTCTATACTTTCCTGTATATCCTGGCATGTCACCTTTATTCTTACCAAGGCTACACACAGTACTGAGTGGTAAGCCTCACTTAACACAGTGGGCCTTTCCTTGAGTACATATGCATAAATAGCCTCTCTATATCCTAAATTAGCTAGTACGTTCAAAATGCAGAAAGCACATCTGAATTTACTGGCATCCCAGTCCAGCTCATAACCACACCTTTGCCCTGTATCTCTTCATTATCTTTAGTCTTCTATTCAGCCAGCTTTCCTTTACGCCTTTGTGGTCATCCTGTTATTCATATTCTTGATGTTTCTTTTGTTCATGACCTCTTCGTTGCTAGGCCAGTCTTATCACATGTTGTAAGATTTCTTACTTCCCCTGTTTGTATCTTAAACCTATTTACTTTTTTATCAAGTTTTATCAGCTTCCCTCTTTTGAATGATTTTTTTTTTCACCTCAAGGGCAGGGGGGTCATGCTGGCAAGATAATATAATACATCCAGACCTCCTCTATAATGTATTTGTTAGTTCTATAACAAATATCCTCTCTTATTAATCTCACTGATTCTCTCTGAATTAAAATGAACCCAAGTATCATTACAGGTCCATCATGATGGCACCTAAGTTGCAGCATAATATATAAAGCATCCTTCAATTTAATGACATAGATAGTGAGAGGAGACATTTACCAAGATTAAGATATCTGCTATCCTCAGGGAGGAGTTTTATTTTTATAGATTGGTATGTAGACTTTTGTAGGCTGGCATGACTCAAAGGGAATCGTTCCTTCCAAAGCTGAAGTTGGGAATGTGTTTGAAATTTCTTCAGAGGCTTGGCGAAACACATATTAATGAGGTAAGATTCCATACTAAACTGCCTTTTCTATTACAGGAGTAAGAAATCTTTCTCTTTACATCCCTATAATTTTGGGGAAATTCTGTAATAAACACTCCTCTTGACCATTGTTTATTCTACATGGGCTCTAAGCCATTTAACATATGAATTTTCACATATATTACATAATTTGCATTCGCTGAAATCATAATATTCTAGATGTTGTGATAAAATTGATAGGATAGCACAGGACATTGTTTTCTACCTGTATATCTATACATGGCAGCCACATGGGTAGAAAACAATGCCCTGTGTGTTATGCTATGCATTTGACAACATCTGAAGTAGTGCTACTAATTGTATATTTATGCTTTATTAGGCACCCTATAAATATTGAAATTCAGTTTTATTTATCGGTCAAGAGATATTTGTTGTCACAGGAAATTTCAAAATAGACGTAGACAAGCTTTACAATGTAGAAATACAGCTTCAAATATCCTTGAATGTGGATATTTGTGACAGAATTTGGAAGAGAGCTAAATTTGCATCTAAAGGGCAAGTAGGAAACCATGGACAGCAAATATTTAGAGCTTTCCACTTGTAAAAGCAATATTGAGGTGAAGTGGGGAGGAGCCAACCCGAATTTGTTGATCTTTCTGCCCTTGACTGATGATATTTAGTTGACAATGAGTATTGGGCAGTTCCATCCAACACAATATTTTGTCTGTTAATCAAGCCTTTTATAGACCTCCCTCCCTCCCTCCCTCCCTCCCTCCCTCTCTCTCTCTCTCTCTCTCTCTCTCTCTCACACACACACACACACACACACACACACACACACACACACAGCAGGTTTCCCCCCATTGAACTAATCTCCCAGCTCACTGAACTTTCCAATGAATTGGGGAATCTTTACGCTTGATTCTTTCCTGACTTTAAAATAGTAATATAGAGAATTAGAAGTTCAGTGACCAATCTCAGGATCCTTTAAAGACTTCTTTCCTTCCCTTTTTGTAGCCGCTCATGTGGACAGGACCCTTTAAAACATGTAGGATGTTTATTTAAAGGTATCAGTTGTGGATCATCTTTAACAAGCAAAAAATAAGTCCATAAGGGGAGAGATCTCATTGTTAGTTCTGGGCTTCCAACAGCCTTTCCCATACTGTTTCTATGGCAACAGGTTTCATTCGGATCTCATAAAAATCATGTATGCTTTTAAAAAATGGTTATGTAAACCCCCTTACCTTATTTCCACTTTTTTGAGATAGAAGCACAATGACTTTGCACAATTTTCTTTGCAGGCAGTTGGCCTCATAGCCTCCTTTTCTGCTACCAAGGTCTTCAGTTTGAGTAGGGATCTTTGTCTTTCCACCATGTCATGCCTTTGGATACTCAGATCTCTTTGGCATGACATATATTCTTGAGTGACTAACAAATGTTGGTGGCTTGCAAGAGTTCAAGCCAAAACATTCCAATATGGATTTCCCCCCATAAACGGCATGTAGCTGCAGTGCTGTGAAGAAGTATTCACACACACCACTCTGTCTTTTCCACATTTTGATGGTTATAACCTGGAACTGAAATAGATTAATTAGCATTGCTAGCACCTGATAGACAAAAGTTACTGAATACTGTGGAGACAATATGTTTATTGCAGCACAAAAATGAAGTAAATAAAAACAAACTGGCACTTGTTTGTTGCATAGGTATTCACCCCATTTGCTTTGACATGGGACCCGGTCTTCTCTTCTCAGGGCTGAACATGCCCAGTTCTCTTAGTCTTTCCTCATTGGGCAGTGTTTTCAAATCTTGGATCATTTTTGTTACCCTTTCTCATTTTTCTGCATCTTTCTTAAATCTTGGTGCCTAAAACTGGATACAGTATTCCAGATGGGGTCTGACTAGTGACGAATATAGAGGAGCCACTACTTCTCATGATTTGGAAGTAATACTTCTATTAATGCATCCCAAAATAGCATTTGCCCTTTTTGCAGTTGCATTGCATTGTTGGCTCATATTTAGCCTTTTGTCCACAATTACTCCGAGGGACTGCAGGTGGCGCAGTGGTTTAAACCACTTTGCTGCTGGGCTGGTTGATCGAGAGGTCGCCGGTTCGAATCTGCACAACGGGGTGAGTTCCCGTTGCTCCGTTCCAGCTCCTGCCAACCTTGCAGTTCGAAAGCATGCAAATGCAAGTAGATAAAAAGGTACCACTTTGGTGGGCAGGTAACAGCGTTCTGTGCACTTTGGTGTTTAGCCATGCCGGCCACATGACCACAGAGACTGTCTGCGGACAAACACTGGCACCCTCAGCTAGGAAACGGAGATGAGCACCGCCCCCTAGAGTCAGGCACGGCTGGACTTAATGTCAAGGGGAAACCTTTACCTTTTACTCCGAGGTCTGTCTCTTTTTCAGTTCTGTTGAGCCACATATTCCCCATCTTGTATTGATGCATTTGGTTTCTCTTTTCAAGGTGGAGGGCTTGCCATTTGTCCCTACTGAATTTCATTTTGTTGTTCTCTGATAGCATTCTAACCTATCAAGATCTCCCTGTATCTTATCTCTGTCTTCCAGGAATATTTGCTGTCCCCCACCCCACAAACTTTGTGTCATCTGCACATCTGATTATCTTTCCATGTACTTCTTCATCTAAATCATTAATAAAGTTGTTGAGGACTGAACCCTGTGGCACCCCACTACTAGTTACTCCCATCCAGTTTGAGAAGGCGCCATTGACGACTACTCTTTGTGTCCAATTTAGCAGTCAATTTTGGACCCACCTATTAGTTTTTCTATCTAGTCCACTTTTTGCTAAGTTGCTTATGAGAATGTTGTGGGGTACTTTAAGCTTTGCTAAAGTCTAGGTAGATTATGCCCACAGTGCTCTCCTCTGTCCATTTAGAAGGTTACCCTGTTGAAAAATGAGATTAAATTAGTCTGAGAAGATCTATTTTTTATAAATCCATGTTGGTTTCTATTAATAAATGCATTTTCTTCAAGATGCTTGCAGACTGGTTTTTTAAATAATTTTATCCAGAATTTTTCCAGATATTCTCAGACTAACTGGTCCATAGTTCCCAGATTCATCTTTTTTCCACTTTTTGAAGATAGGGAAAATGTTAGCCCTTCTCCAGTTGTCTGGCACTTCTGTTTTCCAAGATTTATTGAAGATAACAGCCAGTGGTTCTGAGAGTTCCTGTGCTAGCTGTTTTATGATTCTGGGATGGAGTTCATTGGGCCCTGGAGAGTCATTATTTTTTCTAGGTATTCCTTGACCATTTGTCTGTCAATCTTGGGTTGCCATCTCTCACTTTCAGTTCGACATAGAAGAAGATAAACAATTCTGAGATAAAGTTGTGCAGAAGCACCTATCAGTGTTGAGTTATATTTAAAAAAATAATAGCCCAGACCATGAACATACTCGAAGACATCATTAAATTCATTATTACGACATGGAAAGAATATGGCTCAACCACAACTCTGCCTAGGAAAGGTTTCCATTAAAATTCAGTAACTGCATAAGGTGGGCATTAGTTGAAGCAACCAAGAGGTCACGGGTAACTCTGAAGAGGCGGGAGAAATCATCCATGACAGCAATCACCCAGATACTCTACAAAGTTGGGCTTTATGGAAGGGTGGTAGGAAAAAGCCATTGTTGAAACAAGGCTGTATCAAACCCATTTGGAGTTTGCAAAAACAAAACAAAACATGTGGGAGACATAGCAAGTGTAGAAATGGGTGCTTTGGTCTGATGAGACCAAAACTGGACTTCTTGGTCTGGCTGCAAAATGCTGTGTGTGGGACAAAGCTGACAGTTGTCTGCCCTGAGAACATCCCCACAGTGGAGCATAGTGGTGCACCCTTATGTGGGGGGGATGCTTTTCCTCAGCAGAGACTGAGAAAGTGATCAGGACTGAGGGCACAATGGAGGTTCACAGTGGGCACAACTACAGGCAAAGTTTCACCTTCCAGCAGGGCCATGATTACACCTGTAGCCGACACTGGGATGATTTAGAGACAAGAACCTGAATGTCTCAGAATGGCCCAGTCAAAGCCCAGGCCTCAATCCAATTGAGAATCTGTGGCAAGACCTTGAAGCTTGTCATCCTCCAACCTGAAAGAGTTGGAGCAGTCTTGTCAGGAAGAATAAATCATTGTAGGATCCAGATTTGCAAAGTTGTTGAAGACTCCCTCAGGAAGACTCACAGCTGTAATTTCTGCCAAAGGGCTTCTACCAAGTTTTGACTTGGGGAGAATATGTATGGAACTATTAAGTGCTGGTGTTGTGTTTTTGTTAGTTGTTTATTTCAGATGAGGAGGGAGCAACTCCATTATCTCTTCCCAGCAAAGGGAATAGGGCTCTTTTGCATCATGGTTGCTGTTCGGCACTTGATCAGTTTCCCTTAGCCTGGCTACTATTCAGAGTAAACCAGCCTGCAGGTGGTCCCAGCAGCCAGGGTGCATGATTCTCTACCACATAATGGGTATCAGTGCGTCACCTTCTGGCACCACCATAACAGTCACACGTGCATCACAATACATCACATATATATTCAGTTTACATTACAACATAAGCAAAAAAGCAGATAGCTGCCACAGAGAGTTCGTAATATAGCTTGACAATGTAGGGGACAGAAGAAGCCAAGTGTTAATTAGCACACAGTAATATGAGCAAATGCAATGACATGAACAAAGACCTTGTTCTTTAAATTTGCATCCTACTTTTCTTTCTGGATGGAAAGGAAAGTAAATCATTATGCAAATACATGTTGAAGTAATTTCTGATACTGAGTTTTCCACACTAGTCTACAAGAGTAGTTCAGTCCTACATTTAACATTGTATGTGTTGGGAAGTTCCCAGTTCAAATGTTGCTCTGCTGTGAACTTAAGTAGCCCTAGGCAAGCTGCAATTTCATAGCCTAAGCCTTCCAGTGGCAGCAGGGGAGTAATAAAACTAAGCAGCTTTCCAACTTTGCTGTAAGATTACTGAATTCATGCATACGAAGTGTTTTTAACGCACTGAAATACCATATAAATTAGCAGTAGCAGTTGCTGCGGTAACAACAGTGACATTTCTGCCCTAAGAATAACAGGGAGCTAAATGTATAAGTAATGTAAGCCAACTAAGGGGGTGCAAGAATTAAATCCTAACTGTCCTTTACTCAAAAGTTTTCATGTTTGCTCACTGCTTTGCTAGTCATCAATGCGTAATTGTTTTCATATTACTGTTTAGAATATAAAGTGTATGAAGGGTTATGGTAACTGTTTCTCCACCTTCAAACAGCTTCCACCAACTTTGCACTGCAACTTGAAAAGACGAGTCATTGAGAGATTCAAGAAATCCCTATTCAGTCAGCAGAGTAATCCATGTAACTTGAAGTCTGAAATGAAAAAGGTGCAGTATTCTAAAAAAATCACTCCCAAGGTGATAGTTTTTCTCCTGTTGTTTCCAATGTGGACCACATATTTAGAGGGAAGTGTTTTTCAGAGTGCCAGGAAATAGTTGTAGAGATTAAATAAGATGCTTGACAATTCCATATGCTGATCTTCATGTTTTCTTTATTAAGAATAGATACCCATGGCTACAAACTCACCAGAAAATTTGGCAAAATTTTGAAAGTGATTCAACTTTCATTTCAATGTTTCTCCTTATTAGAGTGGGGGAAATAAGAATAATAAGTTGCCTGATTTTATTTTAAAAAGTTAAAAACTTAAAAGCATATATTTACTGTCACTGGTGATTAGAGGATTGTCTTTCATGGATGTGATCCAAAAGTGTTGAAGAACAAAATCCCAAAAATGCCAAACCCTCAGTACATAATTTTCATGTAATTTCTCATTTATCTGTATCTAATCAATACATCCTATTCATCGTAACAAATAGAAATGTCTTGGGTGAATCAGAGCTGTAGAAACAGACAGAGAGAAGGAAAAGGAGATGCATTCAGGGGCTAAAAAAAGGCAGAGCTATGCCCATTGAAAATTGAACCAGAAAGCACATAAGCTTCAAATGTGCTTTGGCATTAATTCAGATCTTGACTTTCCAGTTATAGTATTCTAGTGAGTATTATGAGATATGGATCTGTTTGTGAATCTACGTTGTGGTTTCTATCTAGTACAGAACAATGATATGTGGATGATGTGGATAAGACACCAATAGCCCCTTTTGGTATATGTCCATAGTACAATATTTTTCCAGTTGTCTTAACAGAGGCAACTCACAATGTATTCCATTTAGTGGTACACCTAGGGCTGGACCTTGGGGTCAGACCCCAAGGCTCCACAGTCCGAGAACCCTCCAAATGAACCTCCAGAAATCCACAAGTGATGGGAGTAGTGGCAAAAAGGCTTGATGGAAACACCTGGACTATCAGGAACATGTCAGGGTCTACCAGAGCTGATGCTGAATGGTACAATATTTCTTATCTTAAACCACAGTTAATAAGTTGACTGTCTAGGCTTTTATATTGGTACAGTTGCTTGTTTTATAATTTTTGAGTTTTGAAATATCTTGGTCTGCACCTAAATGGAGCTAATTCCTAAGTAAGCAGTTAAAGGTAGGACAGTTTAGAGGGCATTCATCACAGGGTTGTCATAAGGCAGAGATAACTTAGTGGCATATAAAACAACAACATTCATTCCTGTAGTCATGATGGTGCCAAAGGAATATATTTTATTTCCCCTGGATTCAAAGTAGGATGACCAGCTAACAAACACCCTGAAGAAGTTTTTGCTTGGCTTTGCAGGATAACTGTAGCATTAACAAACACTCCAGCATTAGCTTGCCTTTTGTCTGGTTGGTCATAGAAGTATGTTGCATGAACCTATAGACAAATCATCAATTTGTCTTATGTTCCAATCAAAAAGGATAATTTCCCCTTCTACCAACTGAATTATTTTTGGTGTGTTAACTGATGCACCATTATTTCGTTACTGTTATGATTCTGCTTTTATTTTGTATTTTATTTTCTTGTATTTTGTTGGTTTTATTTTAATCCATTTTTGATTTTTACTTTTAAAAAGGAATAAAAATATAAAATAAGTTGTGCAAAGAATTACCCAATGGAACAATTGTTCTTCATATGCAGCAATAGTAGGAGCTTTGGACACACAGGCCTATTCCAAATTCTGTTACTTGTGCAGATCAGAAGATCTACTTTCACGTGTGCTGCCGCATCCTGTGCCATGACCAAAGCACAGGACAAATGAACATACACCTTTCCATACAAATGTTTCTGAACATGGAGCATCTGTGCCCTGTGGTTGATTATTATATTGTTTTATACTGCACTTATTATTGTGAGCCGCCCCAAGGCTTCGGCGAATGGGGTGGCATAGAGGCCTTCTTAATTAATTAATTAATTAATTAATTCTGCCCTTGGGAATAATGAGCAAATACAGACTTGTTGCACTTTCTGGATTGGGGCCTGCATGTTGATTGAAAAATAAAATTAAGTGTTCTTTTTTGTTCCTATGTTGCAAGAGGTTAGTGCTGCAGAATTTAATTTTCTTTGGATTGGAAATGAATGGATACTGATGGTGTCTTTGTAATATAGATTTTATTTTACAAATATATAAGCAGAATATAATAGAAATCTCTGTTGTAAGTGGGAAATCCACCAACCCTGAAAAGGATTCCCAGAGAGAGCTCCCTTTATCAAGTTATGTAATCTTTAGCCAACTCGCATCTAGAGTTGGCCCCTTTAGCCAACTCTCTTCATTCATTTTCCTTCTTGCTCAAATCAAGAACTGCAAAACTATTCCCAGGCTGTTTCTCTGCCCCCTTAATGAAAGGTTTAGTAGTGGGAACCTTTATTAGCATAACAATACAAATCTACATAAATCCACAAAGTCCAGTAGAGATACCCCAGACACAGCATTGCTAATGGGCACATGAAGGGTTTCATCATGTAGATACTTCTTTGGTAGATGTAACTTTAGTAGCTACTACATACCCAAGTTGGAGAAAAGGTTCCAGGTTTCCAAGTTATCATTAGCACCCATTGATCAAGCATCAGTAGTAGTAGTAACTCATTTTCCTCTGAAAAGTTAGAGAAAATTAGTTACTTGAATGGCAACTAGAGGCTTTTCATCTTCTTGATAATTTTCATTATTCTCTGTTTAAATAGTATGTTTGGATTCTAATTGTGTAATCCTATACGTATTTAGTGAGAAAAAGGTCCTACAACTTTGTAGGCATGGCTGTCTGGGGAATGCTGGGAGTAGTAGGATGTCTTTGTTTCTAAACATGCATAGAATTGTGCCTCAAACTAACAAAAAACCACCTAGAAATTTTCCTGTGGAGCTGTAATAGCAGGGTGACTGAACTATATAATTAAGAATGGGTGCATTTCCACAGTTTTTCTCTGCTGCCTGTGTTAAATACAGTTGGGAACTTTTAATTTGGTAACTGAAAATGACAGAACAATGACTTTAGCTCAGAGCTGTAAATTGAAGCTTATAGTGTATAATATAAAAACCTTCTACCAATTTACATTTGCAGAAATCTATTCACCTGGCTGAAACCAGCCAGTGCTTGGATTAGTACCTGTCACTTTAAGGATTAGAAATGTTCTCCTTTATTTCATCTGCTGTGACAGTTGTCACTTTTCTAAGGAAATCAAAAGGACAGAAGCAGTCTGGAGGAATCAAAATGGCTGAAATCACACATACATTAGTGGTTTCAAATATTGTACTGTGATGAAAATTAGACCAGTGCCCATTTGTATGCTCTGTGAAACCTAGTATTCAGGACACATTTACTGTATTTGCCCTATAGATTTGTGACAGATCTTCATCCCCCTTATAGCAACAATCCTTAAAACATGACTCTGCATCAAAGAAGATGCAATGGATGTTTGGTAGTATGCATGGTGTACAGCCTCTTGGGAAAATGTTAGCAACCTTAACTTTCAGTTTTGTCCTCTCCTTAAGGAAAGGAATGTTGTTGTTGCTTTTTCAAGTCATCATGGTTTCAAAGATAAGTTTGATAATGCAGGTGCATTACATGTGTGGCAGAAATACCAAGACAATTGTTAAGAAAACTTGAATCCTTTTTTGTTTTTCTATGAGTTCTGCGATCAGTTATTACATTGTTAAAGTTCTTGTGCTTTATATGAAAATCTGTGTGAAGGAAAATATGTAATTTTGAACAATTAACTCCACTGTTTCCCATCAAGAAATTGGTTTTGATTTTCTCCTACCCTACAGTTTAATCCAAGTTGGTACACTTTTTAAAATATTAATTATACTGAATAATGTTATGGATTCAGTTTTCTCTTAAGAAAAATTGTTTGAATGCAGCTTTAATTTTAATTTTAACATACCTTGTTTATTTTACCAATGTATAACTTTACTCTTCAGTGTTAAGAATTCCAGAGAAATGTGCAGCAGCAACACAGTTATGCTTAACATCTCAAAGCAAAGTAGAATTTGAAACAGCAGTAGCCATAAAATTAATAGCATGTCAGATAAAGGAGAGGTTCAGGCAGCTTGTATAAAAGTTCTCAACAGATTATATCAAAACACCATTCCTTAAAACAAAAGGTTGGGTAACAAAAAATTAGTCTTGATCTAGCATGTTAACATAAGGAAGCAATAGGAGGTTATCTCTAAGGAAGATAGTCCTTAAGCTTTTTGAATTCAAAACCTTTACTGCATCATGAAACTGCCCTTCTTTTTCAAATGCTAGCTATAGGTATATTTAGAATTAGTGTTTATAAAATAAAAAGGCCGCAGAATATGCATGAAAGGTTTATAGTTCTAGATGCTGTTCCTCAAACTTTTGCTCCAACCCCTCACTCCTCCTTCGCTTATTCAACTTTCTGTACACCACAACTCCATTTTAAACTTATCCCATACACCCTACAACTGCATTTTAAACTCTCCACTGTTATGACTGCAGGAATAAAAATCAAGTTTGTTTTGCCTATCTAATGCTAAGCACATTTATTTTGGGAACAGTTACCATTTTCTTGTAGAAATAAATAATATATGTTTAAAGTAAAAATAATGAGAGTATTTATACAGGCCCAGTCAACTTCCTGCTGATTTTAAATGTTTGGTAAAAATAAGATCAGATGCTGTGATGAACAGCATCAGCCCTGGTTGGCCTGTGCTGGCCCAGGGGCTGACATTGGGCCTATTCCATCACCTGCTGCTCTCTGGGTGATCATTTGGGGGGTGGGGGGCATCCTCAGCATGTATTAGGGCATCCTTCCCTCCCTGGAACTTCTATCTCGCCTCCAGGTGTCTATTCTCTACAATAGAAGCCTATCCTAAAATTTGAGAGCTACAATGTTTGGGGCAAGATACAAATTATGTTAATAATAGCTATGCAATTTAGTTTACATTTTCTGGTTCAAGTTCTTCTACTGTAGACCCCTAGTTCTAAGTTTACTATCAATGATCTCAAATATTTATGCAGGAAAAGGAATGGGGTTGACTTTTATGCTTGACCTATTTTTCAGCTTCTCCAAGGTTCTCCAGAGCTGATTGAGCCTACCTTTTCAACATCAGATTGCCACTTATTGCTTCATTCTTCAGGGGGAAATAGTTTTGTTCTAGATGATAGACTAGGTAAGTTGAAAAAAGCCATGTTGCTTGACCTTTCCCATTCACTGTTGACATTAACAATATATAATGAATGCAACTTAATATTACTGAGTACATATTTAGCACTAGCAGAGGCTTAAGTGACCTCTGAGGTTTTACCAACTTCAGTGGAAATACTATATGCAACTGTACTAGGCTGGAGATACTTTTGCTTGGCCATAGTAGGAAATTACCAGAGTTTCCAGTGCAAAAAAAAAATGTCCACATTGCTACCTAACCTACTGCATTTTCATTTCTGATTCCTTACATGGCCATGAAAACAGAATAGTCATTTCAAGAGAGGTGCTCATAAATATTCAGATATAAATAGTAGGCATTTCCCTTAACTAAAATGGAGGGAGTCTACATTTATTAAAAATGCTTATGCAGTTAAATTGTGTTGAAAGGAACTGGAAAGCTAATCCACCTACAACAACTTCCTCAACTCTGGTGACATTTAGATATTTTGGGTTGGCTACATGGACTAGAAGCTGAAGTTCAAATGATCTGGAGAGGACCAGGATGTGGAAGGCTGCTCTATAGAATGTACACACTTGGGGCCTCCCAAACTGAGAACAACTCACTGGATTGGTACAAATGTCTAACTGTTGCTCCTTTCAATGTGTATTTTATCTTTTGTAACTGCCTTTGGTTCTCACTTTAGTGAATTATGCATGTTAACAAAAGGAATTGTGTGTGGAAGGTGCTTTTCTGTTTCCCATATCTAAAAATCTTTTAGTAATGCATAGAATTAGGGTCCATTGTTTGGATTTGGTTTTGCAGTATGCTTTACCATAAAACAATCACTTCATCTACTTCATCTCTGTTTTGTGGTGTTTCCCATTGTGAAACCAGAATATCCATTCAGTTATCCAGGATGAACTGATGTCATTTATTCTTAGGTCTTCCTAGCAAGATTGACATGGAGAAAGGAATGACATATGAACAAATGCAGGTCAGATATTACATTTAGTTTTATAATTCCTTTTAGTTCCTTTTTATTATCACATAATGAAACTGAATGTACTTTTGCAGACTGTGATTGAAGAAGTTCTGGAAGAAGTTGGATATTACAATTTTACCTCAAATAGGTGAGTTTAATTTCAAAATGTGAATAGACCCAACTTTTAATTGAGTTTTCTAATTAGAGCAGTCCACTGATGTATAGCATTTTAGCCAGTATTCTTTGATGGCCACAGCTGCTGCATTCTGACAGAATGAAAACACAATACTTCATGGCAGTTTTCTCTTTTTATTTCCCCCCCTTTGGGAAAATCAAACATACAGTGAAAAGCACTTCTCTTCTATACTTTTTGATAGATGTGACTTTTGGAAAACAAAGATTAATTTAAAATCCTGGGCTATACACTGGTCAAATTGGTACATGTTGGGGGATATCACACAAAGGGAGTTAGTATAACAAAGCAAAGGGTAGATTTAAGTTACAAGTATTTGAAAGGAGCTGTTCAGCCATTGTGAATGTCACTGTCTTATACCATTCAACAACGGCATCTCTTTGACCAGCCCACTGCTGATGATCGCTGCAGTGTTAACATTAGCAACATAACTACATTTAGCAACTCCAGTCATTCCCAGACAGCATGCTGCCCTAACCAGTCAGTAAAAATAAAATATATGACTAGATCATCAAGTAACCAAACAGGTATTTCTCATGCTAAAATTAACACCTGTCTTGCTCAAATTCACATGTATTGATGGATAACAGGACACATTTCTATAAGGAAAAAGGCATATCTGGACATCTACTCCAGGCTTCTTGTTAGTCATATTGACCCTTTTAAGTATTAATCCCTTATCATTTCTACTGATTTCAGTAGTAATTCAGTCATCTGTTCTCAAAATGGAAGTATCCAGCACCATCCTCTCCGCTCTCTGCTAATACTTCTCTGTTATATGCCAGGCTGATAGTGTAATAGTCCTTTCTGACTCGGGTAGTTGTAAAGGCTATGGATGTTCTCATTCCATAGAAACAATTATCGTTTCTTTTTAGGTATCAGCACTATCCATGGGGAACAAGGAATCATCCATCCAGAAGATGAGCACCTGGAATTCTGACTAGACTAGCTTGTTTCCTAATGAGGTTTAAGTGCCTTGACTTCACCTGCTATTGACTTATTGCCAAAGGAATGCACTTTACTTAAAACAAAAAAATGAAAAGGCAGTTGGTTGTTCAGGGCAGTTTCCAAAGAGTTGTCCAAGCAGTAGAACTGTAGTCGACAACTTTGGAAGTAGACATTTGCACTGTATTTTTATCCTGCAAGATACATTTTGTGTGTAAAATGTAGACATTCTTCAGGTACCTGCATTAAGTTGGCAACACAATGTTCTCCAGTAATTATCTGTTTTTTATATATAATTTCAAATGAACTGATTAATACTCAGGATTGTTGAAAATATATCTTATTTTTATAGATTTTCTGGTATCAGAGATGTATCTTTCATTGTAAGAGTGTCTTTTGTAAGAAGAGAAAATCAAAATATTTATGTGGAGGGAACAAATAGTTAACAACTTTGCTACATCAGAGTTGGAAATTATCTCAAATTATTTTGAAAAGCAGATTATTTCTAAGTAGTTACATTAGATATAAAAGCCTTTGAGATAGTTGGAATTTCAACTACGAATTGGTATATTATACCGTATTTATAATTTGCACAAAGACTAATAACTGTTAAGTCTCAGAATTAAAGCTTACGGCATGCTTAAATTCAATAAATAGATAAATGGCTATGTCTATAATATGTACATAAGAAACTCCTAAAGTATATTCATATGCAAAGTCATATGTGTACACAGAAAATGTCAATATGTAAATAAATAGATAAATGTAATTAATGTTACTGCTACTCAGACTTGTAATACACAAAGCACTTCAGAAAATTTATGCATATTTTGAAAAATGGATTTTGCATATTTTGAAAAAACTGGATTTTGAACTTCGCCATTACTAAAACCATTCCCTCTTTGTCCTATCTTTTACCTATTCTAACCCACTTTGATCTAGCAATGTCATCATGATTCATTGATCAGTCCTAAAGGAACACTGGAAGTACTGAAAATGGCTCTGCCGGAGCACCATGCAGCAAAGATTTGCCAGTGTGTTATTTTAGACATGTCAGACCCTTTCCAAGGGAGTCCATCAGTGTCCCAGCAGTGTTTGCACATCCTCAACTCTCAGTGGAGTTCCCTGGATACTGTGACTGGCCAAGCTCTCATGTGCGTGGTGTTTTTGGAGTCACATTTCCTTATTTATGACAGAATTAGTGGACCCAAGGAACAGTTGTGGGATTAATATATGATTAACATCTCTGCCAAAGTAATATGTGCCAGGGCTTTGATCTGCCAGTGACAGGGAGAAGGTTGTTCCTTGTCTTTCTAAATAAAATTCAGGCCAGTAGATAGTAGCACACTAAGTTTGGGGTGGGGGGGGGAGAAATAGTAGCTGCACTTTCTCATATTTACAAATAGTTATTTGGATTAGAAGAGAGCTCGAGAGCAGAATTCTGCACACACTTTGGGACTTTCCTGATCAGCAGACCATCCTACTCCTTGAAAGCTATTCCTGAGGAACAAGGCTCATCTTGCTGAGCAATATCAAATATCACATAGGAGCCTGTAATGGAGAGAGGCTATCAGTAGAAATCAGTTTGACAAAAAGCTGTAAGAGTCCACCCCATTCTCTAATATACACAGAAACACTTATCCATCTGTTCTAGCTGACCAACCCAGAGATGCCTTTGCTGCCTTTGAAAAACATACCTCAGCATGCCTGGTGCTTTCAATTCTAAGCAAACATATGGCATACAATAAATTTCAGTGGAGTCCTGCTTCATACCATTACTGATATTGCAGTGAACTTAGGAACCTTTGTTTATGTAGAATTTTTTTGTTAAAAGCCACCAGCCAAATTCTGGTGCAATGATACTAGATTTAAAAGTACCATCTGTAATGCCCTGTGAAATACAAGCCATTTAACTGTGTGATTACATATTTTGAAATTGCAAATAATAAAGTATGCTGATTGCTTTAGAAATGTGTGTAATTATACTGGCAACTTTCAAAACTCAGCATTCATCAACTTGGGAACAGCAAAGTAATCACGGCATCTTACTATTTTTAGAATAGTAGACAGCACAAAGACTATGGTGTTTGCAGTGGCTCTCATTTCAAGTGGCAAACAGTGGAAAGAGACAAGAAACCAATACCTAAAAGGCCATAAAATCCTTCTGGTAATTCCCCCTCAAATACTGTTATGTCTGCCAATAACTGGGAGTCCTAATTTCTGTTTACATTGCTGTTTTGTTTTCAGATGTTGGCAGGAAACAATACAAAATGGCCTCTTTATAGTGTTGTGACTCTAGGGATGTTATTTCTTAATAGAGTAGGTAGATGGTTTTTTCCTGCTTAAATATACTACATCAGTAGATACTTGTAAGCATTTTTACTGACAAAATAGCCACTGCTAATTTTATCTCAGTTTTGCTGTGCTGTTGATTGAAGAGGTTATTTTGCCTAGCTATATACCAGTTGTAAATATGTTTTACCCGCTGAATAAGATACAATGATAGACAGCAAGATTTGGAGATCTTTCAGCTATCCATTATCTCACTGGCAAAAAGGGAGAAACTGGGCCTTTATAAATGAATCTGATTGCTAGATTACAATAATATATCAAAGTCCTCATTTCATTTTCTTATATTCATTAAAACAAAATCTCAGGTGCACAAGTTGCAAGGGGCAGCTGCTATATACACCAGTCTTTATATAGATGCAGCAATAAGTTGACATTTATGATTGTGGCAGCTGGAAAAAATGCCCCATAGCAGAAGGATGATAATGATAGTTACTGCAGCTGACTAATGCCTTCAGTCTAAGGAGCTCTACTATGGTTGTAAACTAAGAAGTCCTTACAGCCAAGGGAACAAGGTCCATGCCTGGAAGGGTTATAGCTTTTATTGAAGGTTTATGGTAGGCTGCATTCCAGGGCATCATATGGTAGGAGGACCTACAAGACAGCTTTCCACCCCTCCAGGTCCCAGGCCTGGACTGTATATAGCTCACTAAGAGTTGTCCAGTAATGCCAGCAAGGGACAACTAACATGGGTTAAAACTAATGTGGGCACAGGCAGGACTGAATGGAAAATGAATTTTCTAGGACAGGGTTGCACTCTCCCTAAAGGACAGAGTGCAAAGCTTGGGGGTACTCCTAGACACAGAGTTGTCCCTGGAGCACCTTTTATCAACTGCGGCTGATTTATCAGCTGCACCCCTATTAGGATAAGTGGAACCTAGCAATGGTAGTCTGTGCTCTGATAACCTCACATCTGTGGGGCTGTCCTTGAAAACAATCCAGAGATTTCAATTGATACAAAAGAGGGCAGCCCCTCTGTTGATAGGGACAGGCTGTCATGAATGCATCACCCCTGTTCTTTATCAACTGCACTGGTTACCAGTTGAAGTCTGGGCCCACTTTAAGGCACTCAGAATAATGTATAAAGCCCTAAACAACTTAAGACCTACATATTTAAAAGAACACCTCTTCCAGTATAAACCTACCCAGACCCTAAGATTATCTATGGAGGTCCTTCTCTGGGAGCTATCTTTAAAAGAAATAAGGAAGGTGGCCACAAGGGGAAGGGACTTATCAGCAGTGGCACCCCAATTATGGAATCAGCTCCCTAGGAAGGTGTGCCTGGCACTGACCCTTTACACATTTTGGCACCAGTTTAAAATCTTTTTATTTGCCCAGCATTTTAATTGCTGAATAGTAAGTTCTGCTTTTAGACTGGTTTTTATTATATGATGGCTGGTTGCTGTGGATCAGTTGTTATTTTGTTGTTGTAATTATTATTTACTTGGTTTATGGTGGTTTATTATACTTAAACATTTTAATGATTGTTATGTATATGTTTTGCATGTATGTTTCATGGTGTTTTAATCATTGTGCACTATTCTGAGAGTGTTCACTAAAGAATGGTTTATAAAAACTTTAAATAAATAAATGTTGCCCAAGAATGACATATTGGAGACAAATTTAGCATGTGTGATGGATATCAGGAAGCTTCTTCCAGACAAAAACAAAACTTTGTTTGAAAACTGTCACTTTTAGCAATGGTAGGATCACACCCTGTTGTAATGAGGCATTTACCACTACCCTCATGGAGCCACACTTAGAGAAATTAGACTACTATCCAATGTCTTCAAAGCATGAACCAACTGCAGAAATACACCCTGATAGCTACAAATCATCCGTAAATAAATTGCATGTCAATGACAATCTGGTATACATCAGGCTGGGCATTCATCCAATCAAGTCAAAGAGTAATAAATACCGAGAACTTGGAAAACGTTGATGGAAGCTGGTGACATGACAAAAAGGCTTTGGTGCTGGCATATGCAGCTTGTTCTGAACGTAAAGTGTCAATGAAGAATGCAATAAAGACAGGCTATAAAAGCAGTGACCAGCATGCAGATGGTAAGAAACAGTACAACACTGCTATGAACTGCAATCTCTCTCAAGGGTGTTTCTGAGGTTATACTATCCATGATATAGCTGATGCAGACACAACAAAGAAATTTTGGAAATAGATTTTATGGGGCAGGGAGTGGGGTGAAATCCATACAAGAATTTCCATTGCCTGGCTAGGAAAGGACAGGCAAGGAGATTACAGGCAAGGAGAAATGACAACAGATGATAGGATGTGATGTTTTAGTGTCACCAGATACACATTTAACACATGGGAAAAATCACTTCTGATTTGCAAAAGTAACACAACGTGACCACTTCACATCGTCAGAAAAAAGGATTGGCTGTTATTCAAGCCTCAGGTGGGGCACATGTGGAAATAGTTCAGAATGCTATGGAACTCCCAAGTTCTTTCATACAAATGTTGTACAGATGGTGGTGCCTAAATATTCTAATAATTATAAAAACAGGGCAATAATCATGAAATCATTTTTTCTTGAACATTATGACATTTTTCATGCACAGCCTCCAAGGTGAGGCCTATAGGATGACTGAACTGGTTGAGCTACAACAGTTGAAAGCTTTCTCCTTTTTGTGACCATATTTTTGGTTACCCATAATGTAACCAAGGATGTAACCAATCCTCTCCAAGGATTTTTCTTTTTTTGCTAGTTTAAAACTTATCAACAGCCCAAGGAAATTGCAAGTGTTGGTTCGATGAAAAACAATTCTATAGTAATAAAGTTGAAACATGTCAACACCCCTGTTTTAATTATTAAATATTTACTCTTTTGTCAGAAAGGTTTCCAAAGCACCTCACATATTTAATAACAAACAAGGCAGCTCCTACCCGAAGTCTTAAAATCTAAAAGACATAACACAAAAACAAAAGGAATGGGGAAGGGAAAGGCAAGCAGCAAATTCAGGTCACTACTTAAAGATAAGAAGTTCTCATAAATGACTAACCTGAATGGAAACAGTTCACAACTGAAGAGAGAGATGGTCGCTCGGAGGTGACGGAGGGCTTTTGCTATCCCATCTTCATCTTTGAGGCATTCTTTTGCTACCAGTCACTCAGTATCCTATCACATGTCGATGCATGTCATCAAAAATTTTATTTTGACTTGCATTCCCCAAGTTTTTATATATGGAAGAATGTTTCTGGTAAAATAGAACCAGTATGCTTTTCTGCAATTGATTTGGGATTACTCCTTATTTTGACTCCATTCATGAAAAAACACATTTGTAAAATAATCATAAAATGCATGAGTAAAGAAATCACAGGATCAAACTAAATGTGAATAAGTCTGCACCAGCAGATATCGTAGACACGTTCTTGCTGTTTTTAAAAGTGAATAGGTCCCCAAAAGGGATTCAGACCACAGGAGTGGACAAAGAGTTAAGCCTAGTTTTGTCAATGGCATCATATCTAGTTTGGTGCACTGTGGATATGCACGTACACCAATCAAAAGAAAAAAAAATATTTAACTTACAGTTACTGCTGGGTGATGTTACCTTGCATTGTTCATTTTTCTCCATATTTTGGTCCAATTCATCTTTCTTTAATATCAAAGTGGCTGTCAGATTTTTATTCACTCAAAATGTTTGCTTCAACTACCAATGTGCTCAGCAGAAGATAAAAACTTTATGCATTGAAAATTGTAAAGCAATATAACTTAAAGTTGATCCCTCCTCCTTTTAGAATTTGCTGTGAGTTAAAGTAATTTTCTCCCATTTCTCAGCCAAAGGGGGGGGGGTGTCCCCAGACAAAAATCAGGACAAAGACGAAGTGATGCAAAGGACAAAAGAAAATGTTTAATAGATTGTCAGGAGGGCTAGAGGAATGGCTCTGTTTCCCCTATTTTCTTTGCTCCTGCCTCCCTCATTCCTTCCCACAATCCACAAAGCAGTTGAGGCCTGTTAGCCCTGGGATGGGGTGGGGAAAACTAACTGGAGCAGTCCCTGATGTTTCTTTTACCTACTTAGTTCCTCAAATCATAAGGAACTAAGATGCCTATTGATCCTAAATGACCCATGATACTTGGCAAAGAGCAAACCTCCCACAGTTATTGTCGTATGTGGAAAATGAAATAGCCCAGTCCTGCCTCTTTGTTTCTTCCTCATAGTCTTTGCAGAGACACAGAAGAGGTAGTTCAAAAGTGCCATCACAGTCCTGAATGCTCCTGGTGTTGAGACAGGCTTTAAACAAGAGGCAGGCTCCCTTTGGATTACAAGGATGACATGTTTTCATGCTAAAGAATACATGCAGTCACTGGTGTATGTACAGGCAGTCCCCGAGTAATGAACATCTGAGTTACAACCAAGCCCATACTTATGAACAAACTGCCATAAAACCTATTGACTTTAAAAAAATTACTGCAGGAAATTGTCATCACACTAGCGAGAGAATGGGAGAGAAGGAAGACATGCAAAGCACACCTGCCTGTCTCATGCATCTGAGGAGGGAAATCTTTCTGGCATTTCCCTGCTGAAAAGAGAATGTGCTGGTCAGTTTGAGTGGGGAAGGAAGCCTAGAGATATTTGTGGGTTTTGCACATTCAAAAGGATCCCACACCCCTAATCCCTGTGAATGTGGAGATCCAACTGCACATGATCTGACTTCGCTACAAATTCAACTCAAAGATGAGTTTCCATTTTCTCAGGAGCAGAATTCGTTCGTAACCCGGGGACTTCCTGTAATCTGTCTTCCCTCATTTTAAGAACCAGTTAAGTGCTATCACCCATGTTCCCTTCTGCATCCCCCAGTTTGGATTGAATTGGACATAGCATTCCAGACTGCTAAACAGCCGTATATGGTCACTGCATGCTTTTAAAAAGTCAATGCATTGAGAAGTGGCTGTGGTGGTGACCTCTATGTGTGGCGTGTTTGCTACATTTGCAAATCATTGTGGGTCACTAAGGTTCAGCAGGCATCTTTAAGTTACAGTTTGCAACCCCAAACTCCTGAGGTGTAAAGTATTTGGTATTTTTATCTTGCTCTTCCCTGAACTGACATTACTACCAATGTTTACAGGACCTTATGTTTAGAGCAGAGAGTTGTGTAACTATATGTGTAAGAGAAAAGAATTACAATTGCAGGAATGCTGAGTTCTGTACTAGATCGACAATGCTAAGCCAGCCTCCAGCATCTCAAGGTTTACTGTTAAAATTATTTGATATGGCTCTATAATGCAGTAAGTACAAAAAGAGCTTTCACTGGGAATTCAAGTCCACCCCATCCATCATTGCGTTACTCATGATGGCAGTTCCTGATGAATCATAAAAGCCCCCAAGCTCTTGTGGGTTACAGCTGAGGGTTGGGAATAAAGTATGCCTGCAACTCTGTAAACTGGGAAGCCTGTTTTTCTGTCTAACTCCTAAGAGGCCTTCAGATGCCAGAGAAAGATTACTTTGTTACACTGAGCCTTCAGTTTGCTTTGACTGGAACACTCTTTGTTCGTTGTTGCTACCATTTTTACTGTTCTTGTGTTCCTTTAAAATAAAAGTTCTGTTGTGATTTTAATTTTTGATATTTTGTTATGTTCTATAGATTCATTTTGATCTCTTTATCAACTGCTTCTGAAACAGAAAGGAAAGGAAAATGTTATCAATAAATAAATGTTCCAGACAGGTTTGGAATAAAATGTCTAGACAAAAGTCCCTTGCATGCCCAGATACATTCTTGTGTTTTTATGTGTGTTTGCAAATGGTCCATTAAATATCAAGGGATCCCGTGATCCTATCCCCCTTGCCTTCACTAGCAGCACAACTTCCTTTGCATTTGCATCCATTCACCCAAACCTCACCCCAGCTATTCTATCAGAGTTCTGCCTGGGAAATATCCTACCAGCCGTGATAGCTAAAAGGAACTATCAATTTCGCAGGCATATATGTTTATGGAATAAACTGCAACCCCTGGGTGTTGATGCACAACTACTCAACAGTGTTATGAGTTTATTCTCTGAGACATCTCTAAGGATTAGAGTAGGCCCTGATAGACAACAATCTAAAGTGCAGGCATTATATGTCCAAGTACCAGGTGCTAGGAACAAACAGGGGAA